TATAAAAGAAATAATTAAAATAGAAATCCAAATAAAGTTAATAATAATATAATTATTATAATAAATATATTATTATAAATAATAAATAAATCGAATTAAATTATTTATTTAAAATCTCTTTTAAAATCTTTTTAATCTAATTAGCTAAAGAATTATAAAAAGAAATTCAATTATAAAATTATATATATTATAATTATAATAATAGTTTAATTAAGAATATAATAATAAGAAAAATTCATATTAATAATTTTTTAAAGACTCTAAAGATATAAAATAATCTAGAGAAATATCTAGTTAGGAAATATTTTAAATTAGATATTAAACTAGATATTAATAACTTTAAAACTCGAAATTACTAGAAAATTATTTCTAGTAATAAAGTAAGTATATTTTTAATTCTTTTAAAATAGGTATTTATATATAAAACTAATTTTAATCAATATATTACTTAATATTATTTAAGGCTAGTAGTTTATAGAAATTTCTAAAAAGAGATATTATATCTATTTATATATATTACTATATTTATAATAAAGTTTTTTTAAATAGCTAATATAATTATAGTTTATTTTAATTTAGAAATAAAATAATTTAATATTATAAATATATTTATTAATATAAAAAGAGATTCTAATAGGCCTATAATAATATATAAGCTATTAGATAGTTTTAAAATATTAGGCTATATACTAGAGATAAATCGAGCTTTATATAGACTATAAGATTCTTTTATTTTATAATATAAGTATTAGATAAATACTTTTAAAAGAATTAGATTTTTTAGATTTAATAAAAAGCTTTATATTTATATAAATATAAATTATAAGATTTTTATTATAAGAAGAATAAAGTATATATTTAATTAATTATTATTTAGATTAAGGAAATTTATAAGTTTTATAATATATAAAATATAAAATAGTTTTTAGAAATTTATATAATTAGAAATTAGAAAACTAAAAAGCTTTAGCTAGTTTATAATACTTATATTAAGAAAATTACTAAGAAGTTTAAAATAATAAATAGAAAGTATTCTAGTATTTTATTACCTAAAATTAATTTTCGGAAATATAATAATTAAATTTATTTATATTAAATTAAAGTATATTAGAAAAAGATTAAATTATTACTTTATATTATAATTATAATTAGATTAAATATAGCTTTTACTACTTTAATACTCTTTTAGTTTTTAATAAATCTAGCTCTAGAATACTTTATAGCTATAAATTAGACTTTTTAATACTTATTTAGAACTCGGTTTTTAATAATTTAATATAATAGGAAATATAAAAAATATATAATTATAAATTATATTTAATATTTTATATATAAATAATCCAAATATATAATAATCGAGCTATAGATATATAATTTTTTTATTTAAAGATTTAATATTATAAAAAGCTACTTAATAAAATTTAGTAATTATTTCTTTAATTAAATTAGAAATATATAAAGTTACTTATATAATAAAGGAAACTATAGCTTTTTAGAATTTATTTAAGAATTTATAATTAGATTTTAGAAAGCTTTAAATTATATTTTATAATAATAAATAAACTATTTAACTAATTATTAGAGAAAATAAAAGAATTATTATAAAGCTCTATTATATTAATATTTAGAATATATAGCTATATTAAAAATATAATAAAGGCATTTTTTAAATTATATATCTTTAAATAAATAATATATTTATAACCGGATTTATTAAAAATCTATTTTAATTTAAATTCGAGAATTTTAAAGCTTTATTAAATCTTTAGAATATTAAAATAAAAATAAAAATAATTAAATAATATAAAAAGAAGCTTTTATTTATATCTTTTATTTATAAAATCTATTAAAATAATAGAGCTTAAAAGCTAATAGCAGGAAATCTAAAAGCGCTTTATTATAATATTAATAAGCTTATATAAAAGGCCTTTTATCTAATTAAACTACTTTTTCTTTTTAGTTTAAATATTAGTAAAAGAGCTTTTATTACTATTCTCTTTATTAGATTTAGTAATCTCAAATATAATATAAATAAATATTTTTAAAAAATCAGAATTTATAAAGAGACTTAAAAAAAAAGCTTATAATATCTTTAGTAATTAGAAGTTTAGTAAAAAAAAAAGCTATATAATAGAAATATAAGAAATCGAAAAAATAATATAAGAATAACTAGAAGTATATTTCTAGTAATAAAAACTTCTATTAATAATATTATAGTAAGAACTATTACTTTTACTTTTTAGAATAGAAAAGATTATATTAAATTAAAATAAGCTTTAAAATAATATAAAGAACTTATAGTAATTTATATAAGAAATTTCTTTAAGACTAATATAAATAAAATAAGAAATATAAGGTTTTAATATAGCTTTCTTTATCTTTAATAAAGAAATATTAAAAGTATTAGAAAATATAACAGGAATTCAAATCTCGATATTTTATTAAATATAAGTTTTATATTAATAATTAAAAGCCATACTTATAATAGACTTATAAGCTATTTAATATTATTTAAAATTAGTAAAAAGTAAAATAAAAATATATTTTAAATTAAAAATATCTTGAATTTATAAGCCAGAATTAATTTAATAATAATATAAAAAGAAATAAAACTAATATAAGCTATATTTATAATAATTAGAAGCTTGGAAAAAGTATTAAAGAAAAGTAATTTAATTAGAGACTCTAATATTAGTAGAAAAAGAAGTTATATATAAGGCTTTTCTAGAATTTAGTAATATAAAAAAATAATATATACTAAGTTTATTTAGTTAAAATATTAATATAATTCTATAAAACTTATATATTAGACGATTTTTACTATTTTAAAGCTTTCTAATTAAATAGAATAAATAAAATAAAATATTATATTTTCCTAAAAAATATATTTTATTTTCTTAAAAAGTATATTATAATAAGAATTACTAAATTAGGGCTAGTATAATTACTTTATTTAATTAGAATCTATATATTTATTTCCTAAAGCTTTATATTTTATTTAAGCTCTTTTTAAGCTAGTTTAATTAATTCTTTTATTATTTAATATAATTTCCTATTTTATAATTTTTATATATATTAAATAAAAAGTTCTATTTTTATAAACTTATTTATAAATTTTCTAGAAATATTAATATAGTATTTAATTTAGAAAAAACTATTAATAAAATAATTTAAGCTAGTAAAAGCTTTAAAAGCCTTAATAGAAATTAATATAGTTCCGGATTATATAATATTTTATTTTAGAAAATTAATTTATTATATTTTTTTTCTATTATATTCTTTCTAATAATTTTATTACTAATATATATATAAGGCTTATAAGGTTATAAAATAGGGCTTAAAAGTAATAATTAAATTATTAGTCTATAAATATCTATTATTTTAGAATTTAATTATAGAATAGCCTTTATATAATTTTTTTTAATTTTCGGGTTTTTAAAGAAAATTCTAATATATTACTAATATATATTTATAAAAATACAAATATTTAATTTCTTAAAGAATTCTAAAGCTTTTTGCTTTTATTATTCTAGAATCTATTACTTATATTTCTGAAATTCTATTACTTTAATAATATTTATATTTCTAATAATTCTAAATTAGTTTATTTAAAATTCTTTATAGAATTAAAAGAAATAAACTTTAAATATTATTATAGATATAATATTTAGGGCTTAAAAAGTAAAATAAAAGATTTAAAGCGAAAAAAGAGAAAACTAAAATATAGAAAGCTAGAAAAAAATATATATATTTTATAATATACTAGTTTATAAAATAATAAAATATAAATAATTATTTATAAAACGCGAAATTATATAATTATATCTTATATATATATATATTTTTACTTATATTTTATTACTTTTAAGTCTTATAACTAATTATATAACTTCTAAAGTAATAGCTATATTAATATAAAGAATTAAGAAGAAAAAATTAAGAAATAAGAAATAGAAATATTAACTTCATTTATATATTTTATATAAATATTTTAAAAAGCAAGTATTATATAAGAAATAATTATATTATAAACTTATATAATTTTATTTAAAAAGAATTCAATTATATTTTACTAAAATAATATAATTAATTTATAAGAATTAATTTAATAATACTTTATTTAAAAGTCTTAATTTAATAAAATAAAATATAATAAAATTTTCTTTAGTAATATATTTAATATTAAAGAATTTATATTAATAAGAAGTTTTAAAAGCTTAAAGTTATATAAATTTAAAAATAAAATTTATTCTAAGAAACTTTATTTTTTAAGTTTTTATTATTATTTTAAAAAAAATCTATAAGATTTATAAATATTATATAAAACTCTTTTTATTAATTATTATTATTAAAAAAAATACGGAATTAAAGGCAATTAAAATTCTTTATTAAATTAAAATAGTTTTATTCAAAAAGTATTTAAAAGAAATCTAATTATTATATTAAATATGAATTCTATTTATTAATTCTATTTTAAGCTAAGTTTAAAAAAATTAAAGAAAAATTTATTATATTTAATTTTAACTAGTTTATTAATTTATTTATAAGCTATAATAATAATTTTAATAATATATTTATTTAAAAGAATTTTAAGGCAAAATAATAAAATATAATTAGAAAGCTAATTAGAAAGATTTAAAAATTATAAAATTAAATACTTTAAAATATTAAAAACATTAATTTAAATTTAAACTTTATTCTTTTATTTAATTATAATAAAAGAAACTTCTAAAGTAATATTAAGACGAGTTACTAAATATATTTTATTATTATAATATATTATATAAATTACTAAATAAAAACTTTAATTGAAATAAATAAGGTACTAAGTAATTAAATATATTATATTTAAAAAGTAAAAATCTTTAAACTTTTAACTAGTTCAGGCACTTAATTCTAATAAATAGCTAAATCCCAATTGAGCTCTGGGAGAAAGTAAAATATTTCGACCAAGAATTCTTGATAAGAATAACGTAAAAGTTAATTGAATGCACCACGCTATAAACAGTGCACAAGTAGGTAAAACTAGGCGTAATGCTATAAAGAGTAAATAGTAAGTTTCAACTTGACACGCAAAAGAGGCAAACGGCATTCTTCCCTCGACAATTGTTTAACCGTAAAAAGTCCAACTCTGGCTCGTTTATCGTCTGACTCATCGCTGCTGCTCATTCTTCGTCACTGGTGTCAAGTACGCGTCTAAGGGCAGCTTCGACCATAAGAAGTATGCTTTTTGATCCAACCAATTGAAATCCGGATCCGCAAGTTCAATATCAAAGTTAAAAATCATGCGCGCGAGAATGAGCCGCATTTCAGCATACGCTAGGCTGCCAAGTATGTCAGCGGGTTGTTTAGCAGAGTGAGGGCAGGTCGACTTACTTGCGACCCAAACAGTTTCTTGGGCCAATGTTAAAGGGCTGGACCATTTTGAGATTATCGCCAGCGAACTCCGGAGACCGGTCCTTGGAAACTCGCTCCGAAGGAGGTTCCGTGTCGCGTTTGAACTGCCTAGGGTCATGGAACATAGGGGCAGATCCGTCTCTCAAAAATCGCTCTGGACGATATTCCATCGGGCGTTCGAAGTGCTTGGGGTCATGGAACATAGGCCAATGCCACACAGCAACATCGGTTCCTTCAGGGACGAAATGGCCCGCAATGTTCACACCTCCTTTAGGAACCGTTCGGAGCGGGCCGATAGGAACAGGTGGATAATATCGCATTGCCTCATTCAGGCAGGCAAGCATATACGGTAAGTTTGTGACTGAGGCCAAAGTGATCTCGTTATCTGAGGTGAATGAAGAACGTATTTCCTGTGTCAATTTGTTCAACGCCTCCGGGTGCTTTAATAAAATGAAAGTCATGGCGGTAAGGAGTGTAGCTGTTGTCTCCGAGCCGGCAACCAAGAGCGTACTTGCGTTACCCAAGAGCTGTTCGAACTGGAGATTCTAAACCATTGTTTTGGTCAGCACGACCAAGTAGAATGGTGTTGGCGTGACCATACCCAGGCGTCCTTCTTTTGCAAAATGCAATCGATAAAATCTGGCCTCTGCGTTTCTAAATCCATGCGGCGGCGCAGCTTTTCCGTCGACTGCTGAGTATCTAGAATATAAAGATTTAGTGATTGAGATCAATTAGACTAATGACCGAAGACTAGAGCCACAAAAGTGGTGATAAGAGAGGGAGTGGACATACGATTCTTGCGCTTCTTGTTGAAGAATCGTCTCACCAGCCAGTTAAACGGATCCTCGAGCCCCAGGTACCTGAGGACCAGCAGCGGTATGAAATCCTCGATGGTGCCATTAATGGCCACTACCCATGGATCGTACGCAGCACGCTCTAGGCAGCCGGACCCCTCCCCGAAAGTCAGATCACTGATTATATCGACTGTAACCCAATTATACCACGATTTCAGGTCCATCCGTCCTCGTCTCTTCTCATCCGGACGATCCCCATCAACGCAGTACTTCCGCAGTTGGCGCACTAGCTGATCGACATACCCCACAATGATGGGCTCCTGCTCGCGTAGACTACGCTCGCTGAACCCATGGCTTAACACTCGCCTTAGCAATGCATGGTTCTCGCGATTCTCACCGATGATATTGGGTAAGGTACCCTTCGTTCGGTAAAACCTCTCGGACTTGGGCAGCTCGTCCACGCCTGCATTCATGCCAACCCGATGGCCATAAATATCAGTCCAGGCCTCGGCTGCGGTAAACGAGAGCTCGTCTGGGGCAATGCGCACTACCGAGCCGTACTTCGCGTGCAACGGTAGCAGGCGAAAAGTAAGTTTGCCCTTCGCCATGTAGTAGACATAGGGTAGGCAAGTTGCCTTCCAGAGCGGCGGACCCGGAAATTTGGCGAGCGGGTGGAAGAAGATGTTGTATACCATCCGAAAGGCGCAAAAAAGCAAGCCCTGCCACAGTGTGAGTATCCTAAGTGAAGTATGAAGCGAGCTATTATACTATAACGGCTGCAACGCCGATCACATTAAGGCAGTTGAGAAGCAGCATTGTAGCGTTCGTTGCTAATTGTGGTTTGTCTGTCCTGTATGAAACGAATCGCTAGCAGAAGAGTAGCTTGTGCTGAAGAGCGATGGTAAAGCGAAGGATCAAAGATTTCTCTCTTGACAGCGGTATTTGTTCAAGAAATACCATCATCTTAGCCGATATGATCTTGCTTTCACCCACCCTTGGCAAAGCAGGGTCGTCGTATTCAGTGTGTCAAAAAATAATTAAGGTAATTAATCATACTTTTAATTTAAACCTAGGCCCTTAAGCGTATTAAATTTTAAGAGCAAAAAACTAAGGCCTAGTAATAGTGCAACTTTCCACGGTTTACCCACACAAATTTTAGTGTAATTTGCGTATCGGTAGTTCTTGCATATTAGTTTCCCTTGCTTATAAGGCGTTTTAAGCAATTTGTAAGAGAGAACTGCCGAATGATTATAATGGCGTGATGTTAGGTTTATATAATGCGGATTTTTCCTTATCAAGTGTTTATATGCAATATTAAAGTTTTGCATGACGCGTACTTTATGCATTGCTAGGGATTCAAAATCGGCCCTATATAAGGTAAATAGGGAAACCAGAACCGATTCCCTATTAGAAATATAGCGGTTAAGTATTTATATAATACTAGTAAGAGTCTGAACTTTATTCTTTTATATTATTATTCTAATAAAGTATAATAAAAGTCATAATATATTAAAAGAATATATAGTATTTAGATTATTATTTTATTATTTTATTATTATATTTAAGAATTAAATTATAATTTAAGTTAAAGTAATAATTATTTCAAGTTTAAAAATAGAACTAAACTTGAAAGATTAATTATTATTTAAAATTAAAAGAGTTTTTTTTAAATAAATCTAATTAACTTATTAATATATTTAAGGCTTAATACTTAATTTGAATTAAAGTAATAAATAAAGAAATACAATTTTGAGATTACTAAAAAGAATATTAAATTATAATATTAAAAACCAAAATAATTTCGATTTTATTATATAAAATATTTCTATTTCTAATTATAATATTATATTTAAAAGTTAGGCTTTATAAAAAAAAATAAAAGAAAGTTTAATAATTATAAAAATCAAAATATTAAAATTAATAATTTAATAATTAATAAAAATATAAAAAGCTTTAAATAAGTTAAATAAATAATAATATAAAATAAATTAAAGTTTTATATTAAAAAACTCTCTTTAAATTATATTTTTATTATATAATAACAAATTTTATAATTTAAGTTTATATATATAATAATATATTTATAATAAGCTTCTATTACTATTTTCAAACTAATAATTATATTATAACTAATACTAATGAAAAATGAAAAATAATATAATTATAATTATAATGAAATAAAAAATTTAAAATCTAATATTAATTTTTATAATAATATAGGTTTTAATTTTAATATATACTAAAATTAAAAAAGAAGTTATTTATTATTATATATTTTTAAAAGCTTTTATATCTTTTTATATTTATAAAAATAATTATAACTCGAGTTTAAATTATATATAAAACTATTTTTTATTAATAATTTCTTTATAATTTCTTTTAAAAAAATATAAAATAAATAAATATTAATTAAATCAAATAAAGAAACTTTAATAGCTAAAAGTCAAATCTTTAAATATTAAGAAAGAAACTAAGCTATTTTTATATATAAGACTTTTAAAGAATTATTAGAAATATATATTTAATTTTATTAAAATTTTAGTAATTTCTAATTAATATAATATTACTATTTTATATTTTTTATATTTAATTAATTCTTCTTTTATTTATTTATTATAATTCTAATATTATTATTAATATAATTCTTTTTATTAAAATTTTAATAAGCTTTTTAACGTTGTTAAATTATAATATAACTTTTATTTAATATTAGTATTATATATATATTAAATGTAATTATTAAAATAAATTTACTTTTTTTTAATAGTTATAAAGTTTTATTTATATAAATAGGAAACTTTTTAATTATTAAATTAATTTAATTTACTTATAATATATTAATTTCTTAATTATATTAAAATTATCTTATTTTATAATATTTATATATATATATTTTATTTTTAAAAAAAATAACTTATAATATAATATAATTACTTTTTAATATAATTTTACTATTATATAATAAGGCTAATAAATATAGAAGTTATTTAATATAAAACTTTAATATAATTCTTTTTTAATATAATTCTTTTTTAATATAATTCTTTTTTAAATATAATTCTTTTTTTAAATATAATTCTTTTTTTTTAAATATAATTCTTTTTTAATATAATATTAAAGTTAAATAAATATTTAATAAAAATAAAGTTATATATAATAATATTAAATTATAAAGCTAAATTACTAATTATATATAACTAAACTAAATAAGATTTAAATCCTACTTTAAGAACTTTTAATAAGTTTAATAAGAAAATAGAAATAAATATTATTATAATATCTTAATAAGTTAAAAGAAGTAATTATATTCTGGATAATAAATATTCGTAAGATTAATATTTAGATAATATAGAAACTAGAACCGATTTGCGAGGAAGTTAAAAGAAGGCCCCCTAAGTATAATCTAGCTAAGTTATTAGCGTGCTTAGGACTTAGGGCTCGGCTCCGGTTAGAGCAGCGACTGCTTACGTCCAAAGACAGAAACGGACTTTAGTGACGGAAGTTTTCGTGGCAGATTATAGAAGACAATTTCCCGAATCAACAACACCAAACGCAACGCTCAATGTCTTTAATGTTACTCCGCATTTATTTTCCGACGCTACATTCCGTTGCCCCGATGCTGTGACTGCATATGCACGGTTCAAAAATAAGTTGTTTAAGGATATTTATTATTTTGAGTTTAATCGGAGTTACTCGTTATATGATCGGGATCCGAATTCGCCTGTGTGTCACCCGCCTCCGACTCCTGAACATCCATATTGGGATCCTTCATTGGAGTATTTCAAATGTCATTCCGGGGATCTGTAGTAAGTAATTCTCGAGGCCCAATTTTGCCTCGCAGATAAATTCAAGAAGGAGAGTTTGAGGAGGTTCGAATTTCAATGCTTCTTCGCGAGGGAGAAAAGAGAAACCAAGTGACACTCTCCAGCTACGCATTCAGCAATCTCGCATTCATTGGCTTGCCCCTACGCAACGACGACGATTTGCGTTTCTCACAATTCATCGTGGATTCTTAGGCCAACTTCATCACTCCATACATGCCAAATCCCTCCCTAGCTTCCTGCCAGCAAGAGGACATACAAATGCTAGTGCAGAGCTTTCTGCGGCAGGTGTTTGGGAGCTGGTCAGGGAAGGTGGTCTTACGATGAGGAGGTTGCAGTGGTCTAGTCATCAGACTGAGTTTGGAGAAAAAGCGGCTTGTGCTGTTTTAGATTTGCCCCTGGGGTATTATTTGACCCAATGATAATTTAACAAAGGAGAATAAAGAGCAGGAGCCGCCATGGCCCTTCCACTTACTCGCCAATCTCCTCCCTCTTATCTCCTCCTTCAAACCATCGAAGTCCCATTTCTCAACTAACTTCCACCCAGCCGACCTAGGGACCCACCCCCCCCGGCTGCTTTACCGGCGCCCCCAAAGTTCCACAGCAAAGCGCAAAGCGGAGCTCTCTGCGACAAACGACAGCAAATCCCAAGCTTTTAACACTGCAATGGATATAATGTGGGCATTACCGAGTGCGATATGGATAATCGGGTGTTTGATGGCGGGTTTATTCAGCGTGGGTTTCTGGTGAAGTTTTTGGGGGGTGGAGGTGCAGGCGTGATGTTGCTGTGAGATGTGAGGACGGGGAGAAGATCAGTGGGATTGTTTTCTTTGGACCGAGAAAGAAAGGGGTAACTAATCACGTGATTCCATTCTCAAATCTTTTCTGGGCATTTTTGCCAGCATTTTGGTTGAAGAAGCTGTAACGGTAGTGTAAGATCGTTCCTCCTTTCCTGTAGAGCTGCGGAAAGTCGGTATTTGAGGAAATCGCGGCGGCAATGTGAAAGCGAATCGCACTAAAATTCAACTTCAACCAACAATCTTCCCAACTTTCCTTCCTCAACCTGTTCCAAACTTTCCTGCATCAACCACCATCTTCTTTCCCCATGTGCTGCGGGCCACGCTGCTGGTACCGCGGGCTTTCTTTCGTAAAATACAACGTCTTCGGACTGCCCAATCTTCTTCTACCCCTCGTCATGAAGCAAGATCCCAGCAGTACACGTCCGAAGCTGGGCAGAACCTAACGCGAGGTCTCTTCAAGTTCAACGACCTGTAGGTTGAAGTTTCTCTTATCTTCTTCAGCGCGACCTCACCTTTCTACCAGCAGACAGAATGCCTCGAGGTGAACTCGACGAAATGCCTACGCCCCGATGCTACACCTGCAATGGAGCAGCCTTCGACAGTCGATCACACCTCTACGCACATCTCTCGGAATTTGGACAGGCCAAAGCATGGGCTTGCGGCTATTGTGATAGGATCTTCGCTAGCCAGGAGAGTCTGGGGTAGCACGAGGACGCCGTGCATGACTTCGAATGTCCAGCCTGCGATTCGATATTCTGGACCCAGGAGCAAGTCGATGACCATGTGAAGGACGCTCACCTATTCGGCTGCTCTCCGTGCAACCGAAACTTCAATACCCAGGGCGCTCTTGACATGCATAACAACGATGTTCATTCCCACAAATGCATGCGCTGCTCCGTTGGCTTCCGAACTCACGCCATCCTCCAAGCTCATCTCGATTCCACTGGACACAGATTCGGTGCTCCAAATCGAAATGAAATCTCCACCACGAATTCTGCACCTCAGCAGCATGTTTCCCCGCCCTCACTCCCACGTTGTGAGCCCTGCAAAGCCACATTCGACAACCAAGCTACCCTGGACGAGCACAACAAGGCGTTGCACATCTTCAACTGCGATGAGTGCCCTGCGACTTTCAAAACCCAAGCAGAACTACAGAGTCATGTGGCCGAGGCCCACGCTTTCAAATGCCCGAAATGCAATCTGAAGTTCAGATCTGAGACCGGAATGCAGCGACATATCGGAGATACGCACAGCTTCGAGTGCAAGAAATGCGCTTTGGTCCTTGGTAGCTTGGCTGCTCTTGGCGACCACACCACGGATAGGTATGAGTTCAAGTGCGAGAAATGTCCAGCAATTTTCAGGAGCCCTCGAGAGCTTGTCGATCACCACCTTTCCGCACACAACTTCAAATGAAATAGATGCGAACATATCCTGAGCAGTCCGGATTCATTGCAAAAGCATCCCGCGGACGCCCACTCATTCAAGTGCAGAGAGTGTGGTGGTATCTTCGAAAGCCAAGAGGCAGTTGAGCAACATCGGATAGATGTCCACGTCTGCAAATGCAACAAGTGCCCCAAGATATTCGCAAACCTCCAACAACTCATTGTTCACGTCTTCGCAAGTCATCTCTTTCGATGCAACGTCTGCCCTGCTTTGTTCGAGATTGCCGAACACGTCGAATTTCACAAGTCTGTCCCTCATCCTCCAGTTGCAATAAAGGCCGCGATTAACCCTTCGGTTGCAAACCCGTCTATCAATTTGGGCCAGCAAGCCCCGCCTCCAACTACTCCGACCCCGCCAGTTACTGCACAGCCCATCATGAACCAGAGTCATGCTTCTGTTGTTCACGGCCAAGGCATTTACTGTCAAGGCTATAAGTTGCGTCTCTTACACCAGGAGAACTACTGCAGTGATTGCAAGGAGAGTTTCGAAGACGAGGAGGGAGTTCAACGCCACTTTGAAGAGTCACCTTTTCACAAAGACGAGGTTCTGGGATGCAGTGAACGCAAGATCGGATTCCTGAACCAGCTTGAGCTACACCAACACCTTGACTCTAAATCGCATGCTCTCACCTGGGTCTTGTTCGTGGTATGAAAAATCGAAGCTGCACGGTGTGCAAACTGAGAGGCTAGCGGTTGCTTGATTGCAAAAGGGTTGAGTGATCTGAGCATTTTCATTCAATTTCAATGAACACAGGTGGAATTAGATGGCAAGTTGACGCTGGTGGGTGAGCAGCACCTTGCTTCAAATAGGATTTGACTGTTGCAGACACCCTGGATTGCTAGTATGTAACATTGAAGAGGGAACACTTGCAGAAATCAACAAGTTGCACATCTATGCTTGAACTCTCTGATTCGGTTCAACGTGTGAAAACTACGAAAGATGCCCTCCCTTTCCTCAAACTGAACCTAACCAACAACCTCAGCCCTCCTAGCACTCCACTTCTCACACCCCTTACACCCACACACCTCCCATACCCCCTTCTCCTCTCCTCTCTCCCCTTCCCGTAGACGGATTTCTTCCCAAAGCAAACTTTCTAGCGTTTCTTGCTTGGATATCGGTAGTATAATTTCTTTCGCATCCCGGGTTTCCGCGCTATTAATGAGCCGTGCTGCTTCTCGACATGATTCCATGAATGTTAAAAGAGAGAGGGAAGTTGTATATTGAGTGTTAAAAGCAAGGCATTCCCTGGGCCAAGTCGAGATGCCGTGTTTGATGCGCGAGGGGATGCATGAGAGGCGGGTGAGGGCTGGGTTGGGATTGGGGTTTTGTGAGGGGGTGGCTGAGGGGGGTTTCATTTTTGGAGGATGAGGTTGCTTGGGGTGGTCGTTGACTGTTGGCTCTTGGGTCGATGGTTAGATACTGGTAGTTTAATGCTGGGGTTTGAGTGCTTGGAGAGTGGCATGGAATCTAGGCGGGAAAGGCGACGGAGGGTGTGCTAAGTATTGGGAATGGGTTGAGAGAAGATTGGGTAGGGAAAGGTGGTATTCACGAATGGGGTGGATGTGCTTGAGTTTAGAATGGGGCATTGGATTTAATAAGTTAACTTGTTATTCACTACGAACATTTCGGAGTTGATCATCTCTTCATCAAGGGCGAGATTACGCGAGCTAGCCCCTGAGCTCCTGAACTCTCGATGCCCGCGCCCTGTGACCAATAATTCTCAGTTTGTTATTGAGAGCCCGAAGTTAATATTTTTGGTCTCTCTAGTCAAACACTATACCTTGGTGATGAGTCCCTTTACCAAAAGCACTGAGGAGCCAATTCGGCCGACGACGCAAAAAGGGGGGGAACCGGTGAACGCCATCAGAACAAATTGCAACCTGGTTGAGAAGGGTAATTTCAAGGTATGGTAGAGATTCTCTAGGCATATACACTACTTACGAAATTGTAGGTTCTGGACTTCTGCCACTTCCTCCCAAACATCTGAGCGGAGGCGTTCCTGAACACTTTGATGCACTTAGCCTAGTGGTTATCATATCAAAGCTGTACTTGATTCACAGTTCCTCCAAACCAGGCCCTCCTGAATGTCGTTTGATCAATCCCAATGCCTCGTGAATGGCGCTTGGTAAGACTTCCTCTGACAGTACACCAGAGTTGGCAAAAAAAGCAACTGCAAATCTCAAAGTGTACGTGAACCATACAAATGTCCACGCACTTCCAATAGCTCTCGTGAATCCTGTCAACTCGTGCAATTAGTATCCGTATCTCTGGGATGGTGGGTAGATATTACGGGACTCCTTCACTCCAGCTTTCTTCGCAAGGTAAACAACAAAGTCTTCCAGAGTGATTGCCGCGGGTTGCAACATAAAGAACGCCGCCTGACTTAGGTTGTTCGCGTTGGAGCTGGTGGGCATATTCATGGCGCCTATGTGGTGGATTGCAGTCGTAGTAATAAATGCCAGGTATAGTTGTGTGTATCTGGACACCAGGGTGCCATGCCGGATGGGGATATACTTAGTAATGAGATTGAATGGGAGGGTAAGTTTCTGTTTGAGGTTAGTACTGTAAGCCACCTGCTGATTTCAGTCCCAACATAATTACATACCCTTCTGAGGTTCTGGTGCCAGAACTTACCCCAAAAAGCTCGAACGGATGACACATCACTCAGGCGACCCATAATTGGAGGCCAATCTTGCGGGGTGTACAACCCGGTCGCCACGGCCAGGGCAGAACCCGCTGAATACTGCAAATTGAGAGCACAGTAATTCATGATCCCGACCATCAGAGCAAAGAAAGCTTGTTTGGGCAACGAATCAGAAAAGATGTCTGGGGCGGACATGGACTTGTACAATGACACGGTGAATGGGTACCGGCACAAATCGTAGAGGAGGTACCAAATACAAGCTTTCAGAGCCTCTGTTGCGACGAACTTCCTGAACTTGTCAGTGGCTGCAAGGCATCGCCAATGAGTACTTACCATTTTTTGGTTGAGAGGGGTGCCGCTTCCGGAACATTCTTGACTTTCCAATTCCATCCTATACCTCGATATGTCGTATTTAGGCTCCATGACCAGCTCAGCTTTTCCCACCAAGTTTTCGGAATCTTCTCCTTGTCTTCGTCGCGAGAGAACTCATCCGGCAAGTGAAGGACGCAGAAGTCTAACCATTGAGTGATGAGTAGAAGGGTCTGAATTGGGAGCATGTAGTCTTGAGCAAACTTCCCTGAAGTCGCCTTGGGTATCTGAGCTGAAAGGTAGAGGGTGATGGCTGAGACCGAGAGGGTGTTGGCCAGGCTAGGAGGCAGAACAGTGCCAACTAGGCAAACGAGGAAGATGCTTGGGATGAGATGAGGCCTTGTAGCTAGAGGCCTAGCCTTGTCTGGGACGAAGGAGGGAAACATGGTGCGGTTGGCTTGTTGGGTCCAGACTCGACTCGAATTGAGGCCAGGAGACAAGCAACTTGTCGCCGTCACGTTTTGCGGCAAGAAACTATGTCCAGGCTTCAGGAGTAAGCAACCGTCTCCACAAATTGAGATTGATCCAAGTTACATCTTATAGTGCGAGGAAAGAAATGGTTGTCATCGCGGCTGAAATTTCGGCCGACTGATTTCCCTGCAAGCCCCGGCCGCTTTTTACCAGGGGTCCCGATATGACACAGTCATTTTAGATTAACCAAAAGATCATTGATCTGTTCTTGACTGTTACGCGAGAGAATAGTAGGCCGGGCTCTGAAGCTAAATATAGCTACAAAGAGAAGTTGGAGAAATGCTTGAAGATATTGAGTGACGAGGTCCCGGCCGCTCCGCTAAAATCAGAGCTAGCCCCGGAGCTTTCGTAGGGCCGCCAGGGCCCAAAATCTGATCTACCCTGCTGTGTTATCAGTAAATCTGATCTACCCTCTCCCCCCGCCGCATTAAGCTGGCCAATTAATTAATGCGATGAACCTTACGGGCTCCATAATCTGTAGAAAGAGTAGATTTAGCGATATTTATAGGGCCTGTACGCTATATTTTGGCCCCGGAAAGCCTGCAAGGCCCTGTAGTTACAGTGCTTCCCTCGCTGCCGGGCAATACTTATGACCGCGACCTCCATAGCTATTTCCAATTCTCAAACTCTATGGAACTTTAATAAAAACCTCACTAAAAGTATATTTAAATCGCGAAAATAAAATATACGAGTAATATATGAAAGTATATAAGTCTATAATATAAATCGCGATACCCTCACTGAAAAGTGGCAGTGTTAAGGATATTTAGGGTACTTTAGGGGGTGACGGCAATAGCGATAGCGACGTTAATGGGGACATTAATGGCCTAATAATTCCCGTTGACTAATTGGCCAGCTTAATGCAGCGGGTGAGAGGGTAGATCAGATTTACTGATAACACAGCAGGGTAGATCAGATTTTAGGCCCGCCGCCAGTGCCTTAGCGAGGACAGGCTGTAGAAGTATCCACGGCCAACCGCCCACCCCTTTTCACCACAACAACGGCATAAAACCGAAATTTTGAGTAGATATTTGTAATCAGCGACCCTGGTATAGTAATTAAGGAAGTTTCTAACATTTCCTAGTACTTTAAAAAAAAAATTACAAAATTTTGGTGTTCTACCTCTAGCGAGGCTCTAGAGAGGGATTTGATAGCGGGGCAAAAATAACAAAATCACTACCTTATGAGCAATTCTAGCCGCATTACTAGTTTGAAATAAAAACATAGCTGTTGGGATATCGAAAATACTATAAAGTATCAATACATAATAGGATTTGTAATTATAGTGAAGGTATAATTAAAAATCGATTTTTTGGGGTGGGCAGTTGAGGCGTATGGGCAGTTGGCCCTGGATACTGCTCCGTGCACACCTTCCCTCTCAATACAACATCCTCTCCCCAATTATCTTCCCCGACCCAAAGTGAACGACAAGTGGTGACGCGCGCCGCGCACGCTGACGCCCTGAAACCAAGAAAAGGGAAAAGGGGGCTGAAAATAGGGAGGTAATAAAAGGGGTTCGAAAGAAATGGTTAGGTGGGGAAAATGGTTTTGGCCTGAGATATGCAGGGTAAACAAGGTTATGAGTGGAGTTGAAACCATGGGTGCCTCAGGCCACCAGAAAACCCTGTACATATTCCTGGAGGCACACCTCACCAATTCTACATCATCATCTTCCCGAACCTTTTCTGGGGTGGGGAACCCCGCATTTTGGCCCCCCTGAGCGGACTGCCTTTACGGCTATACTCCCGAGCAACACGGTGAGACAAACAAATTATATCAAGAGCACCACCAACGCCCTGACATACATTCTAGAAGTGTTCACTGGCCAACCGCCCAAACTACTCAACCGCCCAAAATCGCTACCTTCAAAAAATCATAATTCAATACCCACATAATATTTTACTACCAAATCAATTGTTTTCTGAAGCTTTTTTAGCCCCTCAATATGCCTGTAAAGAAAAATCACTATGCCGAATTTCCTGACGATCCCAACGAGCTCTCTGAGAGCGTGCGATTACAGATGGCCCATAACGATTATCTCGAGCACAATACTAGCAAGAAGACTAAATCCATTCGAAAATGCGCGAGAAAGCATGGAATTACATACGAAACCCTTTGAGATCGAATTAATGGAGCGAAACCAAAGGAATAAGATATAGCGGCAAGATAGCGGTTATCAGGGAGGCAAGAGGCGGTCATTTAGCGTCATATTCGAAAATTGGAAGTATGGGGCTGGCCCCTAATGGTTTATTAGGTTCAAAAGATAGTAATTGAGTTACTAAAGGCATAAGGAGAAGATCTAGAAGAGAACCCTCTTGGAACGAATTAGTATCGAGGATTCCTGAACCGCTATCCCAATCTCAAATCTCGAATCATACCACCCCTTAATAAAGATCGAATTATTATAGAGGATCCAGAGCAAATTGCGAGATATTTTGAGCTCTTTCGCATAAAGAAAGCATAATATAATATATATAATAATGACGTTTATAATATAGACGAGAAAGGGATAATAATAGGGATACTAGCCAAAGTACGGGTCATTTGCTCTAGGAAGACCAAAGCTCCCAAGATTATATAATAAGGCAGTCGAGAATAGGTTTCGTTAATTGAGTATATATCTTTAGATAGACGAGTTCTTAGTCTATATGTTATTTTTAAAGCCAAGGTTCTCTTTAAGGATTGGATTAAGGTATTGCCTACCGGGCATATTTGTGCCTCTGAGAAGGGTTAGACAGATAATAAGCTTTGCATTAAGTAGTTTAAAGAGGTATTTGAACTAGAGATATTAAAATCAAAGAAGGGAAAGTATAGAATACTTCTTTTTAATAGCCATGGTTCTTATATAATACCAGAAGTAGTGAGGTTTTATGAAGAGAAGAAGATAATTCTCCTTTGCCTCCCAGCCTATTTAACCCATATCCTTTAATCATATAATATAGGAGTCTTTGGGCCCCTAGTATACTTATATCGCATATATCTTACGAAAAAGACTCGTTAGGGTATAGGATATTCCATTAATAAGCTCAAATTCCTAGAGATATTATAATTAGTACGAGCAGACGCCCTTAACTACTATAATATTACTTCCTCTTAGAGAAAGTGTGGCCTTTTTCTATTTAATCCCGAAATCGTTATTAGTATACTATCTATAGTGATTTTGCAAAGAGAAGAAGACATATAAAAGGCTCTTATGCTCCCTCCTCCTCCTATTCCTCGTCCTCTTGCTTTATCTAGTCGACTAACTATATCTGGTAATCTAGCTCCTTTAATTATTATAACTCTAGAGAACGTTACTAATATTAAAGCTATTCTCAAAGTTAACGAAGAAATTAATAGTAAGCTTAATAGAGTTCTTGCCTGTTAATTAATAATTCAAGCCTCCCAAATTAATATATAAAGGCATTTCCAAGATCTTTAGCTCGTAGTTCAAAAGCTTGCAAATTCAGCTACTATAGTAATTACTAAGACTACCCTCTCTCAAGTAGTTAATAAAGAGCTAATTAATATAGCTAATAAGTACAAGAACCGGAAAAAGGTATTGAAAAAGGATAAAGACAAGATTATAGATATAAGGGTAATAAATATTGAATTAATAGAAAAGGCACTTGAAGCAAAGGTAATTAAGGAAAAGGAGATAGAGGAGAAGCTTATAAAGGAAAAGAAACTAAAGGCTTTATATAAATCGTGGAAGGCGCTTTATAACCATACCCTTAATGATTTTCGAAAATAGGGCCCTAATTTACTTCAAGAAGTTAACGATTTTAATACTCTTATGGTTCGATTATTAAAGCCACTAAAGCCATTAAAAGCTTTAAGAATACCAAAAGCTAGCAAGATAAAAGCTCCTCCCAAAAGCCCTCCGATTATATATATGCTTCCAGAAATCGATTTTCCTAATATCCCTTAACTACTAATAAAGCCTCAATTAACTATACTTCTCCCTTCTACCTAATTAACTATCCCTTTACCTTCAAAATGACGATCTCCCAAGAAAACTACAAGGCAGAGAACAAAGAGAATAAAGGAGCTAGTTAACGAGGTAATTGAGCCTCTAGAAATCATTACTACTAGAGGAAGAAGGAGTAAAAGGAGGCTATTTCACAATAAGGTTCTTATAAAGGCTCTGGCTAATCAGAAAGAGGTATAAGGTTTACTATATAATAGCGAATTCGATTAATATTTGAGCTTTTATAATCGAAAAATCAAATAGTACCTAAATTATAATTAAATATTTAAGTAATATAAGCGATTCTTTATTCCAAGAATTAGGTACTTAAATTTAGGCTTATTACCCCACTAAACGCAAGTCACTAATTCTTACCCCAAAGAAAATTTAATAAGAAATATTATTATAATAATGCAAAAAACCTTCTAATATACTCTCTTATATTAAGCTATATATTACTAAAGAATTTAGAACATTATATAAGATATTTAATTAATTATATAGAAATTAGTAAGGAATAGAGATGGCGGGATAAAAATTAGTACAAAAATACCAAAAATGCCACTAAATTAATAATTTTAGTAATACCATATAATTTTAAAGTAATATATAGCCATTAGGGGATTGAGAATACTATAAAGTATTAGTATTTAATAGGAATTAAAATTTTATTAAGGCGTTAATTAAATATTAAGATTTTAATTTTTAGGCAGTTGAGTAGTTTGGGCGGTTGGCCAGTGAAACCTTCTAAGTGATCTTCTCTCCGCGAAGTCACCGTGATTCTCGGTAGAAATTATGGAGGAGCCCGGCTTCCTGACGTGTTTAATAGTGGTAAGTTGATGAAGCCAATGGACTCGGCGGACTGGGCTGCGAAGCAGCGTTTAAAGGCACCAGCTCATCAGCTGTTCCTGAAGACATTGGAACCCGTGATGAAAACCTACCGAGGAATCTCTGCGTACCGCAACATTATGCTGCTAGTCGGAAAACGTCCTGCCAAGGCATAGTTTGACATCAATAGCACCTGATGCTTCCTTACCAGTTTGGCCATTGCCTGTCAAGGCATCCATTGGTTTCCTGAAGTAATCTTACATCACTGTCTCAACCTCGATGCAGAATTTTCACTTCGACTTGAGAGTTCCTTCATATATTAAACGCGGGGTATTGACTCAGAAATATGCCCCTCTTCTCATTACTGCTTTGACTCTGTAATTGGTATGGAGAGTCTGCTTATGTTCAGCCATACAGCAGCCCAGCATCAAAACTGCCCCATTACAAGAATGTGTGCCGAAAAAGGAGCGTTTAAGGCGAGAATATCAATTCCACGCGCATTTAGAGACACGTCCGTCCAACCCCAACCGCCATAGGGTTTGCAGATGACCTAGCTCTTAGGCAAAGATTCCAGGTCTCTGAAAGTCATCAATGAATTGCTCGCGTATCCTCACCGCGTCTGCCTCGTTTTTTTGCGCTGTAGATAAATATTACTAGTGATATATACCCAACATATTGAATAATGTTCTTGCGCTGTTCTGGAGTGGGCGGGCCTTCGGTAACATTGAGCTCAAACTCCCGCCGGCGAGGGTGAGCTTGATACGGGTGACCACTGGCTTGGTCCTCAGTGGCATGCTCGCTCGCGGCTGCGGGAGCCTACTTGAGGATAATATACATGGGCAGCGAAGCTAGTGAGCCCGCCTGGTAGAAGATCGTGATTATGTTGGGATATTTATACTGTTTCATAATGTTTGCAGGTTACCAGTGGAATTCCCAAAAACACATAATACCAAAGCTCCTGATCTGAAGCACTTACCAATGGGGACATCGTGATTTGGTTGATGTTTTGCAGCTCATGATTGGGGAGCCGAGGTTGAAGCTGCGTGGACAATGTTTCGGATTGGTCCAAGTGACTTTGCCATTAGAAAACACTTTGCCTAATCAATATCTCCCTAACCGCGTTCACAGATGTGTGTCCATAATTCCCCAAACCCCTTAACTACAGACCGAACTGCTCAAGACGTTTCTTTCCACAAGGTTCGTTGTCGAGTTCTTATATCATTGGCCTTTTCCTTCGCAATCTGCTTGATGTTATCATATTTGCTCTCGTCTCTGAATTCGTCAGTTAGCTCAGTGGGTTTCGGTATAGCATCTTGCAATTCTCTCTGCAGTTCTCACATCCGGGCATACAATGGTCTTCTGCGTCGATTGCTTCAAGTGCGGATGAAATCCGTGCTGGGAGAGCCATATCCATCTGTTGTCGATCTTCAGCAATGCGCTCCAACTCATTCCTTCAAATTCTCGAATTTTTGTTGCTCAACATCGATTGCTGGCTTTACCGTACTGCGATTGCATCTAACGCAATTCATTGCCATACTAGTCATAATTTTCGAGCAATTCGTGGAGTCATTATTAACAAGAATGTATCCTGATACGACTCAAATAGAGAAATTGGGGATATGGCCGGTATCCTCTGCCTACTCAAGCGTTTTACAACGTCGCCCAACTGATGGCCCGACTCACCGAGGATTCCGCGCTTCGCCAGACGAGCATATATAGCTGCACTTAACAGATTGCCGCTTGGATGTATTTGAGTTGGGGCTCTGGCAATAACTCGGAGGGACTTGGACTGAGCAAGTGAGCAAGTGAGCAATTTTGACAGACGCTGCCCTTCTCTGAACCTAGAAATGTTTCATGTGTTAACATTTTCACAGAAAGGAAGTCGGGGCAGCAGCTATGGTCGAGTGAAACTGCTGTGTTCGTTGTTTAGACGCCGACGGGCACAACTTCCAACAGTGCCAGAAAACTTCCCCCCTATCCGAAAGAAAGTGCGTAAAAACGACTTCGGTGACTAGTTCATGAGAAGGTGAGCACTGCTAGGAGATCTTTACCCGTACTTTCGTTGAATTCATTGGAAAATAACGAACCAAAGTTACCGAATCATCTGGGAATGAGAAGCGAGCACTTGATGGATATTTCCCAATTCCATTCCTTGATCTCTACTACGTCTGTTGAATGGTTAAGGATGAAGTACGGAGAGTGTTATGCGCCTTCCTTTTCAGCCTTCCTATTCAACTTGTACTTTACTGGCTATTCCGATTCTCACTTTCGATTATTTCTTCTTTTGAAACACTTTGTACTTGATATATTTACGGAAGAAAGTGCCAAACAGCCACGATTTCATCAACCTTATAAATTATTAATTTGCTCTTTAAATCGTTTTAGCTGGTAATTTACAGAAGAAGACAGCGCCAAGTGGCGTCTATTTCCATCAACCTCACACTCAACCTCTAAATAGCCTCCGCCTCAGCCTCCAATTTCTCAGTAGGAACATCGGCCTTTACCACAACCCCATCACTAACCTCCTCATACCACTCACTATCCTCCTGGGCCCTAATAAAAACCCTATCCTTCTCGCCCTCTGCGCCCTCCCTCTTATTAATCAGCCTTGTACACTGTACATAAGCGCTAGCCATCCTCTCGCCCTCCTTGCTCAACTTCCCCTTGTACCACTGTCCGTCTGACCTGCCGACCTGGTCGCCAGTGCAGTCATTATTGGTCTTGAAGAAGATCTGGCAGTCCTCCAAGTTAAGCTCATTATACGCTCCTCCGACGGTGAAGATAAAGGAGCGCGTGTCGTTGGGGATGTTGATGCACCATGTCCCGAAGCCAGATTTTAGCCAGTCCCCGGTTTTGTCTTTGCATTCTTGCGATCGGTAGGTGCTTAGTCGCCACTTTTTCTCCCACAATCCGATATCTTGGTAGTAGCAGACGGCATTGGCCAAAGGTAAGGCTATAAATGATAATGATAGAAAGATTGAGGCCTTCATCTTTCCGTTTTCGTTTTCGGTTTGGTTTCCCTTTGTGTGAAATGAATATGTGTTGTAAATCTGACGTCTGAGGCAAGGGTCTCAGTTCTCTGAAAGTTAGAGGACGAGAGAGCTTTGAGGATGAACTTGAGGAAAACGGCTCGGAAATGGAAATCCAGATCTGGTTGATGAGAGAGAAAGGGTTGATGGCCAGGTATTTATACTTATTATCAGACTGTCAGATGAAAATTCCTCCACATCGTCGCCATCTTACACGAGTTGGCGAACCGTTGTATTACTTTTCTTATTGTCTCCACTGTCAAACTATTAGCGGAGAGATTGACGGATAATGGTTAATTTCTTTAAATAGTAGAGGCTGAGTATACCTGTGCATTTTAATGCACTGGAGGGTGTGCACGATATTTGGATTCATGGCCGAATTCCGCGTGACGTAGTGAGCCGGTATCCTTTTGTCATTGGCGATTTGTTGGCGAAGCCAAGCTCTCAGCCGGTTTGCCATGCAAAAGTATTCCTGCAAAGGGAGGAGAGTCACAGTAACTACGCTATAGACAGCTAGATCCACAGATGTGCCAAGCAGCAAGGCGGATCAAAGCTACAAAAAGAGGAAACCCCGTAGTGGAGGATTTTACCTCGGCTGAATGTTCAGTCCGTTTCTAGCAGTCGAATTCCGCCAAGTTATCCTGATCAGTTGAAATATTACGCCTTTGAAAGCACGATCGGTCTCCTATTATCCCTGGCTTACGTCCGGCGCAATAGCCAAGGCTTTTATTGGTCCTATTTATATTCTACCCTGCACCTTTTTAACTTTGTCCGTCGTCGCTTGGGTGACGCTTGCTAACAGCTTGCAGGGGTTTATTGGATCACATGCTATCGAGCCAGGGACACCCAGATAAACTTACTCCGTAATAAAAATAGCCTGCACGATGGCCCGTGCCGCTGTACTGCGGGACGTCACTGTGTAATTCAACCTCATCAAAGTTACCTCCGTATGAATAAAACTGTTGAACGAATGGTCTATGAGTGACCATATTGGTTGAGTTGTGATGTAAGAAGTAAGGTTACAAAGTAGGATATTTGTTGCGAATTTAGGCTAAAAGCGTCACCTGCAACACGCTATAATCGGCTTGAAAAGTACTGAATTAACTGCTGCTCTACAGTGATAGTTAGGCTGTATTTATAGTGCCGTAAGCCCTGTAGCCTCCCGTGTTGTAACCTACAGCATGGGCTACAATGGAGGCTATAGCGTATGCCTACAAGCTTCGATTGGTGCCTATAGGCTCCAGTGCCATCCTACAGGCTACAGTACCGGCTTCAGCGTTGCTGAAGCCTCCGCAGCTTTTATGCCTTAGGCACCTATAAATCCGGCGGTGTTTTGTTGAAATTAGGGGCCTGAGGCCCCTAATAGGCTTAGTAAGCCCTGGAACCGAACGCCATGGGGCTGTGCAATAGCTGGAATACCATGTACGGCTGGAATACCCTGTATAGCTGTAATCGGTTCAGCTGGCATAGGGATTTAGTACATGTGACTTAGGGGGTTCAGGGCTATATATACGGGCTACTTACCACTGTAGAACAGCAGTCAATTCAGTACGTTTTACTTGGTTTACATTGCAAGCACGTGACCCTAGCTATATTGCTTTAGCTAGTTCAACATGTTTGTCAGTCCAAACTTGTCACGTGATCGACAAGGCTGTCCACCCTCTAATAAAACCTAACCAGGGGCCGCATAAGCAGAGAAAATGCAAAGAGTAGAAGCCTGATTTAGATCTGATTCCGAAGCATGAATTTTTTTTTGGAGCTATAAAAGGCTATTCCGAGTAAATATAGCTTTAAGGGCTAGCTATTATTGTTAATAAATCTCTATTTCAATGCCCATTTTGTTATAATATTAAAAGCAGGCTAGTTTTGCTTATAAATAATATAAAGTAAAGAGAGTCTATAATAAGTAAAAGAGAGAGTAGTAATAGAAAGAGCAATAAAAATAAAAAGGAGAAGAGAGTAATATAAAGCAAGGTTTTTTTTTCATTTCTCACATAACTAGTTCTTTTTATAATGTACTATAAGCTAATTACTAGTGTAATGAGAATATAAAACAAGTAGTAATTTAGAGTTAATGGGCTTCCACAGCGTGGGATTACAGCGTACGAGTGAGGCGTGAAATTAGAGAGTGAAGGTTGGTTTATTTCTAAGAACTAAGAAGGAGAGAGGGGTTATACAAGCGGACTGCGGACTGTACGGACGTCCGGAGGTTACATGACAGAACCACGTGACCAGGGGATAAATCCCCACCACACTAGAGGTGGTCTGATCGTACGATAATAGAGAAGAGAAGATGTCGTTGAAGGAGGAAATGGCGCCTACCTCGTTACGGACTGGTCATAGCTGACTAATCCCTGCATGGCATTACACCAAATATGTAATATGTTTCAGACACGGCATCCTCAACCTCATCTAACCACAAGAACCCAGCTTCACTCTCCCCATAGACCCGAACAATCGAACAAAAAGCTAGCCATTCCGAGTCTATCATTACCCTGTCCAACCCGCCAGCACGACCCGTTCATTGTCCAGAATGTCATCGTGTTGTGAGGCACCAAAATCTCCTCAATCTCCATCGAGCGAAGGGGACACTTCTTCTAAATCAGTCCAAAAAGGATCGGGGATTGCATCTTGGATTGGCTCCTTTGCGCCAGTGGTCTCGGCTTTTCTCCACAGTTCATGTTGCTGGCTACCCGTATGAACTCTCACTCTGATCCCAACCTTCGCTCACGTGATTATTAGGCACTCCTCGACCTGACATCCATCGGCTCTGCATCAGCGGCAACCATCAGTAGCCTTCGACCTGTTTTCCTGTCGATAACTGTCCTCATTCTTCTTGACAGTATTCGTCGACAAGGACTCAACCGTCACAATTTGCTTCGAATCTTCGCCTCGGTCTTAGTGTTGTTCATACCCAAAATCCAGGGCTTCTATCAAGAAGTGGTTGCAATTGAAACGCCGAAGCATACTTGTCATTAGATTAGTCTCTGAAGGTACCGAACCCTGATCGTCAGAGATGTTTTGTTCCAGGTTCAGGTGTCCTTTCCCGAGAGCTGTATCCGGATTTCATCAGATAACAAGGACCGCCCACTACGATCGGCATCATCCCTGCATCTTCTTTGGCCACTTCTTACCCTCCGATCGGGAACCATTCTTGCGCCAAAAAAAAACGCACAAGGAGATCGCCTCGGCCCTTTCATACCCATTTTGGAGTTCTCGCCTTCTCTGGAAGAGGGCTGGCATCAACACGCTGCGTTGTGTCGTTGGCTGTACACTTGGTGACCTTTCAATGTTGTGGTTCTTGCAGAGTCAACACCCAAGATTGGGTATCTATACTATCATGGGACTTTCCAGTATGTTGTGGTTTATTTTTTCTCTTGAAAGATCGTTTTGATCTTGGCTAGTAGCGTCAGGGATCGCCTCCTCAATGCCACTCGAGACATTGATGGTACGATATTGCCTCGATAAACTCGGCTGGCGAGCAGCGGTCACTACTGCCGCAGGGATGAGTCTGGTTTCAATCCTGTCAATGGAAGTTATTGAAAATAACGTCGATTATCATTTAATGGGCGGGATGGTGGACTTCGCAGATCCCAAGTTCTGGGTTGCAGCTGCAATCCCTTCCTGTGCTGGATTCCTTGCACCCCTCCTATGTAATTTATGTGTGACTGCCAAAGTATGGTCGAGGACTCGAGCATGCCATTGGCACACGCGGCAGTGAGGGTTCTTGATCCACTATTCCCAACGGTTCAACCGCATGAACCATTCTGGAACCTGGAAGATTGGTTTATCGATTCTCGGGTCTCTGACGTCCGTCTAGAATGCAACTGGTCTACATTTCACAGCCTAAACTTGCCGCCGTTCCAAAATCTTTATAGCTAGCAACACCAATGTTTTCGGGGGCCTCCGCCTGTCCATTCACCTCCCAATCTCCAGCCGGCCTAGTGGCCATCACAATCAAAAACCTCGGCCGGTCTGCCATGAATTCTTTGCCTGCTCCTTGTTCAGTCCCCACTCAATAACATATCCAATCGCAAATCCCGGCTGGGTCAGGAAGTTGATATAAGTAGCAAAAGTATGATGCTGCTTGATAACTCCTTCTGTCCACCAGTTCGTGGATCTCGGGCCCTCGAGGAGATATTCATCAAAGGGTGGTGATTCCTCATCTCTGTTCAATTCTGGGTTCGTTGGGGACGTGTACATCGAATGCTCGACCGAAAAGGCGAATGTTCCGCCTGGTGAAGATTTACGCAATAACTTCCGGGAGGCACTCGGAGGGCTAAGGAGCTGATGACAAGGTTGTATGTAGCTGGTGGATGGCAGCTGGATAGTTTCACGGTTGTAGTGTTCGTATTCAATTGAGGGGTCGAAGGAAAAGTTTTTCGCGCTGGCTAGCCTTTTCTTGAAGATATCGACACCCGTGCGCTGGCTGCTCCTACTTCTCGAGCCCAGCGACAATTCCAGCCTGACCATAGCGTAGGTCGAGGACTTTGCAACCTTGGATGCTGGGAAGAAGGGATCAAAAGGATGGCCATTCTTGTGCTCCTTGGAGACCCAGCATTTGATTTGGTAAGTGCATGAATTCGTTGAAGAAGGCTCCATCGTCGAACTTGTCTTATATTATCATGCTGACTTTCAAGGGTTGGTGACCGCTAGTTTATGTCAAATCAAACACCAATTTGAAAGCCAATTATACTGGCAATATTATGTCCTTTGAATGTGTTTTGCGACTTTCGGATCCAAGACAGCATCCAATTATACTGGGAATAATGTTTCCTTTGGATGTGGGTTCGAGGCTTTGGTTAAAGGTGGGCAGCTCACAATCAAAATTCCCTCTGCTACATAATAACACTCGATTGCAGAATTTCCCTTTGAGTGCACCGATCAGGCCACTTCGTAAAATTTCACCCGCATAGCTTTTTCCCTCGAGCGAATCAACGACCTTTTCATTATATCGTTGCACCGTACAACGTGATACGTTTCTAATTTCGAAGTCTGAAATGGAGGCAATGTCACTTTGAACAAAGTATGTATTAATTTCCGGGAGCGTAATCACCATAGTTGTCTTCTTGATTATCACTATTTCACATCAAACAAAAGCTTTGCCATTTTCTCCTTTCCGAAACCGGGCATAAGTACAACAAAGAACAGCTGCAACAGAATAGCAAAGTTGAAAGGAGTGAATTTACGCAGGCTCGGCAACGATTGCTAAGGCTTCGATTAGTAATCGATTCTGTACACTATCGAATACTATTGAATCGCATTGATTAGTAATCGATTACTGAACGATTATTGCCCCGCACCCCACCAAAGTAAATACGAAAGGGGATCTCAAGAGGTTAAGAACTACCCTCTAGTTCTGCCATTACTATATTTAATAAAACCTTAATATAAGAATATTAAAATTAGTTCTAAAAACTAAGAATATACTAAGATATTCTTATAATAAAGTATAATATATAATAAAATTAATACTTATAAAGCTTATAATAGTATTTTTATAATAAGATTTTATTATATAAGAGAAATTATTAAATAAAGTACTAAGAACTCATATAAGAATACTATAATCTAGTAAATATAATTAGAGATACTATATTAAACCTATAGAGAGACTATAATCAGAATCTCAATATATAAACTATTACGGTTATTACGATATACGGTACTAGTAGGGGTTAGACTAGAGCTAGCGAGGCATCTGGCATCTGAGAGAGGCATCTGTAGTCACCTGATTATTGCACGTGACTCCGAGCTTAAGCTAGCACGTGGGCCCGTGCGTAGCTCGCGATTATTTAGATCCGAGGCTCCTTTGAGATCCTCTTCTCTCTTTAGCTTTGAATCGTCGAAATAGAGACAGTCTAACCACGCCTTCCAGGCCCTAGATCTTGTGCTCGTGGCATGAACTATAAACGAATTAATGAAAGCAAGAGGTAATTTCAGTAATGAATACTAATCCGAAAATAGGAGGTCAGACCGGAAAAAAGCCTTCCAAGCGTACATCACCAAATTACGGGTGATCTATGCATAGCTCAAGCAAGTATACATATCTACGCAGGAAGAAGTGACACAAGCACCTCACGACACCGTTTGGGCCGCAACTCAGAACGCCGATTATGATACGGGCTATATTACAAATAACCTTCCTAACCGGCAAGTGGTTAGAGCTGCGCGTCAATATTAAGAGGCGAGGAACACAGAGGTGAGGATGTCAGAACTACGGTTGCTCATCATCCTCTGGAGGTCTCAGAGGCTCGGGCCATATTGCTCTTTTCCCTTTGTGGCTTAGTGCCGCTTAACGACACACACACACATATCGAAATTTCCTTTTATTGTGTCGGGATTATGATAGTTATCACGTGATTGGCTAATTAATGAGCTGACTAGTGGTAACACTGACTGATTAAGTTCCTTGTAATTATCCATTCCACAGTGCTACATAGCCTGTATATATAGTGATCTTGACCCTAATTCCCATGCTGTGGTTCTGACTAGAAGTCCATGTACGGCTGAACTTCAGCTGTCTACCCCTGTAGTAGAGCCGTACGGGGGTCGTGTTACGAGTCATTCCCAATACATTGTAAAATAGAACAACTTAACACAACTTCTTCTTTTCTCTTTTCTCGATTTTGTGAGCTACAACCTGTAGCCTCAATAGGAGGCACAGGACAGTGCAAATCCTTTCCAAGACGGCGTCAGAACCTTGAGATTTTGAAACAATTTTGGCAGCAATCTAAGGACCAGGCTTCGAGCTCTCGAATAGGTGTTCAGTTCAATATTATAAGGGAGAGGGCAGGAATGTATGAGGCGGCGCTTAAAAACGGAAGAGACACGTAGTCTATTCAAGATATCAAGTCGTCCCCACAAGTGTTTTCAACACCTTACGCCGCACAAGAGCGTTCTTTTCTACTTCGTAGCATTTTATATCCAGCACAAGCCCTGTAAGCCCCGGGTCTGATTCTAGGTCGTGACGCCCGAAGAGCTATCTTATCTGATTTCTTATCCGGTTTCTCTGTCTTAAGATACTTAAGGAAAGTACGCGACTCTGCGTAAAAGTGAAGTGAGCGGGTTAGAAGCGCAAGAATAGAGTTCAACGCGGATATCGCGGATAGGGGTGGTGTGAATCCTGTCGAGCGTGGAGATAATGTTTCTAATTCGTATAATATTAAAACCAAAGCCTATGAGGTGCAGTCCCGAGAGGGTAGAAAGAATATGCATATTCCGATTTGTATCTCTCAAGGGCGATTTGAATATGTCCCTCGTGTGGTTCAGAGCTTCGGAGGTTGCGATGTTCTTCGCGGTATTGTCGATTTATTTGAGGGCTGTGAACAAGGGTTCCTTCTTCTGGTTGACAGCGTCTGTGACGGTCTAGATCATTTGTTCTAAGTCTTTATGCAGATCACCTAAGTGGTGCAGTAGTGCAATTAGTGAGATGAGGACAAGCTCGGTTCACCATCGACTCCACTCAAAACTTGAAGAGACCAATGATGTTACGAAGAACTCCAGGTCTGGGGCGCACATATGCATAGTGACAGACCTCGAGTTCAACGTGCTCAAGGGGGTAAAAATGTTGTTAAAGTTGCTCAACATGTACGACTTCCTATTTGCGCTACTGTAGCAAACTTTCCTTCCAGCGCTCTATTAGGTCCTTTGGAAAACATATTAGATATGAAAGAAAAGGCCAGCGGCGAAGGATCGATGCTTCGCTGCTATTCTATTAAGCTCACAAATCACTCATTCCGCCCTACCAACAATCACTGCTGAGACCTTGTTCTTATCTTCCAATTTAATCTCCCTACCACCCTTGCTGCGCGTATTATCCTGCCCTTTCCTCAAGGCTGCAACTCTGCGCGCTTCCCACTCGCGGGCATTTATCGTGGTATCCTCTTCTCCTTCCTCTAGTTCTGGAATTAAACTGTTTCCCCCAGAAAGTCTCTTCATTGGTGCCTCGCTATATGGCCGTACCAGGTATGCAAGACTATACCTCGTGACTTCGCCCTGTTCGCCCGGAGCAAAAGTCACGCGGTGCATATTGCTCCGCAGAATTCCAGCACTCCACTGGACCATAGTATCGCCGAGACCAACAATCGCACACCCGGGGACAGGTTGAACATAGACCCAACTGCTCTCGTCGCGTGGGTCTGTACCTGGAAGCAGCAGCTGTAGACCGCCGGTGATATTAAAGAGGATGGTAAGTGTCCCAAGGTCTGTGTGGCCTCGTAGGCTAGTGCGCCGATCACCCACTGGCTGCGACGGGTAGCGCAGCATACGGAGTGCCGTGCCTGACGAGAGGCTCATAGGCTGAAGCGAGGCGAGTGTACCTGGGGTGAGACGGAGTTGGGTGTCGAGGTGAGAGCAGATAAGCGAAACAATAGAGTATGCTTGCTCAATGTAAGCCTTGACGCCAGGACGATGAGCCTCGATGCAGGGTGGGTTTGATAATTTGGAGATACCCGTCATATCGTCCTGGCTTATATTATAGAACTCATGGCGGTCAGGCTTATTATCTTCGATTTTACTATCGCCAATGCATTTGTACCTAAACTAGTAAGCAATAGAGTACCAGGTCTTTAGTAAGAGTAGAACAAAAAGAAGTTCTCACAACTATCGGATAAGGTGGGCAGAGCGACCAGGGCGAGCTAAGATGGGAAAGAGTAGTAAATAAGGGGAGGTTCACTTACCCAAATAGTGAGTGTGACGGCCGGTAAGCGTATTGCATCAGCTCGTCAAAGCCTAGGGCGTAGACTTCCTGATTAATGTCAAACATAGTCTCTGCCTTCTCGAGGAATGCTTCGCCCTCAGGACAGCACCTAAAGTCGAGCAGGAAGAAACCTATAGCTCTGCATGCCTCGAACAGAGCATCGGACTCGCCCTCTTCCTGTGCCAGGAGCTTTGCAAAAGACAACCGGGGAAGCTTAACAACTGAAACGTCGCTAGGAAAGGAGGGGTATTTGTCAAAGTAGGCCTGGGTGGGCATTTTCGATAAAATGGAGATGGACCAAACAAAGTGATAGTGATGCCTTGAATAATGTCAAATAGTGGAAATAATCAGATATAGAAAGTAGCTTCCAAGGCTATTGATTTTATCGGCACCACTTAAGAATTCGTAGTGTTCGAAATAATTAAAGAGAAAGAAGAGGGGTAGCTCGACTCAATTTAGGGTTAGATCCTCGTGCAACCCCAGTGTTAGCCTTAGGCATTACCGCTCGTAACTCTCGGGGTTTACGCCTACCTTCTAAATCCTCTGTACTGGCGCGGTCTGGGAACTTATTCATCTCTTTGGAGAGTGAATAGAGATATCCAATCAGCAGAAGGCAGCGCGGACACTGAACAGAAACATAGTCAGAATTCAGGAAGGAGAGAAGTGCTGCGGCTTCCCTTCAGAAGAACTTGTCGATCTCGATGTTCACACAGCGCCGGAGTTGAAGGCTGGGGATTTGATAAATCCGATCGAACCGATGCTGCAGTGCCAGAATTTGGGGAGGGCAGCTTCTCCGCATTAGGACGGAGACTCTTTGCCTTCCATCAGGGAAGGGGTTGTGGGGAGGGGGGACTGGAGCGCTGCGAACGGCGTTGTAGATGCTGAGCTGGTAACGGCTCTCGGGCTAGCAAGCAGGATCTGACTAGTCTATCTATAAGGCATGAGTTAATGTTATACCACGGGAATCTCAGCGCTTCTCGCCCTCCACCTCATTGACCCTGCGCGGCCTTTGCTCAAGTTCGGCTCAGGTCTGCTCAATATCGATTGCGCAACACAATGCTTCTCATCAGAAATCCGGCAACCTTTACATAACGAGAGCCCCCAAAGCCTCCGAGCCGAGCTTGTGGGATGCTTCGAATCTGAGCCTACTGAGCATTTACAACCGCACTGACAGAGAACCTGATGGCCAACTTGGCCTAACGCTGCCTATGAATTGCTATTTTAATACCATTTGTCCCATATGGAAACATTTCCGCCGCAAGTGCCTAATAAGATGGACCTGTCAACTGGATCTTGTTCATCCATGACGCGTTACCCCGATTGTAGTCAGAGAACTCCATCGTAACGTTCAAGAGCTGATCGATATGATGAGGCATAAGTCGAGGATGCTTTTCGTCGCTTGCAGCAATATTCTCTGCCATGAAGATGACGTTTCGGATTTGCCGCCCATTGATCTCAGGCTCTGACCATTGGTCTACCTCGTTCAACAAGTTCATTCTGTGCGCTGGAAGGATCTTCAAGTTGTTGATTAAATCAGTCCAAATTTGGTGGCGATCATCGTGGCTAAGTTCAACGAATCGTGGTGGATAGCTGATACGAGATTCGAATGTTTCATCTATGCAGTCTATCAAGTTTGTAGTAAGTATCAAGATTCCCTTGTAATATTCGAGCTTTCGAATAAATATTTGGCAATGCAAGCGCCAGTCCACCATGTTTGAGTCTTGTGCTTACCTGAAATCCAGGAACGCCGGAGTGTTCTACAGCTTTGGGACTGTTAGGTATCCCAGTGATACAGGTAAGAAAAATAAACATATGATATGGGTTCAGTTCTAATAATTTGTCTGGTAGCCTCTCAACAATGCTGGAATTAATGAAAGGCTTGAGGCGGAGATTTGCGAGCTCGAGGATACGAATCGTACCTCAGCCTAATTATTTGACTATCTTCTTACAGCAGCATACAGCAATCTAGTGAGTGCAGTGAATGATGTCCTAGAGTCTGCTTGTTGTTGATCTACCCCCTCTCTGGGTCGGCTTTTCTCCGGCTCAGCTCTGCCCCTGAACCGGTCCCACCAAAGACCTCTTCACTCCAACATTCGTCAGTGACCTTATTTATCACCAGTTAACGATAGTCTTGTTTTCTTTTCTACACGCATTTCCCACAATATTTTTAATCAAGTGTCATAATATTTCAACAATGGCCATCAAACTCCCCATCGAGCATCGACGTCATTGCACATGGGCCAAGAGTTTGCGAACTTCGCCAAGACACCAAAAATCAAGGTCGAAGTGGAGGGATGCGCCAGGTTGCAGAGCTTGCTCACTCAACCACCACAACTAAGCTTCCCTCTACAGACTCTTGGGGCTGTAGCACAAGGCCAATTACTCTCTGATCGATCCAACAAGGCCAAAATGGTTCAATGGAAGAAGCTGTTCGGTCTGGACGGAAGGTATGTCGATTGAGCTACCCTGCAAACGAGTCTGCAAGCAACGAAGAGAAGAGAGAGAGAACTAACCTCAATCACAGCCGCGACCGCCATCTCTGGCGACAAGAAGCCCGGCGTCTCCTCCCTACATACCACGAAGAAGCGCTTCCCTCCGCTATCCCCGCGCCCGAAGTAACGAAAATCGCACTCAAGCTGCGCTACCTGATCGAAGAATGCGTGCCCTGTGAGCTCGAAGAGTCTAAGATCACACAAAGCCATAGCAGGATAATTACACATAAGGTGGTGAAGGCGGCCAAAGAAGCAGGGAGGAACGAGGGCGGGGAGGACTATAGCGCTTGTGTGGTCTATGCATTGTTGGTTAATAAGAGGTGGTTCAAGATGCAGGCTATGCTTGAGCTGTGGGATGCGGATTTGCATAATATTAGGGCGATTGCTTGTGAGGTTATTGCCAAACACCTGTAGGTTTGGGCAGCAGAGAGACGGGTGTTGGCTGACAATGGACAGGATCGAGGGAGAAGACAACCAAGAATACCTCCTGCAGGAATTGCTCCTCAAGCGCTACTCGATTATAGTCGACGGCGAGCAAACAGCCCCCGCAAATGTTATCGAACGAGCAGTCGATCTGCACGCCCTCCGAGTTACAGGATCATCTGGATATCAAAAATGCGTTAATTATCTTTGGCGGGGATGGCTGGTACAAGATGAAAACGACCCTAGCAATTTCGTCGACTATAAGAAAAAAGATAATACGAGTTATTGGGCACATGTTGATCCGGATCGGATGAGAGCGCCTGTTTACCAGAATGCCACGCAAGTCGTCTTTTCGCTCATCTATTTGGGGTTGTATACCGGGGCCATTAATACGGTCAATCCAACTGGAGATTTGGATATCATTGAGGTCATGCTTTATGTTTTCACCCTCAGCTTTCTTTGCGATGAAGCCAGTAAGTTCTGGAAAGTAGGGCGGTTTTACATTGGTTTCTGGAACGTGTTTAACCTCTTACTCTACGCGCTCCTCACTACGAGCTTGATCACGAGAATTATTGCTCTTGGTCATCCTTTTGAACTGGATCATAGGGGACCGAGGGAGAAGTTCAATGAGCTTTCATACAACTTTCTTGGCAAGCCATCCTATCCCGTGCCACTCTTGGGGAAGTGTGCTAATATTGTGTAGCGTTCTCTGCCCCAATGTTCTGGGTACGCCTTCTTCTCTACTTGGATTCGATCCGCTTTTTTGGAGCAATGCTAGTCGTCCTAAAAGTGATGATGAAAGAATCTCTCATCTTCTTCGCTCTCCTAATCGTAATTATCGTCGGCTTCCTCCAAGCATTCATCGGAATGGACAACGCAGACTCCAACGCCGACGCAACGATCTTCATCCTGCAAGCCATGGCCAACGCCGTCATGCAGTCCCCTGATTTTAGCGGCTTCGATAACTTTGCTCCTCCTTTCGGCATTATTCTCTACTACATTTTTACATTTGTCGTCATGGTTGTGTTACTCAACATCTTGATCGCGCTATATAATTCCGCGTATGAAGATATCACGAATAACGCGATCGACGAGTACATGGCTCTCTTTAGCCAGAAGACAATGCAGTTCGTGCGCGCGCCTGATGAGAATGTATTCATCGCGCCTTTGAATCTCATCGAGATTTTCTGCTTGATAATCCCGTTTGAATGGTGGATGCCTCGACATTACTATGCAAAATTGAATGATTATGTGATGGGTGTTGTTTATTCTCCGCTGTTGATGGTGGCAGCCTGGTTCGAGATGAGAAGCGCCAGGATGGTGAAAAGTAATAGGTGTAGGGGAGAGGAGGATGATGACAGCGTCGAGGAGTGGGAGCAGCTTTCTGGTGAAGTTGATTTCGAGAGGAGTGGCTGGGCGAAGACTGTGGCGAGGGTAAAGCCGAACGTTGAGGAGGACCAAGCGACGATGGAGGTAAGGCAGTTGAAAGGAGAGATCGGAGAGTTGAAGGAGATGTTGAAGCTGTTGCTTGAGCAAGGGGGCGTGAAGCATACGGAGAAGGATGGGGGTGGGGAGTAGGTGAGGCGTGGGGGGAATTAAAAGGGTGACCAATTGAGATTGTAGATATGCTGTATAATGAATCAATCTTGTATAAAATGGCCTCGGCGATGCGTCTTTGCTAGGGAAGTTCAACCCACTCTTGTGGATAATAGATCCAAGTGGACGTCGCCGCCGACTTCTCGGACAAAGGAACTCTCAATCGTCATCCTCATGTCAATCAAACCACCGTTCCATTATCACTAGAACAATAGCCTATCACCAAACATCAAGAAACTATGTTTCTGTACTTCCCTGTTCCTGCTCATCTCGCCTCATAAGCACACCGCACCCGCTCTCACACCTTTGTTGCATGCCGCGCACCCGGCTCCGAAATTTTGTTGCACATCGTCTGGGAGGCCTCCTCTCGTCTGCGTTACGCAACTTAGCCGAACGGCCTCCCATTCGCTGTATTAATGATGGTGGGCTGCTGCCTTGTGCGACTCGTCATCTGTGTGGTGTGATAATAGCGGGGTCCTAGCGAATGAGGGGAGTGGCTTTTGGGCCAATGAGCCGTGAAGTCCTCCCGGTTAGCCGGATATGGAAAGTCTGCGATTGTGAGAAATCGGAGAAATGGGAGGAAGCAGTTTGTTGCAGGTCGGGGGACGTTTCATGTTGGTGTTTTCTTTCGAGTTTGTTTGTGTGGTTGAGTTATGGAATGCCCAGATCATTCCTGGACGTGGCTGGAAATCCTACTTCGAGTCTGAAATGCAAGTGCATGCGGTAGTATTTTCCATCAAAATGATTGCGCATTCGAACACGGGATTCTTGGTACGTTCTTCTTTGTTGTTTGCATCGTCATGGGCAGATATCACGAATTCGGAGACATGTGTGGGTTCAAGATGTCTGTTTGCGGACCTCTTGAACGGCCATCAAATAAAAGCCCCCAGGAACGAGACATTGGGAAGCATTTTGATCATCGAGGACCTCTTTTGCCGTTCAGAAATCTTAGGGAGATCTCTAATAGACTAAATTGCAATCATGGCCGCAAAGAAAAGTGCCCGCCGGAGACTAAAAACTTCCACAGGACAGGATATCTAGCAGGCCATTCCAGAGGTTGTCCAGCATCGCACACCAGATCGAAACAGGAAGCATTCACGACAATGTCAGTGACTACAGTGATACCGAAAGGTTCGCCAGAATGGCAGCACTCATGGCTATGCTTGGCGATGAGATCAACGATTATGGATCTAGGATTCACTGCGAGCTTCAACAACAAATCGATGAGAAGCAGTACCAGGCCGTATCGGACACTATTGATGACCATGTCAAAAGCTTCAAGTGGTACACACCTCCGGTCTCGCTGTCCTTCACGATTTCCTCGGCTGGGACCCCGCTTGCAGCATCTTCTACGACGAGACGGAATCGATTCAGGCAGAGAGCTAATAAAAAGAATTCAGGTTCTTCTTACAGCAAGATGACGAATTCCACGTCCTGACGAGCGACCCCAATGGTCTCCGCGAGTGGTAGTCCTGTAACCGCGAAAAATGGAGTAGGAGAAGAGATAACATCTGGGATCTGAACCGGAGTCTCAACGACTTAGCTTTCCGAATGGATAACGTGAAGTAACAGGAACGACAAATACTGCAATCGTAATTCGAGAGATAGTCAGACTGGACCACATCTCAGCTCGACTGGATCCCCAAATGCGAACGCTTGCAGAAGAAATTCAAAATAATCGCTCGCAAAACTGCGAAGCTTGAAGGCAGGATCTCTCCTTTCAGCGTTGTGAGGGAGTGAAGGCCAGTCAAAGGCTTTGGGTTTAAGATCAAGGCGGCCGATGTCATGGTAGTATGAGCTTGGCTTCACTTGGTGGCTTACAACGATTGGGGCAGACCATCTCCTTTATTGTCTTGACAGATCTAGGGCGTAGTAGGAGCTGCCCCCCAATAGACTGGAATAATGCGAAGTTACGACAAGCATGGCGAAATTGGAGATCACAGATATTAACAATCATATACCGAAAATCGAAATACTAAAGAATATCACAGGAAGCTTGATAAATGGAGGAATGGGGAGAGATGGGCACACCGTACTGGAACAAGCTGCACTTGAAATCGAGAAGAAAATGCAAATGGCTAAAGAGCGGGAACAGCTGCTGGCTGATCTTATCGTATTGCATAAGGAGCAGTGCAGACTTGAATTCGAACTTGTCGAACTTTAGAGCCGGTAGAAGATGCAGAAAGCAATCTCGGACTTGCTTCAGTTAATTGTAATGTTCCACAATTCGGCAGCTTATCTCGGGGTTTCGCGAACAACTTGTACTTCATTCTGGCCTACCATTACTAGTATTAGCATGTTTTCAACTGTTTAGCAAAGGTACAGCGCAGCACCGACTTCATCAAGTTGTGTAGACTCAATCTCCTTGGTTTAGTAGAAGAAAATTATGAGTCTCGTGACATGTAACATAAGGAACTACTTGAGAATATCCGAGAAATAATCGACCAGGTACAGAATGACGAAGATTTCGGAACAGTTTGGGCTGATGTCCGATTTTATAACATGAATGAGCAGCCTAAGCTATAATAGAAATCGGCGGCCTGACTCGAGTGTTCTTGCATCGCTCATCGCTCATCGCTCATCCAAAAGCTAAGGTTTTCAGCACATGCGGATATCGGTCAGGCAGGCGACGACCGAGCTCTGCAGGAGAAGATGGCATGGGGCCGTATCTCACCCGCCCGAGATCATGTGGCCGGGCGAAGCTCTCAGCCAAGCATATTAGTCGGGTCTCGACCGTTACACATGCCAAGAATATTGCGGATTTGGCCTGCAACTTCGTACGGTATTACAAAAGAGCGAACTACCAGTTACGTGTAACGCGATGAGAGGGGTCTAAAATCGACTTCCAGAATAATATTGAAATCCTCCCTCTGATTTAGTAGTATTAATTTAATTTAATTTCTTCGTTATATGCGATCTCAAGGTATTCCGGTTTCTATAATTAGATTCAAGTGATAATAGTGTCATCTACTTGCTTGAATATTGTCAGAACCCTGATCATTTGAGGTTCCATCACGAGAGCCCCTAAGTACCTTGCCATCTTGAAAACATTACAAATTGTAAGAAATCGATAACTTGGCGAAACACGGTTTGCAAATTCCGCGCTTCCTTGGCGGTCATCGTCTTACTCAGAGCTTTCTCGAATTTCAAGATTCGTTCAAGATTCAACGAAAACATTCGGCAACCAGTCCGGACCGTATACTATCCGAACCTATCGGTAACCAGTCGGATCCAATCAAAGCTGCGAGCAGCCACAAAAGACGGCCGCGCAAACCAATGGCACTAGCAGGATATTTTGGGACTTTGCTGCGGTTGCCACCGGCCCACCAGGCCCGTAAGCCCCCGCCTCTGCCATGCAATGGTGATGCTGTAAGCTGCTGATATGCCAAGCCATTCACTCATTGTCTGTGAGGGAGTAAATGTATATATCCAATCTTTCTGCCCTTCTACTAGGACCATTTTCCATTTAATAGTCTTAACAATTATCTATATCGCATCGTTCTTCCCTTTGTCTTTCCTATCTCCTTGGATTCAATCTTTACGATTTCTGAAATTTACATCTCCTTTTGACATTCCCTTCCCCCGGAAACATGGGAGTACTTCTAGCCGGTTCGCTCCTTGCCCTCTTGACTTATACATCCGCCACTCCAATTGTGCAACAAACATCTCGTTCAGGCTTCATCGATCTTCCCAAAAGCTATGCTGCCCTCGGAGACAGCTTTGCAGCTGGTCTTGGCTCGGGATTTTTCTTGAACAACTCCAGAGACGCTTCTGATAGTATGCTAACCACTCTCTCCACCTGCTTTAACCTTAAAAATGCTAACTCCAGCAGTTGAATGTATTCGCCAAGATGATTCATACCCGAGACAACTTCTCCAGTTCCTTCCTTTCTTGTTGCCTAAAGACCATCCTTTCGATTTCACCGCATGCACCGGCGACGTGCTCGACGACATTGACGGACAAATAGCCAAACTTATAGGAAGGAAATTTGACGTCCTCACCGTCACTATCGGTGGAAACGACTTCGGCTTTGAGGAGATAGCAGTATGTGATCATTATCCCATAGCAAGACCAAATACTAACAGTGCATTACAGGTCGCCTGTGCCTACGCAAAAATTATCCCAGGTGTCGACGCCCAAGCAGTCTGTGACGCCGCCCTAGACGCCGCCTTCGCCACAGTTGATGATCCAGCCATCCTCGACAAATTCGAGCAGAAACTTGACCTCATCAAATCCTCATCTCTAGCTCCAGGTGGAACAATCTTCGTCACAGGGTATGCTCAATTGTTCGATGGCCCTATCGAAGGGGACGCATGCGATCAGATTTCTTTCTTCCCAATCGTAGAGCTCGCAGCTTTGAATATCACTTCCTTCAATCGGCTCCGCTCGAACGACCTAACTCTTAAGATCAATGCTCTTATTGAGAAGGCTGTGTCCAAAGCTGGCGACGAATTCCAGTTCATCGATTTCGATAAGGTGTTTGAGGGGAAGAGATTCTGTGAGCAGGACAATGATGATGATCCTATCGGCGCCAATAATCCTAATGTCTTTTTCAATGATCTTACTACGATTCTACCAACTCCCGGCATTGCTCCACTTGATAAGCAAACTCCCGGTTTAACCGGTGTTGATATCACGGATCCGTTGCAGCAGGTTTCGGTTTTCCATCCAAAGGGATCGCTCCCTTATACTCCCCTCGCTGCTGAGATTGCTTTCAGAATCCTGATTGATGCGCTCAAGTAAGTTTTTATTTTATTGACTGTTTGTTGAGTTGATGCTAATGTGTGGTGTCTTAGGAGTCATGATGTAGTTGTTGGTCCTGCTAAACACTGTGGTGGTTCAAAGCATTGGCGACGTGGAGACGACTGTTGCTATGATATCCCGGATAAGTGTGCGATGGTCAAGCAAGAATGGAAGGATGCTCCAACTGTTGTCTGTGAGAATGGAGATAGTTACGCCGCAAAGATTGTAGCATAAGAGCTGGATGTGTGGTGTTTAAAACCTGACGGACTTGAAGTTGATTCGAGTGAGACATGGCATGGCATAGGCCAGCTGGGCCAGATATAGACAAAGACAACCAGGGGTCTTATCTCGAATCTCACTCTACTGTCTTTTATATAGGAGTTCAAGTGCGCCTCAAAACCAACGGAAATTCTATAGCTATATGAGCAAGACGATCGCTTTCTCCTCCCCAGATCCGATTGACAGACACAAAGTTATAATTTATGCCTTCCCCAGCAATAACGATGTGTACTAGTGCTGTGCACGTTGACTTCGGATTGCCGTACAGAGTTGCGCCCATGTTTGCGGTCTGGAGTTTTAATACAGTTGCCACGGAAGTCACAAATATAATAACCGGGAACACGAGGACGAGTATGTGACCCGATGAGAGGTACCTCTGGGATAGGGAGTAGCAAATTTTCTGACGGGTAGTCTGCGGGTGCTGTTATATTGCTCTGTGGTCTTGAGAGACATACTCCAGAAATTGTCGAAAAACCTCGTCCTGCTGGGGATTTCGCAACGGATACCCACAGACCCAGGATTAATTTTCCCTTTCGCTGGTTCTGTTTTAGTCTGCGGACGTGAGCAACTGCTGCTTTAACCTGAGCTTAGGGTAGCATGCCGGAGCAGAGCCTAAGCAGAGCCTGAGTATCCAGAGCACGCCTGAGTCAGGCCTGCGCACCACAATGTGGGACCCATTTCGGCTACAGTTTGCCTAAGACTAAATCGAGGTCATAAAAAATTATGCATCCGGTTTTCAGAGCTTAGTAAGGATTGCTAATAAATCGTTTATGTGCGAATATCGAGTTTTACGAATATTATTTAAATTATAATATTAGTCTTACTTATTCCTTAGTACTATATAATTAAAGCTATTTACGACCTCGTTTCTTATATATTATAAGAAATATTATTATTTAGTACAATATAGAATACAATATAATAGAAAATTCTTTTTAGCTATATAATATAAATTATATATAATATTTAGAGGTTTTTAATAAAGTATATTTATTATTATATAAGAACTTCATTAATTATTATAATATTATATAAAAGAAATAAGTTATTAGCTTATAATATTTATTATTTATTAGATTTAAAAAAGAAGCTAATTTATATTAAGATTAAAAGTAATAAAAAAATAAACTTTTAAAAATATTACTTATTATTAGTTTGAGTTTATAAAAGTAAAAATAAGAAATAAAGTAATAAAGCTATTATTAAGAACTAAATTATTTAATATATTACTATTATATTATTAATATAATTATAAGAAATAAAGAATAATAAAAGATTCTTTTATATATAATAGTAATATTAATAAAGAAAAGAGAAGAAGTTAAAATAAAATAAATCTTTAAATAAAAGTTATAGCTTATAAATTTGATAATATTTTAAATACTTTTTAATTTTTATTATTTTTACTTTTATTTATTTTTACTTTTATTTATTTTTACTTTTATTTATTTTTATTTTTATTTATTTTTACTTTTTAAGCCAAGGTAGTAGTGTTTTAATCCCCAGATCTGGGATAGTTATATCGCGGTTTTAGGGGGGTCGGAACACGAAAACTAAGCGAGCATCATCAGGGGCAGCCAAACATGGAGGGGCAGCTAAATTGGACGTTGCATAATCTGAACAAGACCGGAAAACACACTTTGAGAGTCTGGGCGGTAGAACTTGGGGTTGTTATTCAGAAGATTATTGTAAATTTAGGGGGTCTGAGGTATAGTTATTTGGGCCCTCCTGAGAGTTTTAGGGCGGGTGTTGATAAGCTTGGAGTTTATGATGGCACGAACTCCGCGGGGATACAGGTTAAGGATGTTATTTGATGTTTTTGGGAAGAGATTAGACGCCTCTGTAATATTTAAATTTTATTCTTTTGTTGATTTGCAATGTCTGGTTCTAGAAGCCTGTTCTCGAATATGTAACGTGCTCGACGGTATGATGTGTTATTGGAAAATTGAGTTGCAACTAAATGAGTCTAGCATTGGAGATTAGTCAGGGCTGCGAGGATCAATTCTCCCTCACTAGATATGTGTCAACCCACGGTGTCGACCTTCAAAGGGACTGATCAGAAGCGTAGAAGGCAATTTTAAAAGGAGAGTTGGTATGGGCTGTAGAGTACTAATGTTCATACTGGCTGGGGTCAAACAGTTCCTGGCGATCTCACTTTTGTTCTAAGCCCGCTTCATCCGTCTTCTCTTCCCATATCCTGAATCTTCAGGTGCCTTCGGTAAAATATTGAATTGCGCCGGAGGCTTTCTAGGGAATCTTTGTGGGCCGTTCCAGCGTTGAGGACCCGAACATATTTCTCGACAGTGTATATCTTCACATACTTGAGTCTAGAAGCAGGATGTAGATAACCTTCCTGGTCGTCCTGTTCACGCATGACTCTGATCGGATCTTTGGACAGGTTTTCCGTCACCACTGTTCCGTCGCCGGTAGTATATCGCTGCTCTTCCGGAACTTGATTACTGGTGTAGATTATAGCATGCTGTTGGCGAACCGGAAGATTTGGTTTCAACGCGGCTTGACCGCTATAGGTTTGAATTGGTCTGCAAGGTTTGTTTAGAGTGAGATCCTGCGAGGTTCTGTTGCGGACTTACGAGCATATGCACGCTCTCGCTGTCGTCCTCCGAATCCTCGCTGCTCGCCGGTGCATCGATCACTATACACAACACCTCGCTGTGGTTCTTGAGACTATAATTCCTGCACGGCATATAGTCATCTTTCAACTGCTGCCCCTTGTATAGTAGCTTAATCCGCTTGGCACTGCCTTCGGGCAGATCCATGATTGCCGCAACACGCTCCCTCACATCTCTGACTTGAAGTTTGCCATCCGCGATACTGTATGCTGGGAATTTGACCGGATACGTGATCCCCTTGTTCTTGATCAAGAGCATATCGTCTTCGGCGGGGGGCGAGGACGAGGAGGGCTTCTCTGACAGAGTACCACCATCTAATACCTCTTGTGCAATTCGTTTGAAGAACGAAATGTCTTCATCATCAGGCTCGAAAGTTATCTGATGGGAGCTTGCTTGACGACTATTCTGCCGATTCCCCCTAGGGTTATCTGTCTCGGTAGCGGTCTCTGGAACGTTCGAAATCTTAAGTACGGATGTATAGACCTCTTTTTCGCATACTGAACTACTCTGGAAGTTAGAAATGACACCTCGCAGGTGACAGAGGGATATCAACCTACCAGGTTGCCCACGATTGGCTTTCTCTCCTTTTCAGTGTCCCCAAGCAGCTAGACTCGGGGCAGCATTCTTCATCCGAGGTCCAATTTGATCCGAAACGCTTCTTCACAAGCACTGACATGGCAATTTTTGCGCCCGGAGCAACCGAATAATCCCAATTTTCCTCGTTCAATGCTCGGTTGTTTCGCAAGCTCAGGACTAGATACTTACCATGGTTTACCCACGCCGAGCCAGGAAGATCTCTAAACTCGTACTCTATAAATGCTTGCAAGATCTGTCATGTCTGATTAGCCAGGTTTTGCGACCCACAAGTGTTACTTTTCGTCCTACTTTGAAGGTGCGGAAATACTCAAACGGTAGGACCCGTGCGGGGCGTCCTATTGCATCCAAGAAGGATATGTTGTACTTTGCCAATAAGACCGGCATCAGCGCTCGCGAGGGCTGAACCAAGCGTGATAGCACAATGCTAGTTACATTTAGCAGCCTTAGGAAAGAAGATTCGTGTTAGATCACTCACAACAAATTCTTTAGGAAGGTTCCAAGGTAGAGCAACACGAGATAGTATCTACACAATTTAGCACGAATGACTCTCGATCCCCGACCAAAAAACTTACACTTCTGCTAGAGACTTGTCATTGACTTCCATAGCTGGAGCATCTTTCGCCTGGCTCGACGTCCGATCAGGAGACTCGACAAGTGACCCAACGATACGGGAACGATCTAGCAAAGCAGGCTGTGCGGGTTGTCCCGCACCTCCACTCCCGCCCTGCAGGGAAGACTCGATGTGTTGTTGCACAATCTGGGGTTTCTTCAACTGCTGCTTGATCTCCTGCATATTGGAAGATATAACCTGGTAGTGTTCCGACAGTTTCGTAATTGCTGCGTTCATATTACATATGCTAGTTGTGGGATTTGGAGGTAAGCAATCTCGAAGGATGGCAACAAGCTCGGGTCGTATTGTCTCTGCGAACGTAGTGCGTAGAGTATCAGGGAGCTTTTGCTGAGCTGTCCACACGACGTCCCTAGGTCAAAATCAGTTAAAGCTCTTCGCAAATCATGATAGTAAGGAAAAGCACCTGAAGGTTTGACGTACAAAGTAAGTCGCTGCATTAGCGAATCGAGGATTCGCATATGCGATTCGGTTTGCCCCTTCAGCCTCAAAACCTTTTTCGACATGAGGATATGCCATTGCAACTTTCTGAAGACGGTTGGCACACTCCTTTTCCAACCCTTGGTCGCATTCGCTCCCAAGCTCGGCTCATACTTCAGAACTGCTGCCAGGAAATCTTGCACAGGCTCCTTGATATGGTCAACCTGCTGCCCAATCTCTCGCCCGTATGCCGGATATGCACCCCAAGCTGTAAATGTATGAAGAGGTTCGAGAGTCCGCTTGAGATCGTTGAGGAAAGATACAGCCTCGCGATACTCTTTGGCAGCTCCATTGGCATCGTCGAGGGCTTGGATCAGATTGTAGGTAACTGCGATCGCCGTGGCGATATCGCCGGCTGACCATCCGAAAGACATTGTAATGTCTTTGCGAGAATAGCCATAATGGTCGAAAAATTCGAAGGTTTGTTGGCGTCAATTTTTTCTTGATGTTGTCCGCGAGGCTTTTCGCGGGGCTGAACAAAGTGGTGGTGGCGGTGTAATGCTTGGAACTCGACCTATTAGCGGGTTCGCGTTACGCTAAAGGTTGCAGTCGATCAGCTGGTTGCGTCGGGGGGACTGGCTCACTTCAAGGAGTTTAATTGGAGAACACAAACGGGATATCCTGGAGTCTGATAATTGCTTGAAGATATCGGTGATAAAAGGCATAGTTAAAAATCGCCTCCAGATAACTAAAACTACCGCTTTTGATTTTTTTTACTTCTATCTGAGTAATAAATATTAAGTAAAAAAGCATATGGTCAAATTTCAATTTGAGCTGTTAAGCAGCTTGGGCAGGCGAACCCTAAATATTCACCGTTTGCCTAAGCGCCAAATGAAAAAGCTGCTAGAAATCGCCGTACCCTTTCACTCGTAACCCTTACTAACATTATGGCTATCGGCATCTGCCTTCATAGAGGTTTACTTGAGTTCCTAAAAGCCTTCTATCCCACTTTCTTTTCAAATGGCGCACACTATGGAGACTTTTCTATACTAAGGCGGCCGAGCAGCAGGGGCGCGACTTTTATAAACGTTAAAAGCGGCGAGTGGCCCGTGTATACGCCTTGCCCGATGCGGCAGGCGCCAAACCCGGGATAATAAACACCAAAACTAAGATTACTTTTATTTATTTTTACTTTTAGCTTATTATATAATATATTTTGCAAAAAAACCCTTTTTAATTTATTAATTATTAAAGAAATTAAAAAAATATTAATAATTATAAATAAGAGTCTTAGTTAAAAAAAAATTTTTTTTTAGCTTTATTAAGCTAAGGCTTCTTATTTATTAAATATTAGTAATTCCCGAAATAGCTTATTATTATATAAGAAAAAAAAGAATATTATTTAATAATAAAGAAATAGCTTAATTTTTATAATTATAAAAGCTAGATTTATATATTTCTTTAATTATTTAACTTTAATATATCTTATATAAAAGCTATAATATAAAAGAAAAGAAAATTAGTTTTAGGCCAATATTTATTAAATATAATATATATAATATTGAATTATATAAAAAACTTAGTTTATATTATATTTAGCTAAGTTTATATAAGAATAAAAACAAAAAGTAAAAAATTTATAATTAAGATATTTATTATAAAAAGTATATAATTTACTATAGTAATATTTTCTTTTATAAAGAAAATAAATTATATATAAAAGTAATAAAAAGATCTTTAATTATATAAAGCTTTTTCTAGTTTTAATTAAATAAGAAATTCTTTATAAAGTCTTTTCTATAATTCGAGTAATTTCTATTTATATATTTTATTTATTTAGTTACATAAATAAGTAATTTATAAATATAAGTTATAATATTATATATTTTATTAAATAAATTTAAAAGCCTAGACTTAATTTTCCTAATTTTTTTTTAATTTTTTAATTTTTTTTATATAATTCAAGTTTCTTATTTTAATTAATTTAGAGAATAAAAGGGCTTATATTATAAAATTAATAATATAGCTAATAAAATAAATTTATATATATTATATATTTTATTTAATATTAAGCTTTTATATAATAGTATATTTTTTAAAACTAGAAAAAGAATTAAGAATTATTCTTTTTCTAAATAATTATAAACTAGTTTAAAAATAAAAAAGATCTTTTAATACTTAAGCTTATAATATATATATATAAATAAAATAAAAAAAGTAATTTAAAAAGATATAAATATTTAGGGAAATAAATATATAAAATTATTAATTAAAGAACTTATTATATAGTATTTTTATACTAGACTTATAATTCTTTAACTTTAATAAAAATAATAAAATAAGAAATATACTTTTATAAGCTTTATTTAAAACTTAATATAAAATATATAAAACTCTAGTTATTTTATTATATTATAAAAATAATTAATATTTTTATAGGAATTCTTTATTTAATTTATTATTTAAGAACTTATAAATTAAATTTCTTTATATTTCTAAGTATTTAAACTTAATAATAAAGTCCTTAAATTTATTAAATAATTATTTTTTTAGTTCTTAAAATTAATAAGCTTAAGAAAACAAGTAAATAATGCCTTTAAATATACTTTTTAAGGTTTCTTATAATAATAGTATTTTATAATAATAAGAGAGAATCTAATAATATATATAATAAAATAAAGCTTTATTTTTATTAAATGCTATATAATAAGAATACTTTTAAATTAAAGAAGTCTTCTTTAAATAGTTTATAAAAGACATTACTATCTCGAAGATTATAAGGAAATAATTTAGTTTAATTAAAGAAGATATTTTAAGAATATAGTTAAGGTAAATTAATTATATAAGTAAGTAAAAAGTAAGGAATGGAGCTATAGTAAGGGAAATAGCAGCGGATTTGCTTACCCATGTTATTTTCGCCTTATCCTTGCTATTTTGGAACAATTAGAATATTCCAATACCGGTATTACCTAATACTTATCGATACCGGCTGGAGCGTCCCATGGAATGTTCCAGGGTGGAACATCGCCAAGCCTGAAGAAATGGTCCTAGAAGAATGGGCAAGGATACCACAAGATTGGATTAATGAGCTTAGTTTTAAAGCAGGAACACCGGGTTCAAGTATTAATGGAGCGCCACGGATGGTCAACTCCTAAATAAATAAGAAGTGGTTGATAATATTCGCTTTTGTGAGCCTTAATGCCTAAAATGCAGCCTTAACCTTATCTGACCAGGCTCGTAAGCATCTGAAACGCCAAGTTTGAACACCACCTTCGTGAAAAGCAATGCTACATCCGCCGAACAAATCATGGGCGATCGACACCAAGCATGTTTTGACTCGCTCACATTTGGGGTTCATACTACGATTGGGTACTTTGACTTGAGCGCCCCCGCTAACCCCGAAAAGACTTTGGGCAATAAGGCTGTAAAAGAGGGCAGCACCAGCGGAAATTGGATACACGACCATGAACTGGAGGGCAAGTTAGAACAATTGGTTAGTGATATATGTTCCTGGTTATTTACGAATGGTAACCGGTGCACCTAGTCTTTGATCAGCGGATGTAGAGGTCCAATTGATAATGGGGACAAGGAGGAGACCACCAAACCTCAAATTGTGTTCCTGTGAGGTCTCGATACTTTCAAACTTTGGAGACTGCATTATTAACTATCCGCCGGGCAGAGCGGCATATGGACTGCCAATGAACAGAGATCTCGCGATTAGAAAGGGCCACTTTGTTAGCATTATGGACACTTGTTGTTTTCCGAAAGAATTCTATGAGGCACTATGCGAGAAGACTGGCCACTTTGCTCATTTCATAAGCTTCATGGATGATGAGTCTCCAGGCTGGATCTGTAAGTTGTGGCCTCCGCTATCGCACGTTCGCATCACTTATCACGTAGTGCAGCCGTTGTTGTCAAAACACCTCACTCGGAAGCAAACTTTTCGTTCGTGCTCCGTATAAGAATTAGTGACCGCTCGACAGTTTGCCTCTTAATGATCCAGGATGATCAAATGCTAGATGCAGTAGTACACCGCCTATATGCGCGCAAAAGAATGTTGCAAGAGGCGCCACTCCAAATACTGAGCATTCTTTGTGAGGAATACGGATGCAGAAACGAATTGTGGCGAGAAGAGCTTGATATGTCCATCGTTGGTTTGGAGCAACGCATCGTCAAGATAGGATTCGATATCAAGAGCTTCGATGAAGGCATTAGCACCGACGAATCACTTACCAGGTGGCTTCACAAAACAAATACGAACTTGACGTGGCTTGACTGTACGACAAACTTTGAGCTCAACCTTTTGAAATTCTCAAAGGAAACGATTGAGCTCTATGAAACAATCCGTCATGAGCAAGATTTAACTATGCTTCCTAGAAGGTGCCGCACGCTCATTGAGTGTGAGATTAACTCCTTGATGAATAGCTGCTCAAATCGCCAATATCACGGAAGCCGGTTGCAAGACAGGACGAAAGTGCAAATCGCCATTGTGAGTAACTCCCGAACTGGATTACTAGAATAGCTGTTCTGACTTGAAATAGCTCTCATCCCAGATTTCGCAAAGAGATAGTAGGATCAATCTCTCCACCGCTCGGGCTTCAAAAAATATTGCTCGATCCACCCTTCAAGATGGTCGAGCAATGAAGACTATTGCTGTACTAGGCTTGCTGTTCTTACCCGCAACATTCATCGCGGTATGCTCCCAATCTTTATCGATATAATAAGGATGCCCCTGCTTATAATTGCTAGAGCATATATGGTGCAGGCATTGTTGACTTGCGCTCTGATAGTATAGCTGTCCCTCGCCTCTGGTGGACATATGCTATTGCGAGTGTTGCTCTGACACTCTTAGTTCTAATAATTTGGGCTGTATATATTCATTACACTAATAGAAAGAGCGTGTCAAAGGACCTAGAAGAGTTGGAGAAGGCAGAGAAGGCAGAGAAGCTTGCTTAACGGCTCTTTATTGACTGCTGCTGAGAGGTTTTAGGGTCTTGAAGTTAAGGAAATTAGGCACTTAGGCGCAAAACAACTTGATAGGATAATATATATTAATCGTTTTATAACTATTAAGAAACTCTTATTATATTATTATACTATATATATATATAATTAGAGAGAATAGACTCATCCTAAGTTTTAGTAAAGTTGTATCTCTATTACGCCTCGTAGAACTTTTACCCTATTAAAGTAACTTAAGATGCATATGGCCACGTGTCACTCTAGCTTAACAACTCATAACTCCCCTTCGGTAACGACCTCATACTAGCAAACAATTCGCCTAACAAAGCCTCACTAACACCACGGGAACTAGTCCAACGCTAAAAAAAATAAAAAAAACACCTTACAAGCGGAACTGAAAACCCGCCTTATCAACCTCTTCCTCCTCTTGGACTCCGCATCCGTCTTTGCCATGATATCCATGTCTGGTAGAACCGAGAGCCATAGCGACAGCATGAGAACCGACCATGCCGTTGCCGTTACCACAACCGCGACTTTCCAGAGCGTCCGCTCAACACGCGTGGAGAAGGTGTTGTACCGGCAGCGAGATACAGACCTCCGTACACCAGGCTGACGAACGAGTTGGCAAGTCCATCGCGCGTGGCGTTCTTTCTTCCTTTCCAGAGGCGTGAGTAGGCGTGGCTGAGGATAAAGAATTATTTCTTGCGGAGGGAAGTAAAATAGGGCGTGGTGATTAGTGGGGAGGAGCGGCCGCAGAGGCTGCGGTATATGAGTTTCCCCACGCCAGATCGGGAGGATAGGAAAAGAGGTAAAGTTGTAATTATTATGGGACCTGAGGACTCGGTGGCTATAGCCTAGAGAAATTCGGGGAGGTCTGCTTATGGCGGGTTCAAGGGGTTAGTGGGGTCATTGTGCCGTGCTCCCCGTACCGTGGACGAATAGAGGTCAGGTCAAGTGTAATTAGCCAAAAAGCGAGAAGTCAAAACACGTGACAATGTGGCAAATCTTGCTCAGGTTGCTCAGGCGAGTTGACGGAGCCGAGAGTGAGCCGAGGGTGATTAGCGCCTGAGCAAGAGCGGCAAGCTTACTGACTGAACGAAATGCGCAAGAAAGAGAAAATTGACCCATAGTACCCGGGATCCGAGGCGTACCGGTATGTGCTCCAGTTTCCTGTCGTTCACCGAAGTGCCGACACTGCATGCTGATCCCCTGAGAATAGAATCTCACACCGTAAAGTCTGCCAAAGCTGCTGGTCTGTCCGCGCCCCGCGGTCCCAAAGCTCCCATATCCGCTACTGTTTGTGTGCCTGTTGGTCTCGGTCAGGCAGCTGCTTCTACTATAAGTGCCTCGGCGGCGTATTCCAAGATCTTTGGGTGTGGGTCCCTATTTCACTTTCGTCAGAGTTCTGGCGCCTGGAGGAGCCTCCACCAACTCTTCACTTGGATGGGTCTCAGTATTTCAGCTGTTTCCAACCTCCTGCAAATTGTATTTCAGGGATTGCACTTCCACATATATCCCAAACAAAGAGTGCTGACTTATAACTTTGGGGCCATCTATAACGACCTTGAACAAGGTATCCTCCCTACGCACTTCATTGCCATGGACACGGAAGCCCTCCAAAGCGACAGACCAATCCACTCCTCTGGCGTCGCAAATACCGATGAGCGTCTTTAGCGTGGTCGGGATGATGAGCTTCTTCTCCTCCTTGTCCGCGACGCGGGCTTGGTGGACGAGAAGCGCGTAGGGCCTAAGGCGCGTTTAGCACGCGTCGCCGTCATCGGGGGGAACCTACCATGGCGAAGGTCTGAAAGGCCTCGAGCCGCGAGAGACGTTAGAGCATGGACTAGACGCGTGCGAGGGGATTCGACGGTTGTCGGGGCAGCTGGACCGGTCCGAACTGCGGAGGTGGGGGGCGGAGGCGGAGGCGGCGTGCGCGGCGTGCTGGGGCGGCTCATCTTGCCAGGAGGAGTGAAGTCGCGAGAGAGTTGAGGTCGCAAGAGGCGTAGCGTGTTGCTTCTGTTGTAGTTGAGGTCAAGGCAATCGATATTAGTTGCATGGCATATTACGTTAGACGAGGCGGGGTTCTTATTATTTTGCTCTTTGCCTCGTCTAAATTTTGGCCTCCATTCACTTAGTCCTGGGCTGCGAGTAAAGGCTGGCCAATCAACATGTAGGGAATGCGAGCTCGCGAATTAATACTTCGACTTTCGTATTTTCGTAGGCGGTCTTGCGAGTCATTAGCAGGGGAGATCCTTCTCTCAAGCCAATCATATGGCATCAGCAGAGAGTCTCAAGCGAGAGCGTGACTCACGCCCGCCTCACCCAGAGATAGAGGAAGGAAGGGAAGTATTTGGCCTCAAGCCGCTTCGCATTTCGTTGTATTTATCTATAATTTGGATTTATTTGAAGGGCAAGATTACGTTGCTGTTTTTCAGTCAATTAGATAGTCGTATGAGATTTTGGTGAGGTTCTTGCCGTTTTGAAGCTTGGCGAATCGCGGAATTTGGTTGCTGGGTCCGTTGTATCCTTGTCGCAGTCCTCACTACCGACTTCGGTACCCTGGGGGATTTCCGTCCATCGAATCTCGGGCAAATTTTACCCATTTATGCGCATTTACCCTAAAATTCTGCATCTCTTTGAGTTGAACTCTCCTCGATCCTCAGCTAGCATATACTGAAGGGCAGCAAATATCCTCATGTTTCCTTGATTGGCCTGTTCTTTAAGGTTACCCCAGCGACTTCTCCCACGATTCGGGACTTCATCAGCTCCGTCAGCCCCGCCCCTCGTGCACCACTTCCCACGACGTGCACACAGAACGTTACATAATCTACATAATCTGGACAAGATAACCTCGGGATCGTAAAGTCCCAAGAGCAACATGAACAGTTCTCAACTCTCGACTGGCAATTGGTGGTCGACACTGAAGACTTCTGCGCAGTCTCTCTTGGGTCTCATACCTGTGTTTCAGAGTACAGCTGGCCCTGTACTTGAATGCTCACCGTCTGCTCTCTCTTCATTTCTCCCATCACACGCATCCATCATAAACGCTGTCCCTGTACAAGCCAATGGCACCTGGTCACAACCCTCGCCACCCTTTCCACACCCAGCAACAGGTCTCCCGGCGCTGTGTGCAATCACAGTGAATGTGATATCATCTACGACCTCCTCATTCAACTTCGGTCTATTCCTGCCTGATGAATGGAATCTTCGATTCATGGGGTCTGGAAATGGGGGATTCGGAGGTGGGATTAATTGGAATGACATGGAATCATCAGCTTTATCTGGCTTTGCTTCCATGTCAACGGATACCGGACACACGTCCTCTGTGCCCGACGCTTCTTGGGCACTGCACAACCCAGAAACGCAAAAAGACTGGGGATATCGAGCCATGCATGAATCTGTCGAGCTCGCTAAGGTTATCACGCAGAAATATTACAATTCGAAGATCAAGTATTCGTATTTCTCGTCATGCTCGACTGGTGGACGACAAGGTCTGAAGGAACTCCAAATGTTTCCAGAAGATTTTGACGGTGTTATATCTGCTGCCCCAGCGTGGTGGACATCGCATCTCCAGCCATGGCATTTAACAATGAGCCTCTGGAACCTGCCACTTAATGGGCCGAATCACATTCCATCTTCCTTGTTCGCCACAATTATTGCTGCAGAGGTGATGAAGCAATGCGATCCTCAGGACGGTCTCATCGATGGGATTATCTCCAACCCAGAAGGCTGCATCTTCGTCCCTGAAACTCTCCTCTGTGGCCCAAAATCCGACAAAAGCAAATGTCTTACCGCATCACAGCTCAATACTCTCGATAAATCATTCAGCGATTGGGTAGATACAAACAACACATTCCTATTCCCCCACCTCTCTCGCGGAGCAGAAGCACAATTTGGCGGATTCATGAGTTACGCTGACTCGGGCCTACCACACCCTATGGGAACGACCTGGGTCTCAAACTTCCTGCTTAATCTCACCACGACAGACTACGACTGGGCCACGAACTTCGATTTCCGTACCGTCCAACTAGGCGATGAGACAAATCCCGGTCAAGCAAATGCCGATGATTTCGACCTCTCCCCTTTCGCTGCTCGAGGTGGGAAACTCATTCATTACCACGGCTACAGCGATGGTCTAATCCCCGCAACCGCAAGTATCTACCTGCACCAACAGATCCTCCGCAGCCTCATCCCCAAAGGCGTCTCCACACCTTCATTCTACAAACTCTATCTGATCCCCGGGCTACTTCACTGCAGCGGTTCTATCGGAGACGCACCTTGGTACATCGGTGGTGGAGGCCAGCATTCTACGTTAGGAGCGAATGTGAAGAGCATTCCGGGGTTTGAGGATCCGAGACATGATGTGGTGTTGGCGTTGATGAGGTGGGTTGAGGAGGGTGTCGCGCCGGAGGAGTTGGTGGCGACGAAGTTTGTGGATGATAGGGTTGAGAAGGGGGTGAGGAGGCAGAGACTTGTTTGTCCGTATCCGATGCAAGCGAGGTGGGATGGGGCGGGGGATCCGGACTTGGCTGAGAGTTGGGCATGTAAGGGGCTGCATTGAGTTCCGTTGGGAAATTATCAAGCAACTGCTTATCGCTTGGCCTTTGTGTATCGATTTGCTTTCACTAGATCTTTGCTGGTATGTATGAGATAAGCTGGTAGATGGTATCGCCCAGGGAAGTTGAGGAACTTGAGGATCTAAGAGGGAAAATAGAGGCCGAAAGGTCAATTCACCGAGTTGTAACCTGTAAATGCGAGCCAAACCCCCCAAGGAGCTTCATTATATAAAATGTCTATGTTTCCAAAGAGACATAAACTTATCTGTTCCAAGTTCGATCATCTGTTATTGTGTTTTACAGGGAAAGTGAATGCTCTTTGTTTCCCATAACCTGGATGACCGCATGGTTGGCGGCAAGGGGCACAGTTGAGTTGACTTCAAAAGTCTCCAGTCGAGCAACGCAGAAGCCTCGTCGTCGCATCAAAGATTTGGCATAACCACTTCTTATATTGGCATTATGCAGCAATTCACTAGAGATGAGTATCTAATATATATTCAATGATGACGATTCAACTGCAACCAGACATTGGGCTTCATCGGCACCTTGGATTAACAATGACGCCGAGGTGGAGACTGAGCCCGGGCTGACCTGGGGTCGAACGATATTCGCAGGATAACGACAGGGCGAAGGTGATAAGACTTCCTGGCCGTCGTAATGAGCGGTATAACACTGAGAATGGCCATGGTTGCGGAGGGTCTGCATCTGTATCGGTAGTTCTATGGGAAGTACAATAGAGCCGCGATTTCTTCAACGCAAGAGTTGTTCTTGTTTCTCGATCTGGCCATCCAATAGCAGGATTGTTACTGACCGCCAGTAAATAGAGTGTGGCTGTCCATAGGACATTTTCACTAGCTTATAGCTTCAATATTGTCCCGATCTAGATCCTGGTCGACTCCGGGGAGAGACAGGGGAACCTGGAGCCGATGCAGGGACCAGGCATGGCGCATCCGATTACCAAGAAAAAGTATTTTCAAATCCAAGTAATTTGAGATTCCATATTGAGATACATTAGTTAGACTTGTTCCGGCATTCTGGCGCCGAAGAATCGGAGAGGGCGAGGCCGCGAGGCCGGGATGTGGGGTTGGGAACGTCCGCTTCTCGGCTCCCTTGCCTGCCCCCGCTCTCGCGCCCCTTCGAAACTCCCTCCAGATAGGCGCACATGCTGTTTGACCACGCAATGCGAACTTTGTCAAGTGTCATAGGTTACGATCGGTTTCCTATACCTCTTCCGATCACGTTCCTTCACATTCGCAGTCCCGCGAGATCCAGAATTCTCACTGGTCTCAACTCTCCTCTTGCATTTTTACGCCTGTTTTGCCCATCATGGCCGGTCACTTCCGCAGCCTGCCTCCTCAGGCCTCGCAGAAATTCCCCCCTTTTCCACAGTTCTCGGGTTTTATGAAACCATGTCGCTTCGAAGGGGAGGTCCAGAACCTCGAGGTCATCGGCTCTATTCCTCTTGAGCTGGATGGGACTTTCTACCGTGTCATGCCAGATCCACAGCTCCCGCCGTTGATTGAAGACGATCCAGTGAGTTTACGTGGGCTGAGAGGCGTTGATCGTGGTCTTTCAACTTATTCGGTTGCTTTTAGTGGTTTAACGGCGACGGCAACGTCAGCGCCTTTCGTGTTCAGTCAGGAAAGGTTCATTTCAAGCAGAGATATGTTCGCACCGAGAAATTTCTCAAGGAGAAAGAGGCGCAGCGTGCTTTGATGGGTAGGTAGTTTGCCAACTTCCAGGCCCGAGTTGGTCCTGACCTAGACAATGCAGGCAAATATCGCAACAAATACACAGACGCTGTTGAGATCAAAATTCGAAGCACTGCCAACACGAACATCTTTTACTTCAACGGAATGTTGCTGGCCTGCAAAGAGGATTCTCCACCCTACGCCATGAACCCAGAAACTTTGGAGACGATTGGGCTTTGGGATTTCAATGGGCAGCTTCCCAGCTTGACATTTTCTGCTCATCCTAAAATCGATCCTGTTACCAAGGAACTTGTGTGCTTTGGCTACGAAGCAAAAGGTGACGCCACGCCAGATATCTGCTACTACACTGTTAGTCCAGGCGGTCGATTCAAAGAAGTCGTTTGGATGGTATCCCCTGTAGTTGCCATGATTCATGACTTTGCAGTTACGGAAAACTATGTAATTTTCCCCCTAATTCCTCAGACGTGTGACATCGAACGGATGAAGCAAGGTGGAGAGCACTGGCAATGGAATTCGGAAATCCCATTCTATATCGGGGTCCTTCCCCGGCGAGGTGCTCAAGGATCAGATATCAAGGTATGAGGCTTTTTGGGGGCAGTCTCATGTTCGCAGTTGCAGTATGGCTAAAGTGTAGTACAGTGGTTCCGAGCCCCGAATGCTTTTCCAGGCCATGTATCCAACGCGTACGAGGCAGATGACGGACAAATTATGCTCGAACTTCCCATTAGTGACAAGAATGTCTTCTTCTGGTGGCCAGACGCACAAGGAAATGCTCCAGATCCGCACCAAATCACGTCGCACCTCGCGCAATTCGCCATCGATCCGAAAGCAAGCAACTTGGATATTACTCCGCAAATCATTTTGAAAGAAGACATCGAATTCTGCCGCATCGATGACCGCTTCTCGATGTCGAAACACCGACACATCTTTTGCGACCTCATGGATCCAAGACTAGGCACTGATTTCCTTGCTATTGGCCCCGTCATGGGTGGCGGACACCCACCATATAACGCATTAGGACATTTTGACGAGGTTACCGGCAAGTGCGAGAAATACTTTGTCGGTCCGAAACACTTGGTTCAAGAGCCCGTCTTCATTCCACGGTCTTTAGATGCCCAAGAAGGTGACGGTTACCTTCTTGCATTGGTGAATAACTACGAGTTAATGACGAGCGAGCTGCACTTGGTCGATACCAGAGATTTCTCCAAACCACAAGCTATTGTATTACTTCCTATCAGGTTGAGAGCGGGGTTGCATGGGAACTGGGTCGAAGGCCAGGAGTTGGAGCTGGTTCCAAACTGACCAGGAATCTTTTTCAATAGCGTTAAAATGGAGAACTTCTTCGCACTCCAACCTGCTATGCAAGCGGGCCCCTGTCTTCTCTACTTGCTAATTTAGTAAATACGTAAAGTGCGATATATTAGATCATCTTACAAGCATTCGCAACGTCTATACACTTTATATATACTTTTAAAACGTTGTATGTATTTCTATACTGCCGCCTCCGATTCTACAACCCTCTGGTTCCACCGACTCCATGGACCTATCTCAAAGTATCTCATAAACCGCAATCTTCACACGATTCGGTCTATCCGGCGGGAGCAGATCTCCCACAAGGCGGCACTTCGTCAGCGATACATGCTGTCCATTCGCAACCTCAAAACGCGGGGAGGTTTTCGTAACCCAATCCGCGCCGCCATTCTTCATCGAGGCGCTTGCAGGATCATCTCCAAACACCGCCTTCATCTCAGCTTGATTTGCACGCCCATATCCTTCATTGTGAACGCAGATGAGGGCCCCGTTATCTGTCTTGTTTTCTGTCCAGTCACGACACGGCCACGCGGCGGGCAGAAAGGAAGTTGCAACAGACCGCAAAGGTCACCTCGAAGTCACAACGCATGACTTCTGAGAAGAACACTTATGTATGGTGCGCACTTGGGAATTGGCTTTTCGGACATTCCGTTGCCTTAGAAACCTGTACGGGCTTGTCACTAAAAAGCTCTCCCAATCTCTTGTTGGAAACCATATCCAGCAGGCAGCTCAACAGCCGATTCCGTCGTTGGCAATTCTGGTAACTCGTGACAGGATCTTGCACTCAACTCGACTGTAGATTTGTCAGTTCCTAACTGGAACAATTCAAGCAGTAAATTACTACTTAGCTCTCCCGGTCTCCTCTTATCTCTCCATGTATTTGAATTCCTCTCCATCCATGAACTCGAGCTTCGTTTCCTGCGATATATAAAGATTAATGCCGCAGCCACGGCTAGAACCCCGACACTTGTACCAACTCCTATGCCAGTCTTTGCTCCTGTTGAAAAGTGCATCGAAGTCTGTGCTTCGGTTGTGTTTGTGGAGGACGGAGGAGGACCTGTTATATTCCCCGGGTCTATAATACTGAAAGTCCTTCAGTCAGATCTTACTCTGAACCATACATGAAATCCAAGTGACTGTAGACTTACTCGTCAATAACATGAAATACACCGTTGCTGATAAAGTTGTCCCTTGAGGTAACTTTCGCGTAATTGATGTATGTATCCCCATCTTGTACCGTAACTAACAAGGGAAGACCCAAAACCGTCATAATCTGAGTCCCGTTCACAAAAGCCGTTGAATAAATTACTCGAGGAGCAAGACCATAACCCGATGAGTTTAGAAGTGTAGTTATATTCACGCTTGTGTCGTTCAAGTGCGCCAACGCCTTGGCAGAATTGAATATGAAATATGTGGTGTCGGGCCGACTAAAGTAGGCATCGACGAAAGGCCGAGCCTCTGCACTGAGGTATCCTCCTTTCTCGGCCATGGCGATGAAATAGCTTAAGTTTTCGGCCACGATTGTTTGAGCAGGTCCGATTGGAAGTTCCAGGACTTTGTCGATGATGTGAACGATTCCCCCAAAGGCTATTATGTCCTTCAGCAACTGTTAGTCTTCGGATGGATCTCAGGGCTTCTGAAGATACGGTGATTCCTACCGTTGAGAGGGCATTACTTGTAGTCTGTAGCGCGGAACCAAACAAGAGATGCCCATCGTTAGATGTTGCCTTTACCCTTTGACCACCAGTCATATTGCAGAACGAATGGCTTGTGAGGGCTGTAGGAATGAATATTGGCGTGCTGGCGATAAATGCACTTGGGAATGTGCCGCTCAGGAGATGGTACTGTAATGTAGCTTGGATATAATCCGATGAACGATTCGTCGCAAGCCATAATGAAATAGCGTCATTAGTTGGAGCCAAGAATGTGAAGTTATCTGCCTTGTTAAATTGCTGGACGAGGAGGGGGAAGGAGTTGACAACTGTCGAAAGCCCGCTCAGTTGAGGATCTGATGAGAGTATATTTAGGATTGTGTCCCGTGGGATCGTCTGCGCCCCGACTAGGGCTGAAACCCGGAAGCAGGCTATTAGTAGACCTTTGAGGCCCATGTTGGTGAAATCGCAATGTCGAAGCTGAGAGAAGAAAAAGGCTGTGGCACGGGGGAAAGCAAAGCATCCCTCTTCTTAGATCACTTCTCGCTAGGCAGCCTCAGTCTTTCAGCCCTACAAGCCACTGAGCCACCAAGCACAACAATAGATTCGAGTAAAAAGAATTATTGGTCGAGGCTTTGATATACAATCTTTCAAATGGCAAATTCCAGAAATATTGGCCCTCCGCCATTGAAATGGTACTTACGACATGAATGAACGCGCAAAGAAAAAATACACTACCCTAATATCTCATACTCTTGGAAATGCCTGGAAGAAATAAGTCCTGGATATATGATATATCGTAGTCTTCAACTCCCTGCGTACATATGCCCATGCGTCAGCGTGCGATACCGTAGGGTGCTATAAATATTCGACCTGGTACGTGCGAGATCTACTTTTCTAACTAATAAGATCTTTTATTGCCCCTTTTTGGCTGCTTTGATTGGTTTCGTGTGCACCTACCAATTCGAATACTTTAGGCACCCTTCTGGAAGAAATGTGTCTGTGACTGTTGGCTTCTCAGCTCCTGCTACCACACCGCCAATCGAACATCTTTGCAAAAGCCCAGCAGCTGCAGCCAAGCAATCGTCCCAAAGAACTGGGGAGAGAAAGGAAGGCCAACTATGCACATTACGCCTTTTCTGCAAGTAGTCGGACCAACAACGAGAGGCGCGCTAGAATCCGGTGGCTGTTTTGACCTTTGGCACGACCTCGTTGTGGTCACGGGACTGTATCACATGACTACTGCTGCCTATTGCATATAAGCAGCAACTTACATACCCGACTCCAATAAACCTGCTTCCACGCAATATAACCCATATCTATGCGAAGCGAAAATCACGTAGCACAACTGAACGTACGACTAAAAGACGTATTTCCCAACACAAAATAATATTATTCTATTTATAAGGCGCAGAATTTATATTTAATCATTCCAGATCCGAAATATCTGTTTCGCTTTGAAAAACTTAGAGAAAGATGTATTTCCCGGTCTCTAGCAGATGTCGTTACAAGTTATCTACCCTGATGAAGACTGTGAGCTCACAAGCCCCTTTGGATGGGAGTTAGATGAGTAAGAAGGTATAATCTATACGGAGACGCATGAAGGACAGTATTGGAAAGTGATCGATTTATTGATGGAAAATCGATATATTGGAGTTTGACAATCTGTAGAATGACTAGATACAGGAGAGTGAAGAGTAAAAAGGGAGAGGAAGGAATCTAAAGTACAGTTCTTATATACCCACTAGTGGGTGGCGATTTCCTCTAGTATATTATAAATCAGCTGATAAATCATATTAGTGAGCGTTCACTGAGCTTCCATAGTGAGCTATTCCATATGCTTCCATAGTAAACCATTATAAATGAGAGTGGCGAAGCTAATATTAGTAGTTGAACCTGGTACTGGAAGGACTAGTAAACTAGTACCAATTCAACAGACAGCTTTCTGATCCTGCGATTGCGCGACATCCGCGATGACGACTTCTCGACAATGTGAGAGATCTCACGACATAGGGGATGCTTCCGCAGATAGTGAAGGCTCCATAGGTGAGGACACACTTACAGGGCCCATGAAAGGTCTAAAAGTGTCAGATGCTGGGCGTCTTCGCACAAACCCATCTGAGCCAAATGGCTTCAAAAACGCAGTGCCTACATCTGTGCAAATTCTTGTAAGATAGTGAAGGAGCCTTATAGCTAGAAATCTTATCTCTACAAGGTATATATCTCTGCTTGTTTTATTGGAAACCTCCGAGATTTGCACACATGAAGCCTCGAGGGCTTGAAGCGAGGGGATGGTAAGGGGGTGTTTAGGCCTTTTGATTGGTTCGCTTGCGAGCTTGTGGGTGGTGTCAATGATTTCCAGGAATTCCCAGAGATATGCAACTTCCTGAGCTCTGCGGTATTGCTTTCATTTTCGCGACTGCTCAATCCGGCCTGCAGCTAAATGCAGTGGTCATTAGCCAGTGCGAGCCAGGGCTTGTCCAGCCTCACACGCACTTTCTTAATGCAACCAGTGACTCTGGTCAGGCTCGGCAACAATTCCTGAGGCATCGATTTATTTTCGATTCTGCGCAGAATTAGTTAGTATCAATTAGTATGAATTAGTAATCAAGTATTATCCCGCATCTCCCCTCTTCCTTTCTTTTCTTCATCTCTGCATTTTCCCTGCCTCGTACAACGATTTTATTTAAAGATATCTTTAAAAAGTCTTTTTTACTTGAACTAAATTTATTATTTATACGATTAGCTTTAGCAGATTTTACTATAAGCAAAACGTCCTTTATTATATCTATTATAAAACTGAGCTATATAGTATTCGAGTATTAAGAAATATAGCAAATTAATTAAGTTACTATTACTAGAATACTATATTAAAGTCTAAAAGCAAGGACCAAATCGCTATAAACAAGCAATTCAAATAATTCTAATACGAAGCTTAACCTGAGGAGAGCAACGAAATCAAGGAGTTTAATAACAAGGTCCTTATAACTTGCTTTAATATAGTTGGACACAGCATGGGTACCGCACAGCTAACGAAGGGTAAGTAATGTTTTATCAGGTTGTATTATAAGCTGCTTCGTATCTTATACCAGTAATCCACCCATGGATCCTAGATACAGGAGATGAAGCGACACTACTCCTGCCGGGAAGTAGAAGATGAGCAGGAAGACGATTGTAGCAAAACAAGGGAATACCACCACCGCCTCGGGTGCAGCGACTACATTATTCCTAACAACTTCAGGCTACCCCAGCGCCAAAGAAAACAGCAACAACAAAAGAGAAGAGAGAAACGGAGCATACCCCCAGCCTGTTAGCAGCACTGGTTGTCATAACCGTTGCGGTAGCCGTTGTAGCTGTGGCCGTCGTTGTACTCGTCCCAACAACAAAGTCATAAATCGCAATTCCCTTACCCGCCAATGGAATCATCATCTTGTTGGTCTTCGGGTCAACCGCAACCGCATGAGCCGTAACATTATCTGTCTTAAGCGTTTGCAAGAGGGTCCCCGTAGCCGCATCAATGATGCCAACCTTAGGATCCGCAGCGCCTGTCGCGCTGCCGTTGACTTGGTATTGGTATGCTGCGACGTAGTAGTAGTTGAGGGTTGGGTTGTATGCGACTTGGTCTGCGCCGCCAATGCCGTCGATTGTTTCAACGGTCTTGCCTGTTGTGACATCAACGACAAGGGTATGGCCAACGCTGTCGGCGAGGATGGCGTCCTGGGAGCAGCCGAGGAGGAGTTGGTTGCTGGGGCCGAAGACGATACCGTGACTGCTGCAATTGGTGACGGGTAGGATCTTCGTGGTGGTGAAGTTCGTGGTTTCGATAACATCGATCTCGCCACCGGTGTTGACGTTACTTTCTGGGACGGAGACGTAGACGAGGCCATCTGCGGGATTCCAGACTGGCTGCTCGATGCCGTTGGTTGCATTGTCGAAAGAGATTTTATGGATGATTTTGCGGTCTGTGACGGAGATAAAGGCGAGTATGGCGATATCGTCATCGGGGCCCGTGACTATTGCCAGTTTGTTGTTTGCGTCGTAAGTCATCTCGTCTGCGCGTTTGGAGATGCCAAGAGGGATGGTGTCGACGATGGTATTTTTGCTCAGGTCGACAATCTTGACGCTGCCATCGCCATCTCCGACGTATAGCTCATTGCGACCTGGGATGTAAAGTAGACCATTGGGTCCTGACGTGGGCTTGTTGACGGTTCCGTTGATGATTGTGGCGCCTTTGAAACCCGTGATCCGACCTGTCTCGGTGGAGGAGGCGAGGTCAACGATGTGCACGACAGCGTTGGTGCGATCAGACAGATAATACGTGCCGTTGACGACAATTCCAAGGTCAACACTGGTCGAGTTTTTGGAGATCCATGGTAGAATAGTGGTAAGCCTGTACTCCGCAGTAGCTTGTGCGGGGTTGGCGCCAGAGGCGATAGCGGTAGCGATCGCGATCAAAAATCGACAAAGGAGCTTCATGACAAGTTGATTCCTCAATGATTTTAATTGTGTGAAGGGGCTGGAAGATGGTGACTTGATGCATTTTCTCAAGGTTACTTCTGCTACTCTTATAATTAGAAATCCGCGATGGTAGAAGGAGAAATGTTGCTCGAAGCATCAAAGCAATCTTTGCGGACGTTGCATTGGCACTGTGATTCAGGCACTTGCTGCACAGTGATCTCCAGGCACATTTGCCCATCTCGTGCTCTGCTCTGGCTATCACTTTCTACAAGCGGCTACTGAAGCGACTCAGACGACTCGACGTTGACACTGCAGCCATGCTGTCGCCTTCTCTCCAGTCGCAGGGTCATATGGGAAGCCATTCCTTTCTTAAGGGTGACATTAGGCCCGGCCAATTGGATCATTTAGCCCGCCGTGGCGTGACGATCACGCTTAAGTTCACATCCCCCCCCTTTTTTTGATCTTGATGTCATTCCTAATTCACGCTGAAAAGCCTCTCTCATGCGAGCTTCTTTCACATTTGTTTCACATCCAACCCGAAATAATCCATTCTGGAGTGATACAATCTATTCGTAAATTTTCATTCGATGTTTCGTGGCCGTGGCATTTCTTGGCCGCGGCCCACGGCATTGAATCTGCGGCACTCGCGTCCCGCAAGTCTTAATTTCTACTAAATGTCACCCCGCATCTCCGCTTCTGCCCTTCTATTTTGAGCGTCATCTTCACTCATCCTTCGGACTTCCAGCCCTCAAAGTATTGGCCTATCAGCAATGCTCTCCAACCTCAACAGAGAATATGCAGGTGCAGCTACCCCACCCTTTAACGGGACGACTAGTGGGAAACTTCTCTCCAACGTGAAGTCTTGACCGCCAAGATATCCCACTTACTTGCGACCGGCTCGGGGACTGCGGGAGGGCAAATCAAAACCAATACTGGACTGGGACACGGTGGAGATTGAGTCTGCTGGAGGGGCAAGGAAAGGTGTCGGAGGTGACTTTTGTTGAAACGCCCTACTCTACATCTTATATCCACTGTTCTGTTCAGTGTTTCCTTTTCATACTTCGGCCCTCACCCTCCTCCTCCTCCGCCCTGAAATTCTTTAATACTTCTCTACTTGGACCCGTCACTATGCGTTCTTCACTATGGGCAGCCTCTGTGCTGTGCGCAACTGCTCTCTCCGCCCCTACCTATTCTACTTCAGCTGCAGCGCGATCAGTGGAGATGAGGGTTCTGTCGGGTTACTTTCAATTACTGGGACGGAAAGTTCAAGATGAGAAGAATATGGCACAAGCGCCTGTGTGCAATATGAACAATGCCGTGATGCCTATCGCTTGTAAGTTACTTAACTTTCACGCTACAATTCAATCCAACTGACATAACTTCAAAGCTCCAACCTCGCTACCACCTCCGTCAACCGGCCTTACCTTGAAACACGTAGCTATCGGACGGGGAACTCAAAATTACTCCTGCCGCGCCAACGAGACTGCCGCACCTGTCGCTCTCGGCGCAGTCGCAACTCTCTACAACGCATCATGCGTAGCCGCAATCTACCCTGACCTCCTTTCCGTCTTGCCTAATGTCGCATTACAATTTGAGCTCACGGACATCGACCAAGCCACACTCTCACCATCTAACCTCGCCATTAGTGGTCACCACTACTTCTCCAATCTTACGACTCCCATATTCAACCTTAGCACAACGGCGATGGACTTGGGGTTCGCCACTTGTGCAAAGAATAACTCAGTGGCGGCTCCTGCTGGTGAGCCCACAGGACAAGACGACGAGGGCTTTGGTGCCGTTACTTGGCTCAAATTGTTGACAAGAGGTGGGGCCACTGGCAATCTGAAGGAAGTCTATAGAGTTAATACAGCTGGGGGTAAACCACCTACTACTTGTGCTGGAATGCCTGCTACGTTTGAGGTTGAATATGCTGCTGAGTAAGTCAAATCACCTTCAATCCCGGATATAAATACTAATTGTCGTATAGGTATTGGTTCTACGCGTCTTAGATAGAAGGAGGTCAATGATGTCACGGCGCAAGACCGAAAAGAAACTTAAGTATCAAAGTTCAAATTTTAGGCCTAGTTCTATACTGAGTACGCCAATTTCTGAGATTGAACAAATAGAAAAATAAGTCCAAGGCCAAAGAAGCAATCTTTCGCTCATTTCAAGTGAAAACCTTCCTCTTTCTCCACCGCCAGGATGGTTTCAGGCGAGCTTATTACAATCGCTCCTTCGGTCTATATAGACTATGACATAAACTGGTTTGTGGAAGAGACTCCCGATGAAGAGGGAGGAATGCGGTCGCTTTCTCTAGACAAGGGATTGTCGAACTAGAAGATAAGGCATTTAATAACAGGGGAATGGGTGGGACTTGATCTTTTCTGGAGGGATGCCTTCCCCCCTACCTGCGCAGAAGACAAGCCTGCCAAGGCAAGGCAGAAGATGGCAGCGAATTTCATGATCAATCGAGTTGAGGACTATCTAGATGCTGGGATAACACGATGGAGAGCAGGCTGATCCCTTCAATTGTTTTCGAGAATGACTGCGCAGCATGAGGAGGAATGGTCGAGAAGATGGTGGGGTGCAGTATGAAGCAGCTGGGTGCGGTTTCACACCTTAGAGGAGCCCAGAAGGCAGTCGTTCACCCATTTTGATGGAACAGTTGGAAGGATGCGCTCCCTGTATTATGTCGTTACGTGACTGGCCTTGTAAATCGGGGGGGGGGGGGCTAATAGGGGTCAAAATGGGAAGTGGCACAAAATCCAAGCGAGGTTTCAATTATCCAGAGACGCATGGAATATTAGACGGATTGCAAAAACCCTTCTATGCAGGATTTGCTTCGGTTCCACAAATATAAAAACAATAAAGATATGCTCCCGGCCGTCCGAGGGGCATCTCAATGTACAAGATTGTGAGAGAAGGGGAGAGAAGATGTGCAGCCAAACATCCAGTAGAAGTGGATTCGACCAATAATGCGAGAAAATTCTATAAACTACAGTCTATCACTCACTATACACTCCTACTTCCGCACAATCCTCGTGCCTGGATTGATCCCCTTCTCCGCCAGCGCGCGCTCAATTGCCTCAATCTTCTTCTGCTCTGCCTCCTCCTCGAGCCTCATCTTCTCCTGAATCGCCTCCTCAGCCCTCTTCTTCTCCCTCTCCAGCTGATCCGGTCTGCGGATCGCGATATCCTTAGGCTTATAATCGCTAAATGCGGCCTTCAACCCCTTCTCAATAACCCAGCATCCGACGTAGTCGAGGATCATGGTTGTGGTGAGAGTGGTCTTGAAGTCCGACGTAAAGGGCACCAAGCGCATCTTCTCGTTGATCTCGGGGATAAATTCCGTGGAGCAGGAGAAAGCGATGGCGGAGACGCCGATGATGCCCCAGTACATACCGCGGTTTTCGGAGAGTGCTTCGCGGAAGGGACGGCCTTGGTAGTTGATGGCGAACGTGGAGATCTGCTGGATAAGCTGGAGAAGATACACGGCGCTGTTCAACAAGGATTCCGAAAATTCGCCTTCGAGATCAATGTTTTGATCACGTCTAAATTATGTCAGTAACATTTCATAGAAACCTGGATTTGAAACTTACGGAGCAAGCTTGTCGCAATAACGGGCGACATAGATCAGAGTCACGATATGGACGGCGAACTGGCCCAAAATAGATCCAATGATGTAAAAGTTGAATATGTTAGGTTGAGGACGTTCCTTCGACAAACCCTCGACGGACTTGGCTCTGGAGATGGACAGGAAGCAGACGCTCATGAGCATTCCACTGATTGTGACTTGACCGTCGCTGAATTTGATGCCCTCCAGGTACAACACACTAAGACTGTAGGCGCTGATGAGACAGTTGAGAGCGAGAATCTTGTACATCTGAATCGTTGCAACGAGCGTGCAGCGGCCTTGTCGAATGATGTTGGGAATGGCGATGACGTTGGCTAGTTTGCTAGTGAAAGGAGCAGCAACTGAAGCATCGCCAAGCTTGATAGTGGGTGGCTCGTCCTCCTGCTCCATCTCCATCATGCTTTGAGTAAACTTGTCAGCCAGGCTGCTAGCCTTCTTTTGAGCGTCGTTCATTTTCGGCTGTTTGGCATCGAGGAGGGCTTGAGCTGCTGGTGACGTCACAGTCTCGATGGTGTTGGTTTTATCAGCCAAAGCAGTTTCGTTGAGAGCAACGGCAGTTCCCTTCTTCTCGACCTCTCGCTTCATTGCTGTCTCGTAGTGTGGGTTCGTGGGTCCAGGAGGATATAAGTGAGCGATGAGAACTGGGACTGGGGGATGGGGTTGATTGAAGCGGGCCATCATTTGACACTGCTTTTCATAAAGTTCCTTCATCTTCGTGTTTCTGAAATGCTCAGCAATCCTGTTGAGGTCATCTTGAGATCCGTTCAGCAGCGCCACACCAATATGCGCCTGCTTGAGAGCACCGACATCGTTGGTGCCATCACCAGCCATGAGAGTATAGTACCCAAGATCTTTGAGGCCCATCAGAATCTCTTCCTTCTGCTTCGGTGAAACTCGAGCATACACCCAAGTATAGCGATAGATTGATGAGAGAGCAACTTGACCCTTGAACTTCGCAAGAGCGTATCCAGTAACGCAAAGATCGTTGTTTCCAATGATTTTCGGGTCAAGAGGCTTAGTGGGGTCAACAGGGATGCTGATGGAATCGTCAACACTTCTCCAGACCAGATTCTCCCCAGAGTCGTCGTGTTCAGGGGCGTCCAGGATAAGGACATCTCTGTCGACGATCTCAACCTCGTGAGCGACGTGGACGGCAGTGAGCGGGTTGTCACCCGTGATCATGACAACACGGTGACTGCTTTCGTTGAGCATCTGGACAGATTTCTTGGCATCATCCTTTAAAGGGCAGTGCAAAACCAAAAAGCCAGCAAAGTGTAAGTCAGCCTCCACATTCTCACGCTTCAGCTCGTTGATCTTGCCAGAGCCAAGCTCGGTGTCGGTAGTCAGTCGCTTGTAAGCCAGAGCGAGAACACGGGATCCCTTTCTAGTGAAGTACTTGAAAGTCTCCTCGTAATCAGTTGGAACCTTGACCAGCATCTTCATGATGGTCTCGGGAGCTCCTTTAACACCAACAAAAGTGCTCTTGATCTTCTTGCCAGTTTCTGGGTGATGCTCCATGATCGTTGCTACAGAGCTTTGACGTTTCAATGCAGATGAGAACTGGAAACGTCGCTTGATTTGAACTGTGTTTGAGGCAGTACTATGAGATGCACCTTTGGCTGCGAACATGGTCTTGCTGCTGAGAATATCATTCTTGCCGAGAGTCCAGCCAAGAGAGCTCAAAGTGGCCTTCTCCATAGGATCACCGACAATATCTCCCTCGTCAAGTTTGACCAAAGCGTGTGCCGTGGCAAGGACGAGGGTTGTCTGTAATCCAGCTTCCAAAACAGGGGTGATGTGGCTGTGAGCACCATCCTTCTCGCGAGGGGTATCAGTTCCTGTGTGATCCAAGCCGAGACCTGCAATTCCCTCCACAACCAAGTCCTCTCCGGTTAAGGTTCCAGTCTTGTCGAAACAAGCGACATCGACTCGTCCAGCAAAAGGAATGCGGAAAGGTTCCGTACAATAGATAGCGTAGCGGCTGAGAGCAGCAAGACTGGTGTTGACAGCCAAGCTGAGTTCCATGGGAAGTTCCGGAGGTACGACACTGGTAACAATCAAGACACAGTCCAGGAGAAGCTTCGATCGCTTCCTGTCCTTCTTGACACCTTCGTCCCAAACATACCAGGAGGCTGCAATCGCAAAGATCAACAAGAAGAGAATGAACAACAGAGCCTCGGCGTTGTTGGCTGAGACACGTTCCGTGGAGTAAATCATAGTTCGAACCAAACTTCCTTGGGAGGTTTCAAATCCAGTCTTGACAACAATAGCCATGGCCCCATCATCGGGAGGAGGTGGAACACCAGAGGCAAGTTGAGGTCTAGCTTCTTCGGAGTTTCCATGCGTGACTTGTAGAACCTTGGTTCCACCGTACAGAAAAGCGTTCTTGTCGAGTCCTTCCGGTTCGATTCTGGCGTCCGATGGCCTTAGTTGAACCGAGTCCTTCAACAGCGGGGTGGATTCTCCCGACAACATTGCCTCGTTCACAATAGCACTTCCTTCGACCAGGAGCATATCGCAGGCAACGCCACTGTCCTCCTTTGTACGTCCGACAGATACCAAATCGCCAGGCAGAAGCTTGTCACTCTGAGTCTCTTCCCATTTGTTCTTCCTGTAAACCCATATATCATAAGGCTTGATGCTCATTCCTCGGAACTCATTCAGTGTCCTTTGGCGTTGCCAGACAACCGTGCTCTCAAAGGCGACCAACATGAAGAGGGTAAAGAGCGAGTAGTACCAGTATTCATCCAACATCCACAATCCAACGCAGAAAATCTGGAAGACGAAGAAAGGCGCCACAGCGTGTTCCCTGAACAGTTCCAAAAAGGTGGGCACCGGGATATCGAAGGTGTTGTCGCCATAATGCTGATGAATACGAGAAATCTCGGATTCGGTGGTGATACCTCTCGATCGCTGGAAGTTGAGGAGCAGAGGCTTCGGATTGGCGTCGATAGCGTAGGTCAGAGGAGCGAAGGAGTTCGTGGATAGATTGTAGAGGAAACGCCGTTTCTGAAAGAGAAAGGAGACATTCTTCTTGCCACCAGCCTGGTCATTGTCAGCTACACCCTCCACTTTTGAAGGACCGTGACCTACGGTGTCCCTATCAATCTTGCAGATCTCCGCAGACCCAGCATTTGCAACCGGAAGAACCTTGATCAGCTTGGCATCCTCGACTTTGGTTGCCGTAGTCGAGGTAAAGAGAGCCTTCAGGTTAACATTCCAGTTGGTGCTCAGCCAGACCAGACTTTGCGCCGTGATGATTGTTCCGCACCAAACGAATGTCCATTCTTGACCTCCAATATGCTTATTGTATAGGTCTTCCGAGAGGTAGTATCGCAGGAAGATGGGCCAGATGAGCGCAAAAGGCCAGACATAGGTATGGAGGTAGAGCGGTACTACCAAGCTGTTAGAAATTTTGGCAGTTCGCCATCGAGGAAAAGGGGCTACCAACAAGGATTGTGAAGAGTCGCGGATGCGATCAGGGGATTATCGACAAGAGGCGCCATGGCGCATTTCAATGTCGAGGATGCGCGTGAAGAAGGCGAGTTGACGAAGGCTTCGGAATAGGTGTCTTCGAGGACATGGACGTATCTTGAAAATCGGCTTGCGGCGTGTTTCCGGCCGAGGTGAGGCTAACCGCAAATAGAAGCCGCGATGCCAGCCTTCCCCGTGACGTGATCGGCATGTCTATCAACTTTCAAGATATCATCAATAGTGACTGGGACACCGCTATTCGCAAGCTCTTAGTATTCTTAGGCATGGTTTTTTTCTAGGCTTCTAGAGTACTTCACATCCAATTCTCGTCCCCACATCACGTTATCCCTCTACGCGTTGTTGACGCGGTCGCGGCCCCTCCACGCGATCCTAACACGACTTCCTCGAGACCATACAACCACACTTCACAACTGCAAACACATTCGCGCAAGATGCGCGCCCAATTCTCTTCTCTCCCGTGGGAATTGCGCAATCAGATATACGACCTCGCACTCGATAGAACTCCGCGCAATGTCGAAGTCGAAGTACGCGACGGCCGAGTCGTGTCGAAGACACCACCTCCAGCACTCCTCCACCTCAATCGCGAGTCGCGCGACTTGGTCCTCAGCGTCTACAAACCATGGCTTTCTCAATTCGCAGGTACACCAGCCCATACGCCATATGCTGCTCTGCTAGCAAGGTACCGCCCATCGAAGACCCATTGTGTTTCCTGCTTGGACGATATCTGCTTCGACATGGAGCGCGATACATTGTTCTGCCGGAGCGTGTTTGTCTCGCCGCACGCTGCAGCCGGGTGGCCGGTATTTCTCTTCGGTCGCATAGAAGAGTCTTGTTTGAGGACCATGACGGTCAATATTACGGGACATTTGAGATTCCCACTAGTCATCGAGGCGCTGAGGAACGCAAAGAATCTGAAAACTCTATACTTCCTAGATGTTAATTCAGACGCGGCGATTTTCAAATCAGAGGCGATCTCTGATGGTCTGAAGAGGTGCGAAAAGAAGGACAAACTCGGGCCAAAGGTTAGAGGGCCGAATTATGTGGCTCCTCGCATTGGGGCTGCGCCCACATCATGGTTCCTTCCCAAATCTCGTCCAGAGCCCTCGAAGCGGCCATCATATCGCAGAACTAGCAGTTGTGCCTCCGATTCAGAATCCGGATGCGAATTCGAACGCTTGACACCTGCGCCAATCTGGACAACCTACAAGTATCCACCGCGCTCTTCGCGCGTGCCGACTCGACCTTCAGATAATGTGCAAATCAGACAGGAATCGACTCCTCGAAAACGGAAAGCAGACATGGCCTTTGATAGCGACGGACCCATGGTGACAGAGCGGGCCAAACGAATGAAAAACTGGATCAGGGCCCAGGAACGAAATGAAGCGAAAGCCCGCTCTATTCCCTCCCCACCAACCCAACCTTTGGACTCAGAGCAAACACACATCTGGATTAGAGCAGATGATCTAGCCCAGATGAGCGAGGAGACTAAGCGCCAACTTGGGGTTGTACAGCGAGTCGCTTCGTCAACTGCTGGCGCTTCATCAAGCTCTTCTCCAGCGTCGGAAGCTTCAAGCTCTGATGTGCAATCAGAAGCTTCGTCTTCCCGGCCTGCTTCTGATGGGGGATCTGTGCGTGACGACGACGACAATTCGGAGGCATCAGATTCCGAATCAGACGATGGTGCTCAGGATGAGGAGGCAGCTTCTCAGGAGCGCCCACCTAGACAGCTCCACGCACACCGCTTCAATTTCGATATTAGCGCACCAGAGGTCCTAGTGGAATGGGAAAATTCCCCGGAGATAGAGACCTGGGAATGGGTGCCAAAAGCGGACTTGCTTCCGTCCATACCAATTATGATCGCGGCATTCATAGCCAATAACCCCGCGCTCGAAACTGGGACGCCCGTCCGCTTCCATGAACGGAACTCAGGCGTGGTCGGATTCGACTTCCTTGTGGAGTTCGAGGGCTATGCTGAAGAAATCTATTGGACCTGGGTACCAGAAACCAACATGCAGACGAGAGTTCCGCACATGGTCGATCAATGGATGATCGAGAACGCATCCGAAGTCAATGCAGATGAGAACGTCGACGAGCAAATCTTGGCCGAACAGAACTACGCTGAAAATGTACGAGTTGAAAATAATGACGAGGTGAAAGCAGAAGAGGAAGATGAAAAGGACGAGGAAGCACATACCGCAGACGCAGACATGAAGGATGAAGAGAACGATGACGAGGACGAGGATGAGATTGAGGAAGATGGCGGTGATGAGGAAGCCGCGGAATATGTCCCCAAACGATTCGTCGCTCAACGAGAAACTCCCGATGGTCCCGAGATTTTAGTAGAGTGGGAGGATTGGCCAGACGAAAAGGATTGGACTTGGGAGCCAGTGAGCAACCTCCAAGAGGACGCGCCAGAAATGATGAAGGCATGGAAGGCTAGTCGGAAAGCAAAGAAAGTCTCCAAGGTCTTTGAAGTAGAGTCAATTCTAGGTAAGCGCAAGACCAAAGGAGAGTGGCACTATTTGGTTAGGTGGAAAGGGTTTTCGAAAGAGGAGGCTAAGTCGTTGGAACCTTGTGAGAAGCTTGCTGTTGATGTTCCGGAGCTGGTTGAGGCTTTCGAGAATCGCAAGTCGAAAAGGGGAAGGCCAAAGAAGGCAGCCAGTGCTTGAGGATGTGCATCATTCGCGGATGCTGATTCAATGTAATAATAATGTACAGTAGCTTTTCAGGTGAATGGACGTACCTTGCTTTCAACCACGTGACTTCCACCTTCTCAAATTAACCCCTTTTCTTTCTTCCACAAATCAAGTCAACTCCATTCAATTCCAGCTGGAGATTTCCCATCACAAAAGTGTGATGAGTCGGGGTCAGATTATTATTCCCGGGAGCTGCGAAAGCCTGCATAAGCCCCTGATTAAGCTTAAATTTGTGCAAGGGAAGTGGATGTGAAACCGCAGCTGCACAATTGCGTCATACAAAGCTGGGCACGAACAATCAAGATCTCCTCATCCTCATCCTCACCCCACATAGATCTTCCCTAGCTGCGCTTTAGGGGACCACACCTGCTTCCGAATGGTACATCTTCTTCCGCGCGGATATGGAACACCTTCTATCTTTTTTATTTTCCCCATCTCAGCTTCAATTCGCGGATTACTCGACGACAGATCGATCTCAAGTCAACAAACATGTGTACCGCAGCTCCCCAAGACGGGGGCACTAATCCAGAACACTTGAAAGACAAGCTCAAGCATCCGTTCAACGACCTGCGCGAGAAGTTTCGAGATACGAAGCTCTACGACTTGAAGGTTGGATTGATCAATAAGAAGTAAGAGACGCACATCCCCCCTTGAGCTATCAACACTGACTTCGAGCAGGCATGAGCTAGGCAAGTTCGCCAACTTGGTAAACCCGAACCACAGACACGACGAGGAGCACGAAAAGGAGACCGACGACAAGAGAACCAAAATCTGTGAATCGCATCGCTTCAAGTCTTTCGCTCCTGAGAGGCCGGGAAATAATATCAAGTGGTATGTTGATGGACAGGATTACTGTTGGGTAGGCACAATGAGCACTGTAATTAGAATTGAGCAGCAGTGTGCTGACAGGAAGGAATAGGCCGTCTCAATTGCGCTCGAGCGTGCGAAGGAGACGATATTCATTGAAGATTGGTGGTTGTCACCGGAGTTGTTCATGCGCAGACTTCCGTACTACAATCAGGAATGGCGCCTCGACCAGATCTTGAAGAGCAAAGCAGAGGAGGGTGTGAAGATATATGTCATTGTGTATCGAGAAGTAGAGGTACATTGCACCCTCGCGCTTCCATAGACACTTACTGATATTTAATCCTTCAGGCTGCTTTAACCTGCAACTCTGCGCACACCAAGCATGCTCTCCAAGGCCTCTGCCCCAAAGGTACCAAGGGTCACGGAAACATTATGGTAATGCGCCATCCCGATCACAATGTCCTCGAAAATGCTGCCGACATGACCTTCTACTGGGCACACCACGAAAAGTTTATCGTCATCGACTTCAACACTGCATTTATCGGTGGTATCGATCTCTGTTTCGGCCGCTGGGACACCCATCAGCATCCTCTCGCTGATGTGCACCCCGAGGGTGTGGCGACGGAGATCTGGCCCGGTCAGGACTTTAACAATAACCGCGTGATGGACTTTCAGTCCGTGGATGATTGGAAGAGCAACGAGTTGAGCAAGGCGGAGTATGGACGCATGCCGTGGCATGATGTTGCGATGGGAGTGGTGGGAGACTGTGTTTATGATATCGCTGAGCACTTTGTCCTGAGATGGAACTTCGTCAAGCGAGACAAGTACAAGAGGGATGGCCGGTACGACTGGCTTACCCTCGAGGGCCGCGAAGGTGCGGACGAAGATCTTGTTGGAGTTCAGAGACCTAAGCACCCAGTTGGAGACTACATCCACCACCCTCTCACTCCATTAAGCGGCAAGAGTCTCGGAGACAAGCAAGGTACAGTCAACGCCCAGATCGTACGCAGCAGCGCCGACTGGTCCAGCGGTATCTTGACCGAACGCAGCATTCAGAACGCTTACTCCGAACTAATCCGCAACGCACAACACTACGTTTACATCGAGAATCAATTCTTCATCACCGCCACTGGCGAGCAACAATCACCAATTCGCAACACTATCGGCCGCGCAATCGTCGACGCTGTAGTCAAAGCCTCAAAAGAGGGACGAAAATTCCGTGTCATTTGCCTCATCCCCTCTATTCCCGGCTTTGCAGGCGATCTAAGAGAAGATGCCGCGCTGGGAACGAGAGCAATTATGGATTATCAGTACAAGAGCATTTGCAGAGGCGAGCATTCTATCTTCGGACAGATTGAGAAAGAGGGCGTTGATCCCAAAGAATATATCTTCTTTTTCAATCTCCGTTCTTACGATCGTTTGAATGTAACTCCCGCCGTTAAGCAACAAGAAGAGAAGTCGGGCGTCAAGTACCAGGAAGTTCAGCGCGCTCAGGCGCAGGAGATTATGGATTCCGGAATTCATGGCTCAAAGGATCAAGATGAGGGCGCTGATACGCACATGGGCATGAAAGGCGCTCTTGATCCGAGAGATGACTCTGGTGATGAGAGCACAGAGAAGAAAACCGATGCGAAAAGGAAGTTTGAGCAGGCAGGTGAGAACAAGCAGCCCGAGAGCACCGACAGCGTTGCCAAGAACGCGATGCTCGACACTCCCACTCTGGTTGACGAGAAGTGGGAAGGGGGACTGGATACCGAGGTAGACAACTGGATCCAAGAAGAGCTGTATATCCATGGAAAGGTTATGATCGTGGACGATAAGCACGTCATTTGCGGCAGCAGCAACCTAAACGACCGCTCTCAACTTGGAATCCACGACTCGGAACTCAGCATCGTGATGACAGACACGAAGATGGTTAACACTACGATGGGCGGCCAGCCGTATGAGGCAGGATATCATGCAGCCACACTTCGCCGCTACCTCTGGCGCGAGCATCTCGGTCTTCTTCCCCCACAAGATCTAGATGGCAAGGATGACCCGAATGCCCAACCACCTGATGTACCCAATGACATCAAAGAAGGCAACACATTCGACTTCGTCGCTGATCCTCTCTCTGATGATCTGTGGGACATGTGGACGAGCAGAGCATCGAGAAACACAGAAGTCTTCAGGCAACTGTTCCATGCTGATCCTGATGACAACGGTAAGATTATTCCCCCGTTCACATTCCCCTGTGGGCCTACGAGCACTTCACTCTCCCTTCCTTTCCTTTCCTGCTTTATGGTGTGAATCCCCCACTAAATGCCCCAAAAGTCAAAAACTTCGATGACTACGACAAGTTCCTTCCTCCCAAAGGCACGAAGAGCGGCCACATCTACGACAAGATGATCCCTCCAAACGAGATCCGCGCGAAGCTGGATGAGATCAAGGGCCATCTGGTGTGGATGCCGCTGGACTTCTTGCGGGATGCGGAAATGGCGGAGAAGGGGCTGCAGGTTAATAGTTGGACGGAGAGTGTTTATACTTAATTGATTTTTGGGGGTATGAAGGTTGGGTAGGTTGGATTGTGAGGAGTTAGTTTGGGATAGTGGGTAATTGAATTCAAAATTTCGTTGCTTTGAGACCTGGGAATTGCACGGGGATGTGACAGCGGAGAATGAATTCATTGAGTCAATAGTGCAATGTTCTAATCGGGGAACGATAAACACCTCCTTTTAATCGTGATACCAAGCCAAAACCGAATACCCCACCACCTTACACAATCGATAAACGTATCCATACGAAATATTCAACTCCAATGCCCATGCAACATTCGTAGTCCCATCGCCACTCGGAAACTCCCTGTTCTCGTGTCCTTCTCTCCCCTGGAATTTCTACCGAAACACAGAGCTACCTCAGACCACTTGCGCGAAGATCAGGATGGCGGCTAACGGACCCGTTAAGATGAGGAGAACGTCTGACAATTGCGATGACGAAGCCGTCGAAGTTACTTTTTTCATGGCGAAATAAAGATATCTTTTGGCATCCTCGTCCTCGTTCTCTATGCTCCCAAGGGCGATATATTCCATCAGTAGCGCGCATTGTAGCTCCTAGTTCCTTACATCGGTCTCTCTCCGTCTTTCTCAACGCCGCTCCCACCGCGCAGGAGGACCAACTGACTTCACAATGCACCTTGTAATCGTTGCATTGTGGGGTCAGATTCTCGACCGAGCAGCCAGACACCGGTCATGTTGTAATGAAGTGCTTGGAGCTCGGTGCAGCGGACGAGTGTAGAGGTGGTGTGGCCTACACCGCAGTGCTTGAAGGATAAAACAGAGCGGTGGCTGTACATGGAGAGAAGGGGTGGGGGGTATTCGGTGGTGGTGGGTCCTTCTGGTGGTCATCGGTGTAAGTGCTGGAAACTAGAGATATGGGGCATAAGAAGAGGAGGATCGCTCGGAATACCATTGTTAGAGGGATAGCTGGAATTGTAGGTCTCGAAGTTGATGCGTGGATGATGATTGATGAATGGCGTCTCGATTGGAGTAGAACGACGATGCAGGAATGTTGGTGCTTGTGATGCAAGAAAACTGATATTTTAGTATTCGTGGATGGAAAGAAGAGAATTAAATGCGAGGACGAAAATCTTCATCAGGTACGTGTTCTCGAGAACGAGGCAGGCGCAACTTTCGACGTCAACAAACACCATTCCCCCAATCTGGAAATAGCTCCTCACAGCTTCTTCTCCCCCGAGAGGGCAACCGCTGCTTGATACTGTTTCTGCCGCGCACCAGCAGCGAGAAGGGCGGCGGCGAGAGTGGAGAGGATACCTGCACCAGTAAAGAAATATGTCCATGACAGGATAGTGCTGGCGCAATGAGCCATAACGAGTGTCCACGCAATACCTTTCACCACCTCCCAATGCTCTGGGTCGACTTTATCCAATTGCCAAGCAATAGTCGCAGACAAGATCTGGTTTATCGACGTCCCGAGACCGAAACCGAACCAGAAGTTGTACCAGGTACAGGTTGCGCCATTGAAATTGAACTCCACCGTCTTCATGGCCTCGAATACGGCGTCCGCCTCGGCTCCGCGACTTGACTGTAGTAACATCCCACCGATTGTGTGGCCAGCACAGAAGAAGAGAAGAAGGAGGGTTGCTGCTCTATAGAAGGTAATGCTCTTGAGGGCGGACATTTTGACATTGGATTGAAGACGTGCAAAGCGTTGCTAAGGAGATTGAATGCAGGTTTTAAAGACTTTCAACAGGCTGGTGCCAAGTGTTAGCAATTTGAGCAGAATCAAATAGTGTTAGTTAACAGTATGGGCACATACGATTTGTTGCGTACGAAGGAGAACTTCCAAGGTTGTGATTGCGTGAAGTTCAAGAACGTGAGGTCCAGGTGAGGCTGAAGAGGGGTCGGGAGATCTCCATAGGGGTTACAGTGCCGTGAAAACCCAACTTTAAAAGGCTAATTTAGCCGTTCGCATCAAATCCTCCCCCGCATGCTTCACTCTCCTTACTTCCTTTATTTACTAACTAACCACGCCTCTAAATATAAATCTGTCTTCATAAAATGAAAGCGCATACTCTATTTAGCCTATACTATAAGTCTTGTTAGTTTTATATAAGCAGGTGTTAAATTATTAGAAATTTGAGATTTCCTTAGTTTTTCATGTTCGTATGTGCATACCTGGTGTACAGTAGGCTCAAAACCGCCCAAAATTCACTTATAAATATAGTTTTTAGGCTTTTAATCCACTACCTTTCAATTTAAACCTTGCCGCATTTAATAGAAGCTATATCGTATATAAAACTAGCTCCCTTTATGTGGCGAAGCTTTCAAATTAAAAGTTAGCAGATTATAAGGCGAAACCGTAGTTTTAGAAGGTTTTTGGTATAGTAGGGTTTTGCGTGTGCCTGAGAAAAACGCTCAAAATCTTTAGTTTTTGCTAATTTACTAATAACTTCTTAACAATCATATTAAATAATAAGACACTTAGGAATATATAAGACCTATGTACAGTCACAGCCAACTGATCTTAGACCGATCGCGAAACCCCACCAAAATTCGCCAATTTGCCCACTTTGCGGTGAAATATCACAACGCCCACAATGCGTAAACCGATCTAACGAATTGGAATCGAAATAAATAGTACAAGATCTAGCTTTTATACGATTCCAGGTAAGCTAAAAATAAGAGGTTCCTTTTCAGTCCACTCGTATATTGCAACGACCGGAATTTAGCTCAAAAATAAGCGAATTTTGGTATAAAAGTGGCTATGGGCAAAAACGTTACAGTTTACGGCCACCTAACTTTACGACCACGCGATCCTAGGATTATCGTAATTAGTAAAATTAAGGGTAATGATCTAATTAAGAGCTATGCTCGGACATTTTTACTGTAAACGGGTCTGAATGTGGTTAGTTGCGAAAATGTTATACCCGAGTTGTGGTGTAAAAAGGGGTTTCGCCTAATATCAGTTGGCTAGTACTGTACTTACTATATATCTATGAGAACTAGTCTTATTTAGTTACGTGGTTGAAAAGTTATTAAGTAAAGTTCACGAAATCAAGTGAGCCTTGGAGAGGGTGTGCAAGGACTGAAGATACGCGGCGCTAAATTAGCGTTTAAAGCTGGTTATTCATGGCACTGTGAGGGGGAAAATTCGCTTAAGCCTCGGGCATGCACCTCGATTAACTGTCGCGCTAAGGAGTATTTAGTCTTGCCCCCAAGCTTCTACGAGCATCAGGCTTCTGTTCTGGAAAATATCGTAATTCCTAGAGCTCACTCTCGTATCATGTGAAGTGTGGTCCTACCCCGTCGATCGATTACCTGGTACAAATCTCACTTCTGCCTCTTTGTCCTTTGAACTATCAGCACTGGAGGCGAGCCCCTGGGTTCAGCTGTTCTCAAATTTACCATTGAGTAAGCTTAGAATAAGTACTTTTCAGCATATGGCTTGCTAAGGGAACCAGATAAAAGTTCACCGCAATGAAATGCATCTAAAATACATATGACATCTCGACATCGAAAACCCCAAGCTGTATACTTCTATCTCTTTTCGGCCTTTCTTGACTTGTGATCACGGAGACAAACCTCAATACCCCAAAATCTTTCCGATACAAGCCCATCACGTCACCTAATTCAATCCGTATCTTGCAGCTGCGGTCCTCCACAACCTCTTCATCGAAAATACGGTGCAACGTCATCCACACAACGCTTTCGGAGTGCGATCAAGATCTATAGGATGGCTATATCACTCTGTCTTACGTCTGGGGAGCCCAAGACAATCTGCAGCAGATCCCCAGGGTGCACTACCCGTAGGCTTTTATGTGGAGCGGAGATTTCCGTGGCGGCCTGAACTCTATTTCAGCAGTCCCTACAAACCCCACAGCTGAGAAGGGGAAAAAAGGGCCGGGACATCCGGACTCTTCTTTATAAGCTTGACTACAACAAACCACGACGCTTGATCTTGGTCTACCGTCTACTTACAGATCACTGCCGAGCAGCATGGATCTCACTGGGTTTGAAGGTAATTCCACAGTGGAGAATGCCACATCACTGGTGCTCCCCGAGTCCGATTCCACACCTGACTTTTTGTTCATCAACGCAACAAGTGGGTCTCTCACCTACAGGTCACAAGACCGCCATATTATTCGCTCCCAAGCCCGGAAATATGCATCAAAACGCACAAAAGCGGAGATTGGGCAAAGGACGAGAAAACATGTGTTAGCGCCTCGAAGTCTCGCTCACAATCTTCTGAAAACTCTCCCACGGGGTGGAAACTGTCTGTCGAACGCTTCTACGACCTCGGGACAAAGCTCAATTCGAAGACGCGGCACTCTGAATCCTGAAATTCCAAACGTCAATGTTTCTGGAAAAGAACATGTGTGGTATTGCCGTGCGTGTGAGGAGCAACGCAAGATTGGGTATGGGCGTCACTATCACGAGTCCAAAACCATATGCAGGCATTTTCCGCAAACGACACAACCGAGCCCCGTCAGTATTCTTGGACCTGGCACAAGGGATCCATTTTCGAGCTTACCAATTGAAAATCCAACGGAAAAAGACTACGAGTCGATAAACTACGGTAAGCATAGTATTTCCCTAGAGGACTAGACAGAGTGTATCTGCCTTTCCTTGCTCTTTCCTCATCCGTTTTGGCTGGCAAAAAAAAAGAACTAACTTGCGTGCTTGCAGCAAGAAGACTCTGGTTAGCCGACCTAATCCCTAACGAAAGGCCAAACAACAACAACGGGGCAAATACGGGTTCAAAAGCCTGGTTCTGCTTTGGTTTAAAATCACCTCTTGTTTTCCATGCACTAGTCTTCGCAAGCTCAGTCCACCTCGACTTTCTCCGCTCGTCCAAGTTCTTTCCCGATTCCCCACACGTTCTTTCCCACAAACTAACCGTTATTCATAAAATAAAGACGTTGATCTCAAAGGATAGCAAGCCTTGCTTTGAAGATCTTATCGTAGCGATTCTTATGCTTGCCTGTCACGAAGAAGTGGATACGAGCCCCATGACCGGAGCCGAGAAGAAATACTGGCCATTCAGTGATCCACTTGGCCGTGGCAAATGGCTGAATATGTACTCCGGAGTTCGCGTTATTCCAGAGCATAGGAAAGCCCTTGTAGATGTTGTTAATTTGGGAGGAGGACTTGAAAGTATAAAATTATATGGACTCGCCGACTTGGTTGTCGCGTAAGTCAATCAAGCCAGCCACTCTTAAATTTCCATCAAGCTAAGGAGACGACAGAGCAGATGTTAAGGTCGCTGTGGCATCCTTTTCAAAACCCTCTCTACCACAACTGCCGAGACACAAAGCTCACCTCGCTTCCTTATCAGCCTGGGCAGCCTCTTTACATGATATGCATACGCCTGTGGCATCGGCATTTAGGGACTTTCAAGACCTTGGGATAACAGATATGCTACTACAAAACCTCGAGTTGGTAGGAGCTTACACAACTGCGCTCGGTTATTATCACCTACGCAAGTCCGGAGGTCTTAGTCTCGCAGCCATAACCAGAACAAAATGGGCACTTCAACAGCAATTATTACTACTACCTCCAGCCCAGGAGCTTAACAAGACTCCGTTGTCCAAGCTTATCTTTTACGAGTGCTGTCGACTCACTTTACATATTTTCGGGCTAGCTGTTGTATTCATTGATACCTCAGATGCCTATTCTCACTTGCAAATCCTAGTCACACGTCTCAAAACTTGGCTTGAGAGGTTATATGTCTACGGCTATGGCACCGATTCGGCTAACTTGCTACTATGGATGCTTACCCTTGGAGGAATTGCAGCTTTGGGCAAGCCGGAACGACCTTGGTTTGCTTCACACTTAGCAGTTGTTCTCTACAGGTTAAATATAACATGGAACGATACACAAGAGATCTTGGAAAGGTTCTTGTGGCAAGAAAATGCATGTGGTACTGAGGGGCGGGAGTTATGGTCTGAGGCTGTCAAATCCTCAGCACTGTAAGTATAATTTCTGTAATCGAGAATGCACGATGTCGCTATCTCATGAACTGTTGGCGCAATTATCCCGTATTTAACTTGGCTTCACCGGTTGTAGCTAACACAGCTTACAACCAACCAGGCTTGGCAGTAATACCTAATTTCTGGTATCGATAGGTATCGATGCCAGAATCGTAAGGTATCGATACTATCGATACCGTATCGATTCCTATCGATTCCCGGAACCCAATTCCCCCCTTTAATTGCAATTAACTTTAAAACCACTTCCCTTATAAGAAAGCTTTTGGTAGCGCAAATATTCTACTTAATTTAGGCTTTCTATTTAGCTACTTATCTTATAGTTTAGACTAAAACTCGTCTCAATGCGGCTATTTTAAGCAAAAAATAGCTTTTGAGATTTTCGTGAGGCTCGCTTATAATAAGCGTTCCGATAAGAGATACGAATACGATACTAAATTTTCCGAATACGAGAGCTTTTTTAAAATAAAATAATATTAACTTTTATTAATAATATTAAGTAATTCCTTTAATAGAAAGACTAGAAAATAAAGAAATTATATATAAATATATTATTATATAAATCAAATAATAAATGGAAGAGATAATTTAAGGCTAAGTATCGATTCTTCCGATACCTAAGTAATACCATCCAGTATCAATACCTTATCGATACCAAAAGTATTTTTGACAAGCCTGCAACCAACACTCTTACTACACTGGTTTCATCTCAGATCATGTATTTTATACGCCGTTTTGTCTATATATTGAGCTTTTGTCTATACCTTAGATTTCAGTTAAAATCGACCTCAAATTTTCATATTATATGAGTAGCTGGCTGACCGCAAAGCAGACCAAATCTGTCAGAATGATATCGAGGAGCGCAATCAGCAAGTCAGCTTAATGGCAGATATTAATACTCTTGCGCAATATGCTATCATCTTCTTGGGGAAATCCAACCCTGAGATCGATGAGGTTCTCCATCAACTTAATTTGAGTGGTTATTTCAACAATGGAAAACGCGGTGGCGACGTCGCAAGCGAAGGCGATTCAAGATTCCCTCCGACATCAGGGAGGATGTGAACCTGAGAGGTTAGTGGCAGAAGAGCTACTTTCTCAGCCTTGGCCCTACCCGATTTGGATCTTCCAAGAACTAGTTCTGTCTAAAGATCCATTGGTTCAGTGCGGCAAGTCACGTCTTAGATGGAGACAAATATGCAACTTTTTGATTTGAATGGCACAACTCTCTCTCTCCGGGGACAACATTGTCAGACCCTCGGTTAGATCATCGACAAAGGGGTTACGATGTCCTTTGCTTCCTCGACTGGGCGCGAATACAGTTCCAGCTCGGTAAGCTGTAAGGAGAGTTTACTCAGAATCTTGCGGATTTGTTTCTTTCTCGCGTTTATGCACCGACTCAATCCAAAGTCTTCGACAACCGCTCGCCCCGGACCTACGCCCAAAACCTCGAGAAAGACCAAATCATTAACAAGGAGGTATAACGCCTTGCACACTCCACAGTCCCTCAAGTCCCAACTGACACTCCACAGACCAAAGCTCGCATCCTCCGAGCCGAATCCGCACAATCCAACGGCTTCGAAAACCTCGCTCTCTTCGCCACCCCGGTGCTGGCAGGAAACCTCGCCGGTCTCTCAGCTCAAACTCTCAATACGCTGTCCATCGGATATCCGCTCAGCAGGCAGGCTTATAATTTCTTTATACTAACAATATTGCTGAGTGAGGGGATGGCGAATTTGAGGAGTGTGGTCTTTTTGGCCGGCGTGGGACAGATTTTTACGTTGTCTATTATGAGTGGGAATAGCTTGAGGGAGAAGGCTGCGAATTTGTTGTAGATTTGGGATGTTACACAATTATAGAAACTTGATAAAATAGACAGAGGCTGCTCTTTCATCAAATGGACTCAAATAGTACTTCATGAAATTCTGATGTCACTCTACCTTGCATGTACTGAAGTCTCAGATCATTGAGTACTTTCTAGGTGAGGCGCAATTTGTGTTCTTCGTGCGACCTCAAAGTCCGAGGATAACATAACATGTTGGAATTTTTATTTTGGTGCACATCGAATAGATAGTGCGTCATAACGCACAGTGAGGCGCTCACGCATCCTGCAGGAAGGTGTGGAGCCCCTGTCATTCATCAATCCTCCTGTCTCAGTGATCTTGAGGCATATACACTCCTTCTTTAGGTAACTTACTATAGCTGCCGATAGAAATAAGCCCTAGTCGATGTCGCCTGAGAAATTCAGCCGCTATTTCATGTTGATGGTTGCCTCCGTTCCTGCAATGCTTTCAGCGTTAGAACCCGTCCTTCCCAGAGCCACATTCCTTGATTCTTCCATTGTCGTACTGGCTCCTCAACTCCCGAGGGATTACATTTACATTTACACGTGTCCCGGCGATGCTAAGGGTTAGTTATAATGCATTGCTTGCGTGCGTATGGGACGCTACCTCAGTAGTCTGCTTTGTAGGACTTTCCGGCAGCGACAGCCAACAGCCACAGCTTTCCGCCACTTCCATTCCATCCAGCAATTACAGCGTCGGATTCAGTCTCTCGTCGTCATACGGAGCCGCCGCAGTCATTATCGATGATGCTCACGGCGATAAGCAGACTTCTACCTGGCAGGTTTATGGAGATTTGGCTTATCGGAAAGTCATGGCAAGACTATCTTTAGAGTCGTTGCGACATCTTGCGTAAGTGTTTCTCAGAACCTATCACCTTGAGAGCTGGCTGATGTTTGTCCAATGCCAGCTTACGAAGGAATGGACGATTACTATGCCGACGTTCCGCGAGTGATGCCACGCAGACTCTTAAATAAAGCCGGCCTCCCTGCCACCATCGATGTTGGAATTTTCGCTACCGTTACCAAGAAACCCCGAACTCAAATCGAGTCTGACCTGAAGATCACCATCTTGGATGCTGTTTTTACAGCTAAGCATTTAGAGGCGATATACGAAGATGATGTCGAAGATATCTGCAAGAATCAGGATTCACACAGATAACACCAAAGAAAGCGTATAGGCCCAATGGCCGGGGAAACTGGCTGCGCATACGGAGATACGGATTCGGCTGGAGTAAGCATTGGCAAAATGACACACAGTGTGAGACCAAGATTATCAAGCTCCTAGCGAGAACTGTCCTTGCGGTGCATTATAGTAGAACAGCACTTACGTCGACCCTGTCTGATATCCAGGAGTCTGTTGGTTCATGGGGAGGTTATGGGCGACGCGTGGATAATATCACTCTGGGCAGTGATGCAAAAAAAAAACAAGGTGTAAAAGAGAAGACAACTATTGGACTGGCGTTAAAGAAGCGATATTGCAGAAGAGTAGAGACTCCAGCAATGGAGAAACCGATGGTCATTATTTTGACTGGTGATATGTTTTCGGATGCCGATTTTAAGAGTATATTGGAGGATGCGATAGGCGATTACTTGGGGTGAGCTCCACCTAATTATTCGGGTGATGCAATGGCCGTTGCAGCGAAAGGTGCAGCTGAGTTAAGACGGCGTGGTAAAGTTTCATGGAGTAAACAAACATCTTGTATCTCGAGTGATTTATTTAATAATAAGCAGGCTTGCGAAATCTAAATGAATGGATCATGAGAATGACCTCGTCTTCCCAAAGCACTTATTTTCTATCCTTCGAAGCCCAGTGGAGCATCTCATTGCTTCATAACCTGTCCATAACTCGGGAGCTGCTCCGTGCTCAAGTTTCCACCTAGACTCTGACGTATAGCCTCCGCCAGATCCGCGGCCTCCTTCTCCTCAATCGAGTGAACTCTTTGTCCCTGCTTCTCATCAACCCACTGAACAGGCACTTCTCTCTGTCCCTGCACGGTACCAAACGACTGTTGATTGACCCTCATATCATCGTAAACATATGGCTGCTTCTCGGGCTCGTAGCCATACTGCTGCTGCTCAAAACCATTCTTGGCATCGCGCTTCTCGGTGATGTGGCGTATGAGCATGCCAACGGGGGAGTATTTGGGTGGGCCGTGGCGGCCAGCGAAAGGAGGGCCGTTGCGGCGGGAGCATCCACCGAATCCATTTCTTCTTCTAGATCCGCACATGTTGATTGATTATGAGGTGTTGTGTAAGTTCGCTTCCGAGCCTCCGTAGTACTTGATTCGATAAGATTTAGAGTGGGGTGAACTTTCCGAATGAGCTGAGCAGTTGAATACAGAAATGATGATTTCAGCTGATGTGAGTGCACGTTCTAAGTAAGGCGATCGCAAGCGTCTTATATCTCTGGCCTCGCTGGGCGACTTTCTCGCAACGTGAAGCGGACTTTGTCACATCATGCATACGGTCGCACAGCCATCCCAACCCCACACCACGAAATCGACTGCCAATCTACGCATACCAAGCTTTCGGACGCGTGTCTGTCGTGCGATGGCTTCGAATCCGCACTTCTGCCTACGATGCACCAATAAGCGCTTGCTTGGGCTTGATGCATTACCCCGACTCTCTCGGCCGTAGCGATTCAGGGGTTTTGATTGGCTGAATCCAGGGCAGACTCTTAAGGCTGAAGTTGAAGCGGACGTCAGCCTCTCAATTCTCGAGGAGGATCATTTGATTCCCGCATCTGGGATCGAAGCAAATCGTGAGGGCAATGGATGTTGTCGAGGCAGAGAAGTGACGTTATCTCATTGGTGGGTCAAAGACCAGGGGTTAGCGACTCCAGATTCAGGGGCTCGCTTGGCAATTGGAAATATAAATGCCCTGACTATACAAAACCATTAGACCATCACTGGCTTACGAAAACTGCCATTTAATGTTCAGATAAGACTTTTTCTTTCAGTCGCTAAGGACTCACAACTCAAAACTCTTATTCCGAAACAGCCCAAATTTTTAAATTCATGAGAGGAGTAGTGCGTCAAGAATGGACTCCGGCGAATATATTTCTATATTTATAATAATCGGAGCAATAACATGGTAGAATACCAACTTGCGTCAATTAAATATCCTTGATATATGCCAAAGAGTACTCTGAATTGATTTCGACTATTAAACTGCTTCCCCAATATATGAAAACTCTTGAAATATAAACTCATTAAAAGTTGTTGTGTTATAGGAACGGAAATATGTAACACTTTGATACTACCCAAAGAGGAGAGAAAATCTAGCTAGATAAGTCTATGATATCCACTGCGGATGCAGCTATTCTGACCATTCTTTAAGTTAATGAATCTGGTATACTAATTCCAAGTCAGATAGGCTGTCACGTGCTACGTACAGGCGTATATATAGCTTCTTCACCGCCCTTAGGGCACCATAATTCATACATATTTACACAATACACACCATATTCCATTTCCACAGCTTGTCCAGGCTGTGGCATAGGCATAGCAACGCCGGGTCGTTGCCGGGTACGTGATTGAATAAAATCGAGCGTGACGCGAATGAAAGGAAACACATTGAGATCGCCTGTGAAACGATTATAAAAGTAATCCTCTTCCTCCAGCTTACCCCTTATTCAGCAACTGGATTATTAATGTCGAATCCTAATATGCCTCTGCAGATTGTCCTGTCTTGAGAAGCCATTCTCTCCTCCACCGAACGCATAATTACATCCACTGTAGGGGCAATAAAACTTGCGCCCACTGTGCTGATTCTGATGGCAGACAAGGTTTTTGTTCCGTGAGAATGCAATGCCTCGAGTAGAATATAATGGATTAAGGCAGCGATAAGGCTTCAGATAATATGTCTTGTGGCGGCCTGGCTCATCCTGTTTGCCAGAAAATTCAGACCGAGAGAAATGATGATAAGGTACTTGAGTTGGCGACAACTCGGGAAAGATTTATCACAGCTGGTAAACTCGCAAAGCCACTGCTAATCAGAAAGTATATCCGAAGCTGAACTTGTTGGGCCTTCGGTGCTCTCTGTTTCAGGACTTGTTGAAGGATTCATACTTTTGCCTGTCAAAGCCGACGATGGTATCGTGCAGGTATATGGTGCTCCTATAGGTGATTGAAGAACATTTATGCGATATTTCCAATACCATTGAATCTCTACCCAATTCCCACGATTGAGAGGCGTCCACCCCATGATCCCCACCCCGATCAGTGTCGAAGCCTTCAGCCAGCAGATTGATGCCCTCGAAGCTTCCATCCCATATTCTACTTTCCTCTTGTCCTTCCCCAACACCGGTGTCTCAAAGCCCATCCCATCTAGGATATTCCATTGCTTCCGGACAACTGAAATCGTCGAGACCAGCATCGTATGGCGCCGTTTCGGTAGTACTTGATTGAACTTGATCACTGTGGCATTCGCACCGAATGAGGTTTACAGCGGAGGTGCTTTCCGCTCAGTAGGCAGGTAAGTATGACAAAAAAGAGGTTGCGAGAAAGTTAGCATAGTTGAGCCAGAATTTGGGGTCGGGGGTTGCGACTTACGAAGATCACGGCATAGAGTGACGGTATTACAAGGCATTGTGCTTTAACGGCACTTTAGTGTCTGTTTCTAGTGTACTCGATCACTAAATTGCCCTATAAGTCTGGGCCATTGCTCTAAAATCACGCTATCCCTTCGTCCGGTGAGACATAGTCCACGCTAGCAAGGGGGCCTGGCTAAGACTGTAAAGTCGTACCTTTGCTTAAAAACTTATTAGTCATCTATCGCCTTTTCGCCCTGAGCCAGGCCCCCTTACTAGCGTGAACTATGTCTCACCGGACGAAGGGATAAGACCGGGGCAGGGGGGACCACACAATTTTAAAGCTTCTCCCCTGTACTTACAAGGGGTGCCTCGCTAAAGAGCCCTATGGCACTTATTGGGAAGGAAAGGCTGGATAGCTTTCTATCTAGCTAGATAAAATAAGATGAACACCTGCAACCAGTGATGAATCGCCATATCCAGATTTCTTTGCAAGAAATAGAGACCGTTCGTGTTCCGGAGTCACGCAATTGCGGACTGGAGCGAGCTCTACCGTTCAATTGCACCCCAGTATTTCCTCTCTCTCATTGCTTCATCGCCCTCGTCTTTCCACTTCAACGCTGGTTTGTCCATCGCCAAGAAGGCCGGACCCCACTTCGCAGGAACAAGCTCATCATGGTAACTAAGCCAGAGAATATCACCAACATGGTCGGCTCTGACTCCATATCCTCCAGTGCAGTTTGTTTTGAAGTACGGCTTCTTGATGGCCATGGCCATCCCCTCTGTCAAGATCTCGCTTGCACGCCGGTCATTTTCATGTTCGCGTCCATACAATTGCAACAAGACACATTCCTCATCCTCGTCCTCGACGATCGCCATGATCGCACCCATTCTTCGAGATGGTGTAAGAGATTTGACTAAGAGATATTTCCCAGGGTGCTGAGTCTCGAGCCAAAGCTCTTTCACTTTCATCTGCTCAAGTTTGTCCAAGGCTTTCGTGCAAGGTAAATACGACGGTGGAATGAAAGTGGTGAGGATTTGGTGGCCCTGACCTCCCTGAAGCCTTGTAGATAGCGTCTGCACGGCAAAATTGTGGCAGAGGTCTTGTTTGGATGGTCGATCTCTCGGGATTTCTCCTTTGCGCTTGCTGGCCTGAGAATGGTCAGCGACGTTCTAGTGAGATGCGGGGGGGAGGGAAGATTTCTCACCGAAGCCAACAAGTCTTTCTGCGTTTGCAAAAGTTTGGTGAAGTGCTGCTCCATTGTATTCTCAATGCCGAATTCAAGTTACTGGTGAGCAAGTACGCAGCCAGGGGAGGCGTTGGCAGGGACGAGGAACTTATATTTGCCCAAAGAAAGAAAGGCCCACAACCAAATAGAGGAACTAATAGAAAAGAAAAGATTCTAGGGAGGCAGAATGATTTAGATGATGATGAAGATTCCAAGAATTTCCTAGAATTAACGTGGCTATCTCGCATACCTGTATACAAACAAACGGCTTCTGTAGTGGAACGGATAGCCAGGACCGCAAGTCAACCAGAAGGAGAATAACAAAGTGGCTAACAAATATTCATATACTTCCGCAAGTCCTGGTACAATGATACCTTCGACTGCTCGCTGGGTGATGAATCGAGCAGACGAGGACTTCCTTCGACATTTACCCCTTGATACAGAGCTACGGATTGGAGTCAGGGAGTAGCCGTTTACATGCCAAATATTTAATCTGACTCTCACAAGCTGTAATTACTGGACCAATTGATGAATTGTTTGAGGAAGAAGAGTAAAGAAGGTTGAGGACCTCCTTTTCCGAAGCCATTTATCCGGCTGTTTAGCCGGCTGCCGAGACCCCACAGATTGGGTCCTGTAAAACTGGAACCTCACTCCATCAACCCCTTTCCGACCTACGTCTATAGCTCGACTCGTGCTCCAAATATCGGACGCAGCATGGCGATCATGCGCATGGCAGAGATGTCTTCTTGTTCCTCTGCTCCGATATATAAGCCTCCGTGTCGAAAACCCTTCCCGCTTCCCTTTCACGAGAATACGGAGTACCTAGCAGAGTCACCCTCCTCGACTACCCCGCCCCCACCTTCGAAGCTGTTACACGATGTCGAACGGATTCCTACGAGTCGAAGGAGAGAAAGTGGTTGATCAAATGGGCAATACGGTCATACTTCGTGGTGCAGGACTGGGAGGATGGATGAACATGGAGAACTTCATGTAATTGTATCCAAGCACCACAGCTTCGATACAGTTACTCACATCTCCCAGAACTGGATACCCGGGCCATGAGCATAAGCATAGGGCCGCCATGCTACAAGTTCTGGGAAAGGAGAAGCAGGAGTTCTTGTTCGACAAGTTCCTCGAATACTTCTTCATGGAGGACGACGCCAAGTTCTTCGCCAGCTTGGGCCTCAATTGCATCCGTCTGCCATTCAACTATCGGCATTTCGAGGACGATATGAACCCCAGGGTATTAAAGGCATCAGGATTTAAACACCTCGATCGTGTGATAGACCTGGTAGGCTCATATCCCTCGAATGTACCACTGCTAACACCAACATCCAGTGCTCCAGATACAAAATCTACACCATCCTTGACATGCACGCACTCCCCGGCGGCCAAAACCCCGACTGGCACAGCGACAGCGGCTCAAACTACGCTGCCTTCTGGGACCACAAAGACTACCAAGACCGCGCCATCGTAACCAACCTATTTCTTTGTCAAATTCCCTGGGCTCCTTATTTCAATGGTCGCGAGAATGAGACATACTCCCGGCTCATTCCCGGCTCTCTTCCCTCCAAAGAAACATGTTGCTAATTCGTTGCAGTGGCTCTGGGAGCAGATCGCCACACACTACAAATCCAACCCCTGGATCGCAGGATATAACCCCATTAACGAACCCTGCGATGCCCTACACTACCGTCTCCCCGCATTCTACGACCGCATCGAGCTTAAGATCCGGGCCATTGATCCACATCACATCCTCTGGCTTGACGGCAACACATTCGCCATGGAATGGAAATCCTTCGAGCATGTGCTTCCGAATGCTGCGTACTCAATCCATGACTATGCAATCATGGGCTTTCCTCTCGGTGAGCGCTTCAAGGGAACTCCGGAGCAGATATCCAGCCTTGAGCGAACATTCCTACGAAAAGCGTCTTTCATGCAAAAGTACAAAGTCGTTGCGTGGAACGGCGAGTTCGGGCCCGTGTATTCAGACCCACGCATGGATTCCAACGCTGCTGAGATTAATCAAGAGCGGTACAACCTCCTCGGAGCCCAGTTGAAGATCTACGACAAGTACCAAATTCCCTGGAGCATCTGGCTGTACAAAGACATCGGCGTCCAAGGCATGGTCTACACCGACCCTGATTCGTTGTGGAACAAAACCATCCAACCCTTCCTCGAGAAGAAACGTCGCCTGCAGCTCGACTGCTGGGGCAAGTACCCCAGCCCCGAAATCTCCTCCGTCATTGGTCCCCTTGCAAAATTCATCGACGAAGTGTGGCCCGAGGCCACGAACACATATCCCACATCCTGGAATACGCAACGCCATCTTGCGAGAGCGGTCATGGAGACGCTCATGGCGCAGGCTTTTGCGGTGGAGTTCGCAGGTTTGTTTAAGGATTTCTCGATGCAGGAGTTGGATGAGGCGGCGAAGAGCTTTCGATTTGATAGGTGTGTGCAGAGGAAGGGGTTGAATAAGATTATGAGTGAGTATGCGAAGGGAAGGGAGCTGTAGGTCAAAAGGCATCGCGGACGTGGAGTCGGACTTCTAGGGGTCTGATGAAATTGAGTTGTTGCTTGACTGTCATATTGTCCACCGGTTCCCTTCTTCATTCAAGTGAACCGTCAATATAGATCACAAACTTGTGGTATCCTCCTCCACATACTCTCTTGCTTTACTGATCGCTGCGCACTGCAAGTTTCACCATTTATGTTCACAAGAAGAGGAAAGGAAACTCGTTCTGGAATGAAATTTACCGCTGCAATGCAATGCTGCCTTGATGTCTGCAAAAATACAAGAATCAATCAAGCCAACATTGCTCTTATACTGCAATATTCTATGGACAGCGAAAATACCAGATCTAGCAATCATTGAGGCATTTCCCAGTCCATTTTCGGTGCACGCTCCGTATTTGATGACTCTCATGGGAACAATAGCAAAATTGCCATGGACAAGGAATTACCAGATTAGATCTAGCAATCAGAAAGGTATTTCCAGTCCATTCGCAAATGAAAATCCCGTCATTAACAAGGTGAAAGTAAATTCGTACTGTACAACCGGTCATGGAACAGATATCCTGGGGGAAATCGAAGCTTGCACGTTGCCATGCATTCGGATCAGCCCTCCTCGACCACACCGACGAAATCGGCGACGTCGCTGGTTCCCATCACCGCATCAGCTTGCGCCTCAGCCTGGGCCGCAGAAGTTCCGGTAACGTCGCTTACTTCCATCATCGTATCTTCTGGCTCCTCATTGGTGAAGTCAATAACGGGTTTTGACTGGGCCTGAAGCAAAGGCGGGTTTGGTGCCGAGCTGTTTGGGTAATATGTCGACTTGTTGACCGGAGTGAAGGCATTGCTGGGACGGAACTTCTTGTTTCTTGCCTTTCCACCCGAGGGACCGAGTGGGGCTTTGTATCGTTAGTTACTTACCAGGCAAAGAAGGATGCGGTCACGTACTATTCATGATCTTGTCAAGCTTCTGCCGCCTAACATCTCTCTGCCGCAACTTCGCCGCCTTCAAGATACTTGAAAGGTCACAAGTAAGTTTGGGACTGTCAAACCCCTTGTCAACATAAGGTCCTGGACCATACCGCGTCGGCAGCCAATTGGGATTCAAGACTTCAGATGTGTCTGGCGCCTTCGGCTCCTGGTGCTGACCCGGGGTGTGTTCTTGCTCTTGTTGTTGGCCAGCAATTTCGTTCTTCCTCTGTTGCTTGAAAGCAACTTCCTGCTTGTGTTGTTGAAGAGCAAGCTTGCCGGCAATCTGTTGCTGTTTCCATGCAGCTAAATCAATACGAGCATCTGTAATGTTGCTGGAGTCGCTAATGTCCAGCGTGCCTGGGACACCAGTATTCTGCGGTTGGAGATATGGATCCACGCGGAAGGCATTTTGGTGGCCCCAGGATTGCTGGAAGTGTCCATTGTTTGCTTGCATCGGATGATCAGACTGCATCTGCATGTTCTGCTGAGTAATGCCGAAGTCGGCGATGCGCATCTGCGCAGATTGGTATTGCGGCTGCATCCGGATATGAGAATCCCCCATTTGGACCGGAGCAGGATTAAATCCGTATATCTGCTTGTTCTCTATCCACATCTGGCGCAGTTCCGTTTCTGCTTGGGCGTAGAGTCGAGCTTCGGTGGCCGCCACATGGTCTTTTCTCATCTTCTTGATCTGAACCCTCAACAGTGATTTTCGATCATTTAACTTTTGTCTGAGCAGAATAAGGTCTGCGGAGCCTTGTTTCAGGTCGGCTTTCAGGGTCGGGAGTTGTAGATCTTCTGAATTCGAAAGTGACAGTTGCTCGATTACACCTTTCTCGGCGTTGAGAGCATCTTGTTTGGCGGCGATTGTTTGTGCCTCAGCGAAGATAGCCGCGTGCTCAATCTCAAATGTCTGTAACTGTAACTGAACGTAAGCTAAGGTGCTTTTGCCTTGTCCCGTTTTGGGGAGATTGAGCGTACCATATGCTTTGGCATCTCAGCCATTCCTTCCTTCTTTCCGAACGCACCACCCTGAGCAAGGGTTCTAAACTATTTACGCGCGTTATTGTCGACGATTCTTGAAGTTTGATGGTGAACGGAATGATACCTACTGTTTTTGGACGTCCTTCCACCGCAGTAGGAGGCTGCTGCGGACCAATCATGGCTGGAGTTGGAGGTCCTGGCTCAATCGGGGCAGTAGCAGGCATCTGCATGTTCTGTAGTCGCTGTTGGATGTCTGCGTTTGGCTCCTGGGTATTTTGAAGAACTTGCTGTGTTTGATTTATCGCCTTTACCTGTCGCTTCTTGAGAATCGTAAAGTTGCCTTTATTGGTAGATGCACGCTTTGCCAGCTCCATACTCCAATTGCTATTGGCACTCCGCCACTTATCAAGGTTCAATTGCCGGATGAGAATCTGCGGATCACCGGGCTTTGCTTGCTTCCGACCATCGATCCAAGCCTTCTCAGTTTCGATAGCTGCCAGTTCCACAAGGATAGATTGTGACTCGAGGGCGATTGCAGACTTCTCTGCCAGAAGCTCTTTCTCCTGCGCATGTAATTCCGCTATTTGCTCCTTCACCTGCAGATATGTTAGAAAACGTTTGCCCTGTCGCGTAAGAAAAGATCGGACATACCTTTAGTGTTGCCGCTGTGAGTGGGACTCCTGGATATCCTTTGCTCACACGGCCACTCAGAGCCTGTCCTCCGCTTTCCTGCTTGCGTCGTGTTAGTCCTACATTATTCGCATGCTGACGGTGGACGCAAAAGATGCATACCATGTTGAGACCGCAAGGTCCTCTCGGTTCATCAGCTGGCTCTGCGGGTACTGTCTCCTCAACCTCGCTACCTGCTTCCGCTTGCTCAGCCATTGCTGCCAAGCTCTTCTCTTGGTCGAGATCTAGTTTAGAGCTCATCCTAGCTGGACTTGGAGGAGGCTCTTGCGTGCCAATCGTTGGACCAGAGAGGTCTGGAATTTTTGCCACCCTAAGACAGCAAAGACGACTCGTATCCGTGACTTCGCAGAGCTTGCTCTGAGTTCGTCCCAACAAGAGCACGAATGTGCAGAGGAAAGAAGAAAAATTAATTTAATGGAGTTGTTGACTTCGCGAAAGATCCATACATGAGCTCCCGAAGCGAAAAAAAAATAAAAACGCTGCGACGCTAACGATAATGGTCGACTCCTCCTCGCTTTTGTTACCACTGTGCAAAAGGGATTGGATACAAATTCACTACTTAACAGTTGTTTTTGATCCATTCACAGACATCCATGACAACAGCCTCCTCCACATGCCCTTCCAGCGCATAGTCGTCAGGAGTTGACGGCCCCTGGCCAGCCATGAAGAGGTGATTTAACCCTTCGCCCACCTTGATCTCAATATTCTCCTTCCCCTCCAATCCTTCTTTCCACATTACCAAGTCATCCTCAACCGTAACTTGGTAGTCCCTTTCAGGCTGCAAGATCCTGACCGGAATACTCAGCTTCCTCACCTCGGCAACCTGATCATACTCTTTCACGCTAAACCAGTATGATGCTGGTGCCCCAAATGGCAGTTCCCCCTTGTTCTTTACATTGAAGTCTGGCTTCCCAATCACTACAACCTGCTTTGAAAACAAGTCCACATAATCTTGCGTAGCAAAGGGAGGCTCGTGATTCAACGAAACGAGGTACTTCATCTGCCTCAACGCCGAATCATACATCTTCCCACCTGCCGCACTCAGCATGACAACCCCTTTGATCTTAGCATCTGCATTTGCAACCATTGGCGCGACCATAGCACCCAGACTGTGTCCAAGGACGAAAATAGGGATATCAGAGCTAGCCAACTTGTCCCGGAGAGCCTTGATGGCTGCATCTGCGTATGGCAAATACTCTTTCTGCAACGTGATATTCTCATCTGAAATCTTCGATGACTCAGCACTAGGTTTGTCCCATCGAACCACAGCGATGGCGTTACTCGCCAGACCCCACGCCAGGTCCTTGAGCGGTTTGTTGGGCTCCAATGTGCTATCTCTGTCTGTTGGTCCAGAACCGGCTAGGAAGACGACGCCAGCAGTCGGTTTGCTTTTCGGAATACTCAGTGTTGCTCCGACCTCGACACCATCAGCCGAAAGCACGATATCTTCCTCATCAAATAGACCGGTATCCACATATTGGGGCTGTTTCCAGGTGGAAGGGATATCTTTCGCGGGCTTGAGACGAAACCCCGCAATCAATCCTTTGTCATCGATCGCGACCACCGCCAGCAGTTCCCCTTTCTCAAACTCCACCAAGACTTTGACCACTTTCTTGGAGCCAATACCTTCGACTTCTACCGGGGTGAACGAGACGAGTTGGCCTTGAGCAGTCTGCAAATCCTTTAACGCTTTCTCAAGTGTGGCCGGCGAAACGAGGAGTTTGATCGTACTCGAGCTATTCTCGAGAGCCTCCGCGAACTTGTGGGCTTTGATGAGATCCAGGAGTTTCAGTACAATGGCCGTGGCCTCTTGTTTTTCAGTCGCTGAGAGAGTGACCTTACGTGGGAAAAGACTTTCTGTGAGCCAATGCCACGCTTTAAGGAGGTGGGAACGCATCGCGGCAAAGCAACTTGGGGGCGAAATCGACTCAAGTGAGGCAATAAAAATTCAACAGTCGAAGCGGGCAGTTACTCCAAAAAAAATTTGAACGATGGGAACAGCTCCCTGTACCAGATTGTCTCTCTTATGTACCTTCGTCCCACGAGGGATTTCCATGCCACAGCGCAGCTTCCCCGAACCAACCCGATGGCTCTCCCAAACTTTAGACACAGCACACGACGACTATCGCGCACCCTTCCGTGAATACGCTGAAATGATCGAAACAAGGCTGACGAGCTCTCCTTTCACGGAGTCCACACCTTATTCAGCACCGTGTTCAGCACTGGCTGAAATGCCTCAATATTGGACGAAAAGGAATAGGGATAAGGTTGGAGATGTTGCGATGAAAACTCGGTTAGACCCTGGAAAGCCATTCCAGCCCCATAATTTCGGGGCAATGGAGCCCGAGTCACTGGGTCCACCACTCCCGAAGCTCATCTTTTCTCAAACTTTATGGTAACGGCCCTGCATTACCACTCCCATACACGAATCTCCCCCAAGGGCGAGAGCTGCCAGCAAAAGATGGGACTCGGGAACAAAGTCTCCTCTAGGACTACGGATGCATCTCAAGAACGCAAGTATTCCGATGGATCTCTGCCAAGAATGTGCTAAGAATGGAGAGACCGGCGATCAGAACTCGTGCCAATGTACGAGTTGATGCAAAAACAACATGGCCAAGCGGCCGAGGAAGTCCCCAAGCATAGAGTATGTTCTCTCGAGCGCAGAAGGCCATATTTTCTTTTCTTTCGAGTGCAGAACGCCTTCTTCACAGTGTGTGCTGAACAGGGCCAAAAGTTCCTGGTATACAGTGTTAGTGCCAGCCAGACCCTCGCTACCGCCGGTTGTACATGCATCAAAACGGCGGAAGCGCTTGTACGATCATTCTCACTGGGTACCCTAAGACATTGCTAATCTTACAATGTTCAGGACACATTCTGTACTTCCTTCCCGTGCCATCACACTCTCTCCCGTCTTAACTTCGCCGCAACTACTGCTCTCTTCTCCCTATGTTTCTCCTTATTAACATAAACAGTCGCCACCTAATTTCCTCACGGAACTAATTTAAATAATTTTTTATCAACTCTAAAATTGAACTTCTCTACTCGAACTAACTTAATCTTTTCTCCGCTTATCTTATCACACGTGTAAATCTCTTTACCGAAGAGTGACAGCTCATTGCTCTTACTGCTCTTCAAACAATAAGCAGTGATACCTTTTGTCTGGGGACCGGACTCAGGAGATTTCATAGTCATCTCGACCTGGCTGCGAGCGAGCGCCTTCTCGACGATAATGGGGATATGCATGTCTTCTGACAGTGCAGAGAGTCGAGAATACCTTTCGGAGGAGAGAGTTGTCGTTTTTAGTGACTCCACTCTTCCCAGCCCGTCTACGGGCAAGAAGCGTCGAAGCAAGGATGGATGCGTGTCTCGCTAAAGTAAGCGAGGTCAATAGGGGGGGACGGATACCAATTGCCTTGTCAAGCACGATTGAAACAACCCCTGTTTGGCCGACCATTTGACCGTGATGGCAGCATTAGCAATGAGTCACACGGTAAGTGCTCTTATAAAAACAGAGTAGTTTGGATGTCAATAGCTGATTGTCCAAGGCTCTTCATCCAGCATCTTCACGCACTCAACTAGCACTCTTTTTCTCAATCCACACGCTCCAGACGGCAGTCTCTCACGCGCCCCCTTCGCCTAAAACCGCACGAGCAAGATGCCTTCCCCACTCGCAGGCCCAACTAACGCCCCACCAATCCTTACCCTCACCCGCTCCCTCACAATCCGCCCCTTTCGCACCTTCGACGCCCCCTCCCTCGCCCACCACGCCAATGACAAGGAAATGTGGCTCAACGGCCCGGACATCGTCCCATTCCCCTTCACCCTCACCTCCGCGCACTCCTACATCGCACGCGCCAGTGACTCTCGCAACTGGGCTTGTTCCGGGGCATCGTGGACCGGACCCGCGCTTCCATCCATGTACGCGATAGCTTCCCGCGATGTCTGCATCGGCTCCATCGAGTTCTGTCCAGGCGAGGATATCAGAGCGAGGACGGCGAAGATCGGGTATTGGGTTGGCAGGGAGTATTGGGGGAAGGGGATCATGACGGAAGTTGTAGGGACTTTTGTGGGGTGGGTGTGGAGGAGTTTTCCGAAATTCGTGAGGATTGAGGCGGAGGTGCATGATTTTAACGTTGGGAGCGGGAGGGTGTTGAGGAAGGTGGGTTTTGAGCACGAGGGGACATTGAAGTGGGGGATTTGGAAGGATGGAAGGTTGGCGGGGTTGGAGATTTGGGGGCTGGTGAGGGGGAGTGGGTGAATTTGTTGTTGTAGTTGTTTTTGTTGTTGAGCTTGATTACTTCTCTCGCCTAAGCTCTGAAGGTTCCGCGCGAGGGCTAGGAAGAATCTAGTGGAAAAATGATAGATTCGCAAAAAATGCAACGAACAGATTGTAACCATGAGCAAAGCAATCCAAGTCTACAAACATCAGATTTCCGCTGCTCGTTATATCATACAAGACACCTATCCATCTACGAATTATCCGATCCCTTGCAGTCCACCAAACTCCCCAACGGCACATCATATTCTGCCCTAGATGTCACGCTGAAATAGAAAACTAAAGAAATGAAACCACTTCCTCTTTCTCAATCCCTTCTACTCCCCCTACGACTCGCGAACGAAGCCGCACCAGGACTAACCGGTGTCTCCGCCCTCATCCCTACCCCCAAACTCAACCCGGTCAGCCCCAACTTCACCTCTCCCACTCTCCTTAGTAACCCTTGAAGTGCAACTCTGACCTCGCCTCCCAGATCCCTATTCAAAAGCTCCACACCAAGCGGATAGAAAACCTCGACATACTTCTCGAACCCTTCCTGCGGGAAATTCGTATAGCCCTCCAACACATCGACAACAACCGGCCTCCATGCGATAATGTTTCGTTGTTGTGATTCTTCTTCCAACTCCACGAAGCCGCGAATAATGTCCGCGCACAAGGGGACGAGTGCAGCTTCCGTGTCTGAGCGGTTCCGCAACCGCTCGTCGGAGGTGTCGTGGTACATGCGTAGCAGGATGCTCACGTACGTTGCGGCAGACCCGCTCTCTTGCTTCAGAAGGTTGGGAGGTTGTTTCATGAAGCCTTCGCGCCATAATCTCATTCGTAGCTCCTTGTTTTCGTTGAACTTCTTCGCGAAGAGGAAGGATTTCTTCAGGAGGGCCATAAGGCGCAGTAGCTCGGGGGAAGGAATCTGTGCGTAGACTGCGTCGTTAGAGAAGAGCTCGTTGACGGTTTCGATCATTAGGAGTTGCAGGACGCATTTGGTGATGATTTGGTTGAAGAAGCGGCGTCTGGCTGCTGTGACAACAACGGGTTGTTGTTGCAGGCCTGATTGCGGCTTGTAATCTTCGAGATCCGTGGCGGCGGTCGTGGGCGTCTTGGCTTCGTCGTCGTTTACACTTTCGATGTCGGATGTGGAGGCGCCATTGGTGCCGTTTATCTTGAGAGATTTGTCGTCTCCTAGTTCTTCTAATGGCGAAGCACCGTTCGTAGGCCCGTCGGCTCCCGAGGATGAGGTCGCAGCAGAGAAAAGTTGATAAGCTGTTGTTCTTTCGAATAACGATACGAAGGCTCCGACAATCTTCGACCAATGTTCTGGTGTGAACTTGGTGACGTTCTGCAAGATGAGTTGTTGCAGACAATTGCTACCGATTCTTGCGATTGTATCATTCTCTTGGCATATGCATAAGGCGAGCAGATCCAAAAATCTATCGAGCATGTATTCAAGCGATTCGAAATAATGGGTGAAGAGTGTGATCATATTCCGGAGAGCTTGGATCATGGTTGTTGATAGCCAGACGGAAAGCTCTTCATGGGTGAGAGCATTCGACAGTTCAGACTTCGACTTGAGCACCATGAAGATAGGGTACAAAAGCTGTCTCCAAAGAATATCCCAGAAGTCAGGCGGGAAGTCTCCACCATACCGTATGAGAGAATCGAAGAGGTAGTTTAGCGCATTCGATCTGACTTCAAGGTCTTCTCCAGTCATCAAGACGTCATGGAATGCAAACAGAACTGGGAACCAGAAAGCTTCCTCTTGGCTTGTTCGACTGATTTGCTTCAAGGCGCCGTCAGCAGATTTAGCCGAGCCATCAGAGTTGACATTCGATCGGTTCGATAGAGGACATTCTGGTGTCTTGAGCATCTTGGGAATTATCGACTTCAGAGTCTCCATTGCCTGCAACCCTTTCTTTTGGAACTTCATGTTCTTGGAAAACTCCGTCAAGCATACGATGAGATCTGCAAAGGCACCTTGAGAGATGACCACACCAAACCGGGTCTTGTAAACCTGGTTGACGTTCTCAAACGCGAGATTGACGATACTCTCGTATGGTTCTCGGGCAGCCACGGTGAAAACACCAAACATCGTTCTCCAGCCGGATCGAATGTTCTCTCCTCGGGCTTGAATCATCTGGATCAGACATCGAAGAACCATATCCTTGACAGTCACCACCGTAGAGTTAGACATGACATGCTCGAATGGCTTGAGGAAATCTTTTTGGAACTTGAAACCTGGCAACTCCTCGATCTCCATAAATCGCATCGACAACTGCCGTAAAGAGTCCAAGGCGAAGAAGACAACTGCGGTATTATTATAGCAGCCCACGCGATTGAAGTGCTCGCCCAAGACCACCCAGATATTTGTCCATTCGAATCTGACTCGAGTCATGTTGTAATAACTGATCTCGACCAGCTTTTGAAGACTGTATGTTCTCGGCGATTCGTTTTGGCCTGAGATCTTGATTTCCTCCCAGCTCACTTCTGTAAGCGCCCGCACGAAATACACGATTGCCTCTCCAGAGAGATTCGCAGTGTTAGTAAATATCCGGTCCACACCTTTTATTACTTCGTCTGACCGGCTTTCCATGGCAATCTCCATCGAGTAGCTTGTGCTTGAGGTGGTGGATCGAGGCCTTGGCCGCGACGGTCTTTGTGACTGCGACGACTTTCTCGAAGATGCAGTGTCCGGTCTTGAGGGGGCAACGATTCGAGCTTTTGAAACATCTGGTATCGAGCTTTCGTCCACTCCATCTGATATCAGTTGCAGTCGGTCAAGCTGACTGATACACATTAAGATATCTCTCCATGAGGACTTCAAGAGATTTCCTTCTGTCTGCCCAATATCGATCAACACCTTCAAGGCTTCAACGTTCTTTGCTTGCATCTCAGTTGGGTTGTTGAGGTTGGTAGCATTCTTCAGAGCGGAAACAAAAGCTTCTCGTGGCGTTTCCAAATCGAAAAGGCATGCAATACGAACTGCCAGTTTCATCCCCTCCATACATAGTTTGATGATCTCAATGTTGTGAGCGTTCTGCATTTGACCAGAGAGACCTGAAAAGAAAGACATCCAAGTCACGTCAAACATTGGCCCGACGTGCTTGAACGATGTAGCTGGGATGAATTTGATTGCTCCAGCCTTGGAGGAATTCTTGCGCTGATTTCGAAAGAGGTTCTTGAACAATTGCTCTGATCTATGGGAGATCTGTTCGGATTGCTGCAAATATGCTTCACGCTGGAGATCACGACCAACAGTTGCCAACGCCTGACCCAAACCAGACGCAATGCCGCCCGTGGACTGAGGAACGCCATTAGCCGCAGCAGCCTCTCGCTCACTCTTGAGCACAATCTCCTCTTTCCGAATCTCATCATATATGCCAATGAGATATTCGTCCGGAAGATCTGCGTTGTCGTTGATGCCTCGATTATTTTTGATGAAGTCCTCCTTCGTCATTCGCTTCACGACTTTGCTGCTGTGCTGATCGGTGTTCAACATCACCACCGAGTAGGACAGAACATAAGCAGTGTCTGCGTTAGCAAAAGCGTTGGGATTCTGCATTACATATCGATTGGCGAACTTCAGCATGAAGCGATCAATCTTCTGGGCCTCGCCGGGAAGCCTGAAAGATTGCAGGAATTGCCTCAAGGCATCAACGAAACGCCGTTTTGTGAAGTCCATGGCGTCCACGAATGCATGCATAATCGAAATGTTCCACTCGTCGCCTTCGCCCAAGAATTCTCCAATCTGGGCTTTATCTAGTTTCTCTTCTCTGAGTAAGAAGAGAGCGATTTCTTCGGGGGTAGAATGTGAGATGAAGCCTTCTTCGAGTAAAAGTTTGATACCCCGTTTGGGCTTGAAATTGAACTGTTTGATGGCATTGCTCAGGGCAGTTTTTCTCTGCTTCTCCTTTTCTAGTTGCTCGGGGTCGTCATCCAATAGCGGGGTCGAAGGGTGAGTTGGGGTATCACCATTGGTGATCTTTGAAGAACTGTCGTTTGCTGAGGGATCAATCGACTCGCGAAAATCCTCAGAAGCCCTGGTATCCGTTTCTAGGTTGCCAGAAACTTCAGCGATGCCTTGTTGAGACCAGTTGACCAAAGATCTCAAAGTCTCAACCAGAGCGTCCAGTGCTTGCCTTTTGATGATGTACTCTTTCGGAACCTCATCATCCATAGTCGTGTGGCGATCGTTCATATGCACGGTAGAAAGTGGCGGAGGAAGAGTTCCACGGGATTGCCATTCTGATCCGTTTGACCCGGATTTTGCAGCTTTCTCTTCGTATTGTTGCTGATGAAAAGGGGTGATCAATACGGGAGAGCTGGCTGCTCTTGAAAGATCTTCAATTAAAGTCTGGAACATGTTGTCGACAGAATTCCTGTCACAGTCGTAGTTGAGGTATGTTTCAACTAAAGCTCGTGGGTCTGCACAGAATCGCTGTAGGATTCCCATGAAATATAGCTTCTGTGCCACAGGCGCATTTCTTCGTTCCAAAAGGGCGAGATAAATCTCATTTAAGAACACTTCTATCTCTTTCTACAAATTATTAGCAACATGACCTCAAAGCTAAAATATCACACAAACCTTAAATGGAGCTCTCATGAACTTGAGCATAAGCCAGAATATCTCGCAGCACACCTCAAATACCCTATCCACTGAACTAGCTCCATTTCGTGTGATGCTGAGACATAGGTAGAATTTGATGGCCTGTAGAAATCCTGTCGGCTCGTTGCTTTTGCTGTTGGTGATCGTACATAATGGAGAAATGAAGACGAGCATATTATTATTGAGTAAGGTGTGAATGAGGTGAAGTGAAATCAATTTCGAGCGCATCGCCTGCCCCTTTAAATCGTACAGTTGGTCGGGAGGCAGAACTTTCGTGCTGAGATTGCAGAATGATCGGAAAACCAAGTATGCATCTCGTATGTAGACCTCGTCCTCGCTCTCGTCACTGTCCATACCCTCATCTGTGGTGCTTTCAGGGGGTGTCTGTCCCGAGTTCGATCGTGGCGATGGCACCACAGGCTTCACTTGTGTGACCATCGTAGGCCCTTCTCCCATCTGCGAGTCGTCGAAGCTCTTTCGGTGTTCGAGGTCCTTGAGAGTGAGTTTAGGCCCGTCCTCGCTGGAAGGAGCTTCGGATGCAGCGCTTTCCTCTACAGATTCGTCCATATTGCCCGAGGCTTCGTTGATGGATTCGGTGGCATCGACTGTAAATGAGCTCGCGTTTGCAGCACCCTTCCCTAACCTCGACAGGTTCAGCCGTGCCTCTTTCATGTGTATCCGGGTCTTGACTCTCTCGAAGACTGTCCCCACCATCTGCGTCAATGTCCCCTGCGCCACCTGCTGGTTCGCACTGCTTTTCGAGAGTAGGAATACATTGTAGACTTGCCGGACAGCTTTCAGCAGTCCAGCACCATGTACCACAATTTTGTCGTTCAGGACAGCTGCAAGTAAGGACTTGACAATCTGCAATTGGATTTCCACCGGTGTAGTCTCCCCCTGGAAGCAGTTGCATATTGTATCGATCGCTCGTTCGATCAGGGGCTCTCGAGAAGCCTCCTTGTCTGCATTCGGCGATGATGGGACTGAGAAGTAGGAATAACTGATAAGCTTTCCGATGCAGTCCAAGGCAGTCGTGGTCAGGGGAATGCTCCCGGATTTTGTCGCCAGTTGCAGTGGCTCGAAAATGACCTCGGGGTCTGGTAATTGGGGTTCATGTTCCTTGATGCCTTTCAGCGCTTTTTGGACCGAGTCGTTCAGCTGGTGTTTCTTGTGTGCCTCCTTCGAAGCCGCAATAGCTTCGAGGGCCGATACCACAAACACTATTGAGCTCATGGTGGGCTCTGTGAGGGTCCTCCTTCCATTCGCACGTATGCCCTCGTCCTGCGGTCGACGATTTGTTCGTTAGAGTCGCAGAAGTCGGAGTGCGAGATTTCAAAATTCTGGGCTACCACGTAACCCCCAGCTCGAAATAAATCCGAGCGGATCTGACAGTGATAATCGCGGGCAAGGGGTTGCGCCTGCCGGGCCAATGAAAACCGCTCGGGCGCTTCAGGATGCGCTAGGCGGGTTCAGCCCGTAGCTCGCCTGCAAGCTCCCAACGCCGACTGAATTTTGGCTTTCCCGAATTTCAACATTTCTCCTTCAGCTTATTGTCGCGCCAGCTCCAGCTCCAGCCACCGCCCACGTCGACGTCGTGAATCCAGGACGTCAATTGTCTGGATACGTCTTGAAGCTTGCCTCTCGTCCGATTTTCGACCTTCGTTCTTTCTGCAGCTCCTTCAAAATGTTCGCCGCGGTGCTGAGACGGCGCGCCCTGCAATCCTCGCTCTCCTTCCAATTCGCAAGATGCTATGCCTCGAAACCCTTCCCACCCCACACGGTGGTCACAATGCCTGCTCTATCGCCGACAATGACAGCAGGAAATATTGGGACGTGGCAGAAGAAGGTTGGGGATGCGATTTCACCCGGTGATGTCCTGGTTGAGATTGAGACGGACAAAGCTCAAATGGACTTCGAGTTTCAAGAAGAGGGTGTCCTGGCAAAGATTCTGCGGGATTCGGGGGAGAAGGATGTTGCAGTTGGCAATGTGAGTCCCCAATTGGGTTTCTAGCATCTGTGCTGCTAACCTTTTCAAGCCTATCGCAGTTATGATTGAGGAGGGTGAGGATGCGGCGGCTTTTGACTCTTTCACAATTGAGGATGCTGGTGGAGAGAAGAAGGCTCCCCTACCACCGAAAGAGGAAGCCAGCGAGTCTTCTGAGCCAGCAGACACGGAATCCGGAACAGCTCCTCCCAAATCCGAGACATCAGCCCCCGAACCCATTGAAGAACCCTCAAGCGGTGGCAGACTCCAATCAGCTTTAGACCGAATCCCAAATGCCAGCGCTGCTGCAGTTAGACTGGCTATTGAGAATGGTATCAAGATTACTGGCCTCAAGGGCACCGGAACTGGCGGACAAATCACGGAGGCTGATGTTAAGAAGGCTCAATCTAGCAGCGCGTCAGCAGCTCCAGGTGCTCCAACGGCAGTATCATCATACACCGACACTCCTACCACCTCTATGCGAAAGACGATTGCCAACCGCCTTACCGAATCATTTACCCAAAACCCTCATTACTTCGTTGCTGCCACCGTTTCCGTGTCCAAGCTCCTGAAGCTCCGACAAGCTCTCAACGCCTCCGCAGACGGAAAATACAAGCTCTCAGTTAACGACTTTCTCATCAAGGCCTGCGCCATTGCATGCAAGAAAGTCCCCACCGTCAACTCAAGCTGGAGAGACGGTTTCATCCGACAATTCAATAACGTCGATATCAGTGTAAATTTTCCCTGACCCTGTCTCGCCTCCAAGAACTAACACAATAATTCTCAGGTCGCAGTTGCAACACCTGTTGGTCTCATGACACCTATCGTCAAGAACGTTGAAGGTCTTGGTCTCGAATCCATTTCCGCACAAGTTAAAGATCTCGGCAAGCGCGCAAGGGACGGCAAGCTCAAGCCAGAAGAATACCAAGGCGGAACCTTCACCATCTCTAACATGGGCATGAACCCCGCCATCGACCGCTTCACTGCCGTGATCAACCCGCCACAAGCCGGTATCCTTGCCGTCGGCACAACGAAGAAGGTCGCGATCCCCGTTGAGTCAGAAGAGGGGGCATCGATAGACTGGGATGATCAGATAGTTGTTACGGCTAGCTTTGATCATAAGGTTGTGGATGGTGCTGTGGGTGGCGAGTGGATCCGGGAGTTTAAGAAGGTGGTGGAGAATCCGTTGGAGTTGTTGCTTTAAGTGGATGAGGTGCGCGTGAGGGGGAGGGGGAAATGTGGTGCTTGTAATCGGATGGCATAGATTCCCCATGTAACCTGTACAATGACCACTTCTGCATTATTTGCAAATAAAAAGAATCTTGTTGCTCCTTTTTTTGCTCCCGTTCAGGATGTGAAGTATCGTGTGTTCACGAGCTTCAATGTTGCTGGAGACTGGTTGGGAGAGTAAAGATTCGAGAAGGCCAAAACTTTTGTGTATATCGAATCAATGTTCCCAAAACCCTGATAAATTAAGAGTCTCCTCGAACTCGAGAGTGACTTCTCTCTTACATTGTAAAGTCGTAAATCGCACTCAATGTACCGAAATTTCCAATCCATTGAAAGCCTGTCGACTTTCGTCTGATGTGAAAGCTAGATCCTTTCATCTAATCTCTACACCTTCAGTGAATTGTCATCCTCGACCTTTTGCTGCACATCGGTTGAATGTTCCAAAAGTTCTGACACATAGAGATTGTCACCGAGGCGAAAGGTGAATCTCTGAGATTTGAAGAAAAAAAAATTGGTTACGTATTGTTTTGATGTTTCAGGCTTTCTGAGAAATTGCGGGTGATAGGCAATTCTTCTGTACAAGCACGTCTCAAGCAGGACTCCACACTTCGCCTCGGATGAAGATAGTCCACTGCTCATATAGAAGTCTGAACTTCTTCTCATATAGACTGAATATACGACAGCAAGATAAGATACTCAAATTGAAGCGCTCCAAACACCCCCCGATGTACCCGCTATCCGAACGCCTCGCAATGCATGCATCTGTCGCCTCCCTATAAACATATACCCCAAATGCCCCATCCCCTATATCACTTTTTCCTCTTCCCAACCAACAAGCTCCAACCCCCTCCCTTTCCATCCCCACTCCCATTACTATTCCCAGCATAAACCCCCCTCCAATCCAGCTGCCCCAACATCCCCCTCAACCCATCAATCTCCCTCTCCAACTCGCCCTTACTCTCAGCCAGAACCTTAACCTCATCCCACTTCCTCCCCTTCTTAGCACCCTCAATCATCTCTCCCACAAGAAACTTCTGCTCCTCAAGTACGATCAACCTCTCCCGCAATTCCTTCTCCTCTGCTTCCATTTGCGAGATCTGACTCGAGTGGGTGCTTGACACCTGGCTAGCGGAGTCCATGTCGTTGAATTTTATCGCTGCCAAGGCGCCTACACGACCGTTGCCGTTGCCGTTAGTGGAAGATGAGGAAAGAGAATGCCCGTGCGGTGATGCGTGTTTTAGGATTTTCGGGAGGGATTTTAGGGGGAGCATGTGCAGGTTCAGGAAATTTGCAGATTGTTGATAAATTGCTTTTTGTAGCCTTTGCTGCGTCGTACTTGTTGTGGGAAGGTCCCGAATCCGTTTCGCTGCAAGATCATATTTCCCAAAGCTATCTATCAGCCGTTTCCGCACTTTACTCGCTTCGGCGAGTTGGTTGTGTGAGGGGGGTTTATCAGGGTCTTGGAGTGCGATGATCAGGCGCTGGAAATTCGGGAGTAGAAGGCGAATCCCCTTTTCGAATTGCAAGAGATTCTCGTACGCTCTTTGGTCGGGTGGTTTATGGGAGAGGGCAGAGGCGAAATCTTTCTTGGAGAATATTGTGGTGCGGCAGTCGCGGCACATGCGGACGTCGAGGGTGAGTTCTGGGGGCGAGGAGGGAGATTTCTCTTTTGTAGATGTAGGGGCAACGTTAAGGCCTACTTCTGAGGAGCAGTTTGTGCGTGGGTCGGCGCAGACTACGCGTCCGCAAAGACGGCAGTGGTGCCGCCTGAAGGACCAGGAGCCGAATTCTTGGTGGCAGAAGGGGCATTTGAGGACTTTGGCACCCTCTTCCCAGGTGACGACTGACTGTTCCAACAGCTTTCGTTGATTCTTTTGCCCTGCTAGTGACAGGATTCCTCCATTCGAGGCCGACATATCGTCTGGCGGACTTGCCAATAATTGCGTGAGTTTCGTAAGCCGTTTCTCCAGCCTCGAAACTTCCAAATATTGCTTGTCCACCGTCTTCCTCCTCAAGGCCAGAAAGTCGCTCGTATGGTCCCGTGCAAATCCGTGCTCATTATATCCCTCTCTTGACTTGAAGCAAGTCTCGCAGACTCGACACCAGAATCCTCTTACTGGCTCATGCTGGGCGGACCTCGAGAGCTTCATCTGGTACATCGTATGATCCTCACAGAACAGACGCCCGCACTTCCTGCAGTTCACACTCCCATTCACCGGGCCCAGTCTCTTCCCGCATGCTGGCTCTGTACATAGGTCATTGTATCCTGACCTTTGCCAATGCGACCTCGTAACAACCTCATCTGGGTCAGGTCTGTGTGGTTCGGGTGTTGATATTCGGTTGCCTGGAATAACGCTTGGTACAGGTGAAGGGGCCACCACCTCATTTGATTCAAATACATCTAGTCCTTTCAGTTTTTGGTTAATGACCGCCAGTGGTTGGAACTTCTTTGCTTTGAGGACTTGTTTGTCGAACCAATTCTTTACTTCGTCTTGCTGTACTTCTGGTAATTCTTGGTGGTTGTCATCGAGATGTCTGCAGATGGTCAACTATAAATTGAAGTTTCTTGGATATCGTAAATACCTGTTTAGTTGCAATAAAGTCATCTGCATAGTGTCAGCAGAGATCTTAATGGTGCACAGTGAAACTAACCATTTCCTCGTTGCAGATCGGACACAACAGCTTCGTGCTCGCCGCAGCGACTGCTGATGGTCCTCCATTCTGCAAAGACACTACTGAACTCAAGTCCTGGTTCACCTCAGGTAACGGCGATGTAGCCAAAGGGGAAACCGTAGAATCCCTCGAATCCCCCGAAACCAAACTCTCAGCCGGGGAGACCAGGCTCGACGTTCGTTGATGTGCCGGAAGGGCGGGAGGCGCCAAACCCTTCCCACTACCCAGGACCCTCCCGCCTCCCAGCTTTCGACCAGACATGGCGGGAGTATATCTTCTTCAGAGCCTCAGGGCCGTGCCAGCTCGAGGTGTTGCTTCTCCTTCGTCCTTCTCGTTTGAGGATCATAGATGTTCACCTGGGGCAGGTGGACTGCACGCCGCGCTAAGCGAGCTGCGAAGTCTTATCGATCGGCGCTAGTCCTTATCGTGCTCGTGATCCTTGTAAATAATGTATCTCCGGAAAATATATCTCTCCAGCTTTCACAACTTCCGAGATGGGCGACGAAAAGTTCCCAAGGGTTCAGGGAGGGGGCTCATTGATTCTCGCGTGGCAAATCAGGAATAAGAGGGTCCTGGTAGTGGGTGGCGGAGAGGTAAGTCTTCTCAAGGACTCGATGCAATTGCCACTGACCTCGTTGCAGGTTGCTGCGGGGAGAATACTCAATGTCCTCAATGCAGATGCGAAAGTCACAGTTGTGTCTCCTAGACAAGGACTGAATCACGAAGTTGCATATCGAATCGAAAAAGGACAAGTCGATTATGTGGACCGAAAATTTGAACCTTCGGATCTCGATAATGTGGATATGGTTTTGACGGCAATCGATGACCCTGAAGCTTCGTCACAGATATGGAAGCTATGCAAGGAGAGGAAGATTGCGGCCAATATTGCAGATGTGCCTCCCGAGTGTGACTTCTATTTTGGGAGTGTGCACAGAGATGGACCTCTCCAGATTATGGTGAGCACGAATGGGAAAGGTCCTCGATTGGCAAACATTGTCAGACGCTCAATAGCAGAGAATCTCCCTGACAATGTGGGAGAGGCTATTTCGAAGATTGGAAAGTTAAGGCAGATGTTGAGGAAGGTTGCACCCAATCCTGAGGAGGGTCCAAAGAGGATGGCATGGTGAGCCTCTTTTAGAGAGCTGTTGAGTGAAGTGCTGACAGAAATAAGGATGATCAGGGTCAGCGATGCCTACAGCTTGGAAGACTTATGTGAGATGGATGAAAGAGATATGGCAACTCTGTTGAGGTTCTACGCTCCAGACAAGGTTCCCAGATTAGGTTGTCTGAAGGCCATGGAGGAAGATTATGATGCATTCGATGGGTCGTTTGGTTTCTGTGTTGGATGGGGCTAGACCTACCATCCTCAGCCCCTGGTTTACTTGCACAATATGGAACCGATGGCGCCAAGGCTTGGTTTCGTGGGAGGAGGGTTGTAGAAGGGAGTAAGTCACTCACGTGACGACTGTGATGGATGTCCTTCTATCAAGCTGGATTTTACCAGTATGGGAAACAAGGAGAGCGAGGACCGGACACTACCGAAGAGACCAGTTTTGTGTCAGTGAGCTATCTCTCAAAATGTAGTTACATGAAGCACACCTCCAGCCCACCACCTACCTCCTCAAATGAGCCAGGAACGTCACAAACAGAATATGTACACCACAACCAAAAATTACACACTTCATACACCCTCTCACCGTCAGCCCCCTCATCTTGCCCCCTCTACAACTTCGCTTTCACCCTTCTCCTCAAAACCTCCTCCAACGCATCCACCCCCGCCTGCACAACCTGTTGATCCTGTGCCGGCGTCCCCGTACTCGCGCCAATCCCCCCAATAACCTCCCCCCTTGCATTCAAAATCGGTAGTCCTCCACCAAACGTAGCAAATCTGCCTCCATTGGTGTTACCGAGTCCGTAAGCCACTCCGCCTGGCCACACGGCGTCTTTGTACATGTGTGTACCGACACGGTGGCCCGCTGCTGTGAAGGCTTTGTCCATTGCTACTGTGAGGTTGTAAGTATGATATCCCGAAATTGGGAACTGAAATCAGTGAAATATAGCTTGGATTGAAATGCTCATTCTCATCCGAGATGCGGGCAAGAAAGACTTGACGAAAATGCCCAAATTTCTCAAAAACAGACTAAACATAATGAAACAAAAATGAAGAAACATACTGCTAATACTCGTAATCTTCGCCCCCTCCATCCTCGAGAAATGTAGTAAGTGTGTCGACGCATCAACAACCGCGATATTCATATCAACCTCAATCTCCTTCGCCTTCTTCTCCGCGGCTGCAACGGCGATCTTGGCCCCTTCGAGGGTGAGCACTTCTTGGGTTTTGGTTGCTATATCGCTTTAACAATTTATTATGTACGGAAAGGAGAAATTTCAGATGAAAGAATGAGGAAGTGGAAGAGGATGAGCATGAGAATGAGCCAGGGTTGGGATGGGGGTGGGGTAGATCACCAACAGCCAGCGCCGTTTTTAGCTAGATTTGCCGAGCGGGAACCGGAGGAAGCTTAAATTTACTTCATCAATTTTTTTAATTTTTTTTTGTAGATATATCCTTTCGTCCGATATCATCAAGAAGCTCGCACACTGACTTCTGATATCTTGAGTGGGGAACGGGTTGTCAAGTGTGCGGAAAGGTTCCAGTGAGCTCTTTCCTGACTGGCGTCATGCGGCTGATTACGAGTAACCGAGATCCCTAGTCAATGCACACCCCAAGCGAATGCACACCCTTCCCCCACCAAAACCACCCATTTTTAGACCTTAACAATTAAGTAACTAATAATTGGATTAACTTTAAAATTTGTATATCATTAGTTTTATATATACTAAGTAAGATTATGCTATAGAGTTTACATAATATTATATATTACGTATTTAATATTAAGCTTAAAGTTTATAAATTACTAAGATTTAATATTATTTAAATAAAATTATAAATCAGATTAGAAACTAAAAACTACTTAATGTTATATTAATAATATAATATAGTAAAGGCTTTTATTAACTGGTTTTATTAATATATCTTTATAATAATAAAGTATATTTAAAATATAAACTTTTTTAAAAATATAATTAATACTTATATTATAGAGATTATTTTTAAAAAATTTAATAGAGACTTTTATTTTTATAATATAAAAAATGAATTTAAAAAAGTACTTAATTTTATAAGAGTTTATAATATATTTCAAATTTTTAAGTTTTAAAGTCGAATTTTTATTTAAATTAATTATATTATATTAAATAAAAGAGTTTTTTATAAAATAAAATTCGTAATATTATAAATTAGTATATAGAGTATAAAATAAATTAAAAGTCTTATTAAAACCGGGCTTATATATATTTTTATATTTAATAAAAACTTTTATACTATTTTTTATTAATAATATTATACTTATTATAAGGTTATATAAATATTTTATATATTAGAATAGTCGCTTTTAGCTAACTTTATATAAGGAATATTAATTTCAATTTTAATTCTTTTTAGCTTTTAATTTAAGTTTCTTTTTTTTTAAAAAAGAAATCTTTAAATAAATTTTAAATCTAATATATTATTTTATATAAAAATAATAGTATTAACTTATAGCTATATATAAGATAAAGTGAACTTATAAAAATGAAGCTAAAAGTATTTATATATATAAAGATATTAAGTTTTAAATTAAAGAATTTAAGATTTTTAAATTTGTAAATAAAAGCTAATTTAAATAAACTTAAATTCTAAAAATAGCTACATATAATATATAAAAGAATACTCTAGCTTCATCTCTTTTTAAGTATAAAAAATTATATTATTATTATTAATAGTTGTTTAGTAAATAACTATTTAATATTATAAGTTCGGCTGAAATCAGGGTGTGCATTGATTGACTAGGGATCTCGGTTACTGTAACGAGCCTGGTAACCATATGTCTGTGCATTACAGGGCCTTTAGCGACCAAAAGACTACTGAAGCAAAATCCAAACTTTTTAAATTAGTAAGAGAATCTTTAAAACTCTTTCTCAAAGTAATATTTACCTTCCTATCATTAATATGCTCTAAGCTTTAAAGGTTAGAGTTTATAGTTTTTTAATATAGCTTGATTAAAGTTGTCGATTTTGTTTTAACGAGGCCTGAAAAAGTCGCTAAAATCCACAGACATATGGTGACCGGGCTCGTAAAGAGGTCGCTCGCTGCCTTCGCGTCATCTCTCCCAGGCATCTATGAAAACCACCCCACAGCACCATCCGCTTCCCATTCATTTCTTGTTGCTCAATCTTCTGCATTGTTGAGGTCATCGAGCCCTGCCAAACGCATTGAATTGTTGCGAAGGCTCTCCGTCCCTCACACAACCAGTGCGCAAAAGCAGGACACGCAAACCTGGTGCAGATACCACTCAGCGACTCCAGCGCACTCAGATCACCTTGTGGTTATTTCTATCTTCTTGGATCAAACATCTTATTTATGAGCTGTCTCGTAGTTCGAGGTCGTGAGCTTCGGTACCCCCCCTAGCCGCCTTCACCTTTTGGGACCTCCAGGATTTCGGGGCAAGCCTTTCTCGGAGGATATAATGCGTCTCTTGAACGTCAGGACGAGGGAGTTGGAGGAATTCTTCGAGAAGAGAATTCCGAAATACGCCATTCTTTCCCACACCTGGGGTGAAGATGAAGTCACATTTCGAGAGTTCGATTTTGTTGTTAGACCGCGACGCACATCTCTCAAGATTGATGGCTGCTGCGCTCAAGCTCTGAAGGGTGGGTTCGAATACGTATGGATTGACACCTGCTGTATCGACAAGAGTAGCAGCGCCGAGCTTTCCGAAGCTGTCAACTCAATGTTCGCATGGTACAAAAGAGCTGAGATTTGTTACGTATATCTATCAGATGTGTCCTCGCATGAATTGGATCCTATCAACGAGCATTCCGATTTCAAAAAATGTCGATGGTTTACCAGGGGTTGGACCTTGCAGGAATTACTGGCACCCCATGTTCCAACGTTCTATAACACATCGTGGCATCCTCTGGGTTTCTTGGATAAAAATCCCAAAAGGGGATTGCGGATGCGTTTGGGATATTTTGACCTGCCGTCTTACCTGGGAAGGATTACGAAAATACCACCGGAAATTATTTCTGGTGAAAAGAATTTGACTACGCCATCTATTGCCATGAGAATGAGCTGGGCGTCCACGAGGGAGACGACTCGGGTAGAAGATATCGCATATTGCTTGCTAGGCATCTTCGACATTGCCATGCCAATGATATATGGCGAAGGAAGGAAAGCTTTCATGCGCTTGTAAGAAGAGATTATGAAGAACGAGGATGATCGCTCCATTTTTGCTTGGGGATTTGACACCGTTGGAAGCAGAATATCCTGTTTCGCCAATTCACCAGCGGACTTTGCAGGCTGTGGTGACCTCGACGATTTTAGAACAGTCGGTACCCATTCCGGCCATGTTGTAATGACAAATAAGGGATTGAGTATGGAGATGCGCATCATTCGACTTACGACTGGAGATTACATTGGACAACTCACCGGCAAAATCCTAGACAGATTGGTGTACCTTGCGATACCGTTAATAAGGCATAGGCGGAAGGAAAACGTGTTCTACCTACCTCGAATCAACGTTCCTCAGCCGGTTAGTTGGTTCACTTTTGAGAGGGTCAGTCCCAAGCCAATATATATAAGCGAGTCATTTCCTAAACTGGCGCTCTGGAGTACGGGCATTCGACTTTCGCGGGATTTCTTGACAAAGTTCCACGTGAGAGAGGTACATCCAGCAAACTAGGATCTGAGCCGGGGCTGGTGTTACACGAGCCCCGGTGAAGGTTTTAATGGGACGGACAGAACAATCTTTCTGGGCTGCAGCGACCAACGTGGAGAGAAGTTTGCCATCAAGATTGACTACACCTTCCAGCTTGCTCATTCTACCAAATTTTCTCCTTTCCTTCGGCCCATGACCGCACACATTTACGCCTCATCCCTTGTGACTGACCACGGCCGCTCGCTCTTGGAACGCATTATTTCTACAGGGCACTTAATTGGAATAACGATGGATTGGAAGGAAGACCTCGCCTTGGGCCGGATTGAGGCATCCGGTATTGCTGGCGAGTTTCACAGCGGCTCCACCTGGTGGTTGAAATTGGATGGGTCTGACAGGAACAGATGGAAGATTGACGTTGTCGATGTGAGTGATTCTATCATTGGCGAGGAGCTTGTTAGGAATCCTTTGCTGGTGAACCTTGCGATAGCGATGATGGAACCAACTACCCGCGGAAGGATTCCCCCTTTAACGATTCCGAGGCAGAGTTTTCAACATAGTCCTCGGCTTTGTCAATGCTATACACGGTGCTCGAGACACTGCGGTAGAAAGCCGTTCCCCCTTCTCGATCTTCAAGGAATCTCAGCATTCAACCGTCAGCTTTGCACTTTGCAATAACTCGAGAAACGGGAATCCAGGGTTTCAAACTTCACTTCCCCGGATTCCTGTGGGCAAGGCACTCCCCAATATCTGAATTCGGAGGATCCAAGATCAAAGCTTGTAGGGTGTATCCGCAGGTACACAGAGATCGGCTGAGAAATCCCACAAAGAAACGAAGATGGTGTGTCGTGGGCTTCACACTCCCCATTTGGCTAAGCCAGCTGCCAACAGTTTGTCGGTTTCCACGTGTCGACCGCGATGTCGCCATTTCACCTAGATTAACCAAAAGAACTCTTCTGGGTACGGGTAGAGATATTGGATACCCGGGTATTTTTACAAAAGGAGAGATATGCTAATCTTATTGTCTTCCGATTATGATTTCATCAATTCGGGCTTAATTCGTGGTTAATTTTATACTTAATTTGATACGTTTCCTAGGTATTGAAATAAACCACACGTACATCCATTTCAGAACGTAAATACGCACCCAGAGGAAAAATGAAAACTTTGACAAGCCACAGCCGCCTCAAGTAGCTTCTCTCCTCATTACTCCAACCCCCCCTCTCAATAAATCGACATACAGCATTACTAACCGACGCTAAGTTCTTCCTCCAGCTATGACAACGATTTATCAGCCATCGAGAGTTACTTTAATATATCTGCGGTAGGCCCAATCCTACTCCCACTCGAAAATAGTCTACTACGATGAGGCTCAGAGACTGAAGTACAAAAAGGAGGGTTTCCAGCAGCTAATTTCGGGAAAGCTGACCCCCGTAATACGTCACACATAACCTTACAGTAGCGTCTTGGCACTTAAGTAACTTTTGACCACTGCCTCCGCGTCTCACAGCCGTCGTCCAGAAATCAATTTCCACAGTGCTTTTTCCGAGGCTGAATAATAGCGCTTGCACCAAAGCCATGGCGCCGGTTTTCTCAGTTAGGCATCCAATCTGGTTTCGGGTAGAGGAGGAGCTGAGTCATCTGACCTGTTATGCAGTTGCTCCTACAGCCTCAATCGATGTCCACGGACCCCTCAATTGCTTTGGGCCTGGCAAGGGGAAGTCCTAGAAATCGCACGGAAAGTTCCATGCTAGCCAGTGTTTAAGAAGGTTGGGCATGCCCACAACGAAAGGTCATGGTCGTTGAAGTTTATCAGACTTACTTTGCACTTTCTGCGGCGCTGTCACTCCTTTAAGTCTTCATTCACTTGCTCGGGCATTACACCCTTGAATTTATAAATTTCCTTCAGATAACGTCAACGCTCATTTCTCGACAGACTTCCCCAGCGTCGTTTTGTGTCCTCGGGGCAGCCATGCTGTTCAACCTCGTTGTTCCCACCCTGGGAGTCTTGCTGCCATTCCTAGCCCAACAAGCCGCCTCGTTCAATCCATCATGGGGCTACACTCTCTTTGGCGCCCTCGGCCATCCGCATGAGCAGATGACGTACCAAGGTCTCACAGACAAGTACCTGGAATACTTCGATATCGGCGAGTTCTCCGTCACCAACTCTATGGATCTTGCGCGAAATCAGATCATTGCAGGTACAAAGATCGTCGACAAGCACGGGGATGTTGAAGCCGAGCTAAGTGAGGCTCACTGCGACGATGAGTCCCTGCAACTATGCCACGAGCGCCTCAAGTCTAACCTCACCGTCATTCGGACCCTGCTAAAGGCTGGAAACGTCGGCCAGGCTAGGGACAATCTAGGCAGGATGCTACATACCTTGCAGGACTTCTACTCCCACAGCAATTGGATCGAGCTTGGCATGACCGACATCAGCCATAACTTGGTACAGCAGTGGCCCCTCGAGAAGCTGGTAGACGACACCAAGAAGATGCCGTCTTGTATAAATTGCACGTATCCTGGGACGCCCGACTTTGCTGTTGACTGGGAGCTCAGGTGGGACGATTATGCGCGGACGAAGGCTGTTTCGAGGCCGGGAGCGATTACACCAGATCCTATGTCTGCCGTGACTAAGGGGATCATCGCATTCCTAATGGGGCTCAAGAAGTTCAGCGTGAGCATTATCAAGCCCATCGCGAAGAGATACCTTGGCGCGGAGGTACCGGAGGAGCTGATCGACGCCCTGGCAGGTCTCGGCGACAGCCTCCTGAACGTCAAACCAGACTGCCGGGCCAACCTGAAGGCTCAGTTCACGCTCCCAGCCAGCCAGTTCCTTACCACGGGGTACTTCGGTGTTGATATCGCGACCCACAGCAAGCACACACCGGCAGGAAAATGCAGCCAAAGCCGGAAAAGTCTTTTACTAATAAATCTAAATTATCTAACTTGAAATATATTATTATAATATAAAGTTTTTTTTATATCTAACTTATTTATTATATATATATAATAGCTCGAATAAAGAAATATAAATCTAAATAAATGTGAGGCGCACAATATAGCAGGGTGCTACGCAAGTAGTCAAGGTAAGGAGGTGGAATATAGGGTAAAGTATGGAGTGAAGCGTGGAAGTATATTGATTCCAAGAACTGGTTCTCAGTAATAAACTAATCGATGCCCATTTCCCAAGCTCGCATGCCTCCATATATAGAATCTAGTGTTCCGCTGGATGTACGGAAGCACTAGTCCCAATTAGGGAGTGCGATCCCACATAAGCACTAGCCCAATTAGGCTACCAAATCCAGCTGGACGCTCGCTGTTAATGTGCGCATCACAATAAAGTTTAGTAATATATTATTATTAGAAATATAAAAAGAAGTATTTAATAATGCTTATATTTTAAGACTACTCAAATATTTCTTTATTAAAGATATTGTTTTTCTTTATAATATAAGGCTAGAAAATAACTATTTATTAAAGCTTTATTATTACTAGAAAGAATTATTTAGAATTTTTAGAGCTAGCTAAGCTATTAGTACCTTTATAATTACGGAACTAAATGATATTTTTCGAGCTAGAACTATAATTATAAGCTATTTTAAGAAATTTGTCTTTTATAATATTATTTTAGAAATCTTATATAATTTATATTACTAGAATAAAGAAATATTAGAATGAATTTATAATCCAGTTCAAGAAAGGCCTAATACTTGCAAGAAAGTATTATTTCCGAATATAAAGATTAGTATTTTAGAGAAAAAGAATATTAATTCGAATCTAGAAAACCAGATTATAACTTAATAAAAGTAATAAAAAAGAGAAAAAGAGGTTATAAGAGAAAAGAATTAAACTTATATTTTAGTTAAAGCTAGTTTTATAATAATTATTAGGCTTTAATAAGAAAAGTAAAAAAAGAATAAGAAAAAGATATTATTAAGAAAAGCTATTATATATAAATTAAGTATTTCTTTTATATAAAAGAATATTTCTTATATTTATTATATTTGAAAAGTTTTAAAAATAAAAGAAATATTAAAAAAGAAAAAAAGAAATTATATTATTAGTTAATTAAAATAAGAAAAAAATAAGAAAAAAAAGAGGTTTAAAATTAATATATAAGTATTTATTTATATATATAATAGTTATAAATGGGATTTTATAAGAGAAAGTTAATAAAGGATACTAGGAAATAAAAAATTAATAAGTTTAATTACTAGAAAACATTATAAGTTTCCTAATTTATAACTCTAAACCCTTAAAAATAATAAAGCAAGAAATAATTAAAAGTAATATTCTTACTTAGCTTTATTTTATTAGCTATATTTAAAGCTCTTATACTTTTATAATAGTGCGAACTTAATAAAGAGAAAGGTTGCTTTTATTAAATACTAATATATATAAATTAGAAATCAGAATTTATTATTATTAAAACTTGAATTCAAGTAAGACTTAAAAGAGAAAAGTTATATAAAAAAAGCATTTATTTTTATAATATATTTGAAAACAATTTATATAAGTACTAATATAAAAAAGATATTTATAGTAAACTTTAAAGTATTAGAACTTAATAATATTTTAATATCTTATATAAGCTTTATTATTAAATTAATTAATTTTAAAACCTTATATAATTATTATATTAAATTTTTAAGTATTAAATAAATTATAATTACTATTTATAAAAACGTATTTAGTATTATAATTACAAAAGATATAATTGGCTTTAAAATAAATACTAGAGGCCGAAATAAGATTTGCGAATATATAAAACAAGATTTATTAAAAGAAAAAAATTATAAAAAGGAAATTATATTAAAAAAAGATATATTACTTACTTATTTAGTATTATAATACTATTATTTATTTTTATAAGTGGCTTATAAGCTAGTAAAATAATAAAGAAAGTATTATTAATATTAGTTATAATAAACTAAATATTAAGAAAAAAAGCTTAAATAATAAGAAAGTAATAAAAATAAGAAAAAAGATAAAGTAAAAAGAAATAGAAATTATATTATAAGAAAAATAACTTAAAAGAATTAAAGAATAAAATAAAGATAATAAAAAGTAGGAAAAAATATAAAAGAATTATATAAGAAAAGAAACAAGTTATTTTAGAAAAGAATAAAGAGGAATATTAAATAAATATTAAATAAAAAAACCTAGAGATATATTTTCTTAATTTATTATAAAAAGAATAAGTAATTCTTTAAGAAAAAAAAAGAAAAATTAGAAATATATAAAGTGCCGGGAAATAAGGAAATAATATTTAATAGCTTATTTTTAAATAATAAAGAAAAAGAATTAGATATTAGAAAAGAAATAATAAAATATTCTTTATTTAAAAAATTCGATAATTTTATATTTATTAACTAATATATATAAAGAAAAATTCGGCTTTTTAAAGAAAAAAATATTTTATAAGAAATTATTATAAGAAAGAAAGCCAGATAAAGAGGAAATTAAAAAAGAAAAGAAAAATTATATTACTAGTTAAAAGAAATTAGAAAAGAATAAGAGAGAAAAGAAAATTATAAGATATTTATTTATATATATAATTATTCTATCTGGAATTTTAGAAGAAAAAGTTAATAAAGCTAGAAAGAAAATATAAAATTAACGAGTATTATTATTTTAAAGCTTAATACTAATTATTAATTTTCTTTACTAATACTAGCTTTCTTTAAAAATAATAAATAAGGGAGTATTTTAATATATTTTCCTTATATAAAATAATACTATTTGTAATATTTACTACTCTAATATCTTTATAATAACTAGAACTTAGTAAAAGAAAAGCTTAAGAAGCTAAAAAACTAAAGGCTTGTTTTTCTAGTTAAGATTTATAATTATTAGTATTTGAATTTAAGCAAAATTAGAAAGAAGCAAATTATATAAAAGAAATATTTGCGAGAATTATATTTCCAAAAATTAATTATTATAGCTAAAATTAAAAAAGTAATATTAATAATATTTATTAAAGTGAAACTTATTTTCTTAGTAATTTATATAGGCTTATATACTAGTATATATAACTTTAAAGCCTATAATAATTATAGCTTTAAGTTCTTAAATATAAAAATAAAAATAATTATTATTAGTAAGCTTATTAATATTATTATTATAAATAAAAAAATAATATATAAGATTTATTTATTTAAAAAAAATTATAAATATAAAATTATATAAAAATAATTAAAAATATATTTAACTAAATAATACTATTTTTAATTATTATTAAAAAGAGAATATTAGATATTATATTATAGAAAATATAATTATAAGCTTATTTATTAATTTTTATAAACTCGTTATTATTAAAAAAGGCAAATATAATATTTAAGAAATATAAAAGCCTAATATAAATAAAAAATAAATAAAATTAAGATTATTATTAAAAAAAAGAAAATTATTAGAAATAAAAAGAAAAGGCTTTTTTATAATAAAAAAATTTATCTAATATTTATTACGGGATTTCTTTCTTTTAAAAATAATTATATAAAAGTAATTTATAAAATACTTATATAAAGATATTACTATTATAAAAAGAGTAAGGAAATTAAATAAAATATTAAACGAAATTAAGAAAGATTAAAAGGCAAAATATTTAACTCAGCTATATTAGAAATAATAGTATTTTAAAAAAGGAAAATAAGAGATTTGAAAATATATAAAGAACTAGAAAATAAGAATATAATACTTAAATATTTGTCTAGAAAGAAAAGAAGAAAAGAAGAAAAGAATTAGATATCTCGAATACTAGAGAAAATAAAGCTAATATTATTTCTTTATAATTACCGAAATATAGCTCTTTTCTTTTATTATAAACTTTTACTAATTATAAAAATATATATAATTTTATTATAATTATAATTTTTATATTTATATTCTTTTTTTTAAAAAAAAATAAAGAAATAAAAGAAGTAAAAAGAATTTTAAGAATAAGGGCTAATAAATTTCTTTAGAAATTATTTAGGCTTCTAAATTTTAATAGATTTATATTTATATAAATTTAATATTTTCTTTATTATAATTAGAAAATAATTATAAATAATAAGAAAAAGCTATATAATAGGGTTTTTTCTTTTTTATCTTATATAGTCTAATAAGAATCTAGTAAATATAATTATAATATTTATTTTTATTCCGGAAATAAATATTATTATTTAAATAAATAACTATAAAATAATTCAGGAGCTTTATAAATATAATATTAATATATACTTAAAATATAGCTAGTATATTAGCTAGTCTAAAAGGCATTATAAGGTATTTAAAATAATTATAGCGGGTTTTAAAAGTTATTTTTTACTTGTATTTTTTATAAATTCTTATCTAATAATATATATTTTTAAAATCTAGTATTATAAAAATCTTTATTTTTTAAAGCTAATTAAGAGTTTTATTAATAAAGAAAGCAAATATTAATTCTTAATTAGAATTTAATTAAGTTTATAATAATTAATATAAAAATATAGCTTTTTATTCTTTTTAGAAATAAAAAAATAAGTGCTTTTATAAGGCTTTTATTAAGCCTTATTTAATAATTATAAAAAATATTTTATAAATATAAATATAATACTATTAATTAGATCTTTAATAAATTATATAAAGGTTTATATAAGACCGCATTATCTGTATTAATAAAGTATTTAATATTACTAAAGTTAGAAAGTTTTAAAGCTTTATTAGAATTAAAAACCTTTAAAAAAATTATATTTATTATTCCGGAAATATATAAATACTTTTAAGGCCTCTTTTCGAAAAGTATTAATTTATTATATTAAAAACTTCTATTTGCTATTACTAGAACTATATAATAAAGCAGAAATTTAATAATTATTATAAATATTATAATTCCTAGATACCCGGTATCTGAGATACCTTACCAAATACCAGATGCCTCCTAGGCGCACGTGACGCGGCCGCCTTGTTAGGGAAGTATGCTTGGAATGTACTAGAGATATTTAGAAGGCTAAGCCTCTTCGGGACTAATATACTATAGGGTATATATATTCCCTTATAGCCTCCTGTATTCTAGTTTTCCTTTTCTTAGCTTTAAATCGTCTTTATAAGAGACCTTTTACCTTGCTTTCTAAGCCCTAAATACTATATCTATAATAATATTTAAAGCTTACTTCCTTTAATCCTATAAAGAATTTTAAATAAACTAATTCAGAACTATTAGTAATATAGATATTACTAAGATAATAGAACCTCAGAAATACGAATAATAGATTCTAGAATAATAAAAGCAAAAAGCTTTAGAATCCTTAGAGAAATCAGGTATTTATATCTTTATAAATATATATTAGTAATATATTAGAAATTCTTTCCGAAAACCCGAAAATTAAAGAACCTCGAATAAAGGCTACTCTTTAACCAAGTCCTAGAATAATAAGCACCTATAGGCCAGTAACCTAACTACTACCCTCAAGTCCTATCCTATAACCTTATAGGCCCTATATATATACTAGTAACGAGATTACTAGAGAGAATATAGTAAAGAAAAAGTATAATAGATTAAT